CCCCCGCCATATCATCCACCATCACTGATTTTAATCCACCCCTGCAACCACTCAAAGCGCAACTACCCCTCCCCCCTATTGGAAAAACCGGATATCATCCCCGGTGCAGTGGGTCAGTTCACCGGTACTTCCACCGTCATCCACGCCGGTAGCCGAACACCTACACACCTATGCTCACACGACACGACACGTAACGTACATCTCCTCCACGGCGCGGCTGGCACCGACGGGTTGGAATCTCCACGATCGGGCTTGAGTGGGGAATTCAAATTGGTTGACTACATACATAGTACTCCGTAAATCGATACCCATGTATTCGATTCATTAATATAAACGCCACTGGAGATTGTGAGGCAAAGAGTCGCTTGCGATCGTAGGACTGAGGCAATCTGGGTCTCAAAGTTGATAAACTACTTCTACTTCGGGGCGGACTCAAACACACGCAATGTGATGGTAGGATTCAAGGGGAGTGAGTAAGTTTCCGGATGAAATCTGAATAACATGCAGAAGAGCTTGATACTGCGGACCAACCAGTAAACAAGACGAAGCAAATATGACCCGACCCCCTTGTCGACTCGTCATGCGACCTGATTCGTCCCCTAAGTATCGTTCGGTGCATGTTTACATGTATGCAACATGCATGCAGGGATATGTGCATGCAAGGCCGATCCCCCTTCTAGAATGTTCGCCCCAGCAATCGGCCTAGCTGATTCCATGGACTCAAATGCAGCTTGATAGCCATGCGACGCCGTTAACACCCTACCCCCTATCCAGCGACCTCTATATAACTTCATACTCCTTACACTCCCGCCAACTCCCGCGACAACCCACTGCGCCGCCGAACCCACCACCCATACCGATAGAACACAAACGGGATCGGAATCAGCGCCACCTCCACCAGTCCCAGTAGCGTGCCCGTCCACGCGATCCCCACACTTGAATACAGCCGGCGGCCCGCCAACGGAAGCGCACCCGCAAAGACGTACCGAACCATCGCGTTGCCCGCCACCGCCGAGGCGGCGTAAATGGGGTAGCTCCCCGCCAGGTAATGGGCGGAGTAGATGAAGATGAGGGTATTGCCCATGCCGAAGGGGACGCCGGCCAGGATCGGATAGATCCAGTGCGTGTACGCGGGCGCACTGGTGGATTGAGTTGTGGTCGTTGTTGCTACCGCTGTCCACGAGAACCAGAATTCACCCATGGGGCTGAGAATGGCCCCGAGGCAGACGGCAATGATGGGGGCCTCGGGCGTGACTCGGCCTGTGCAGGGGTCCCGCGGGTGACTGGCGATGATGCGGCGGAGGACTCGCTGAGGACGGCGAGGACAACGCCGGTGCGAATACCACAGTAGCCTAGTCCTGCGATGCCGGGTGGCCAGCCGCGGTGCTCTTGGAAGGCAATCGGGTAGCCGATGAAGCACAGGAATAGAGTAGCATATATGACACCGACGTAGAGGTTCCAGAATAAGCTGGTCGGGCCGCAGATGTTAAGGGATCAGTGAGACTGTTCGGCAGACACTCACGCGTCGACGGAGCTTGGAGGTCAAAGGCGTATTAGACGGGCTCACACACGGCCATGATAATAGGTCTTACCACATGGCTTCGCACAAGGTCCCATCCCACTTTGGGGCTATCATAGCGACACCACCATCGCAAGTCCCCAGTCTGTTCCTGTTGCTTTCTGGTTCGTGCCCGCAGTATCGCAGGCTCATATGTCTCCTTGAACAAGAACAAAGCCACAGCTGATACTCCTGCCCAGCAAAGTATGATCCAGTTGATCCAGCGCCAGCCAAGATACTGGTAGACAAATCCGTCGAAAATGGGACCTGCACTTCTGTTAGTTCTGTGCAAGAAACCGAGAAGCTGTTCCCAGCACTCACTTAGTACCAACTACCGGGCCAGTCATCGCCTCAAGACTCCAAAGACTGAAAGCCAGCGCCCGGTACCTTCTGCTGGTCACGTCGTTGATTGTACCCGGACCGCCCGCAATAATCGCACTACCGAAGAATCCTCCAAGTGCTCTGCAGACAAGAATGGTATGTATATTCCGAGCCAGGGCCACGGGTATCACCGAGCAGGCGAAGGCGAGGGTGGTGATCAGGTACACCGGTCGACGACCGTACAGCTCCGACAACGAGGCGAACACAAGGCATCCGAATGCCAGACCGAGCATATAGGTAGTTAAGCCGAGCAACACAACAGTGTCCGATGCGATCTCAAACGATTCTTTGATCCCTGGATTACCTGGGGTATAAGATGTGGAATATGATATCCTCGGGGACAATCAGCGTTGCCATCGAGTCACTATTGGATATGTCTATAGGATACTTACGCGCAGGCACTTGACACAGATACCGCCCCGACAATGAAAGCCCTGTATGCGGCCGACCAAGTGCGCGGGTCCTCCTGATCATCTGTTTCTCAGTAGACTTCAAATCCGGCATCATTCGACAGAATGGCTTGTTGTGTTGCTTGACTCAAGCCCACCCGATGTTGGTCTGCTAGGTTTCACACAGGTCATCGGTCCGTTTTCGACACTGGACATAGTCGGCCATTGGTATTTCCAAGCAGTTGGATGTCGCATCGTAAGACCACAGAAAGATTCGGTGCACGGTCGGACTGGCTCAAAAATAAGCCGTCCTATTGCAGCCATAGACCCTGCCATCGCACGATCATCTCAAGAAGAGCGAGTAAGACAATGACAGGACCCCCTGACAATAGCAACATATTGCAACAGATAAGATACTTATAACCTCCACAGCGGGTCGTTGCCGACGCATACGGGTGCTAAAACTTGGCCCGACCTTGGTGATATTATACTTTGTTCGACGATGTCATCTTTTAACTCTGCCGAGGCCTTGGAATGGGAAGAAATGCGATTGACATCACAGGTCTGCAAAGGCGATGGTTAGACGTGCAACAGCCCAGAAGCCCGTCGGATCACCTGGATGCATGATGCAGATGTATATAGGTGGAGAAAGGTCAGGCAGGTCTGGCACTTGCAGCCGCCTGAAGGCGAATCACTATTCCCGATTCGGGTTTGCGTCTCTTCCTCCGCGCTGCATTGCAAGGAAGCCCCGTTCGCTTCTTGGATTCAGTCTTCCTTTGTGTTGTAGCTGTCTACATCTTTCCTTCCGAGAATAATCAGTGAAACTTACTGGCTGTATCGAGTCGCACTGTCTGCTCTCCGCAAGTCATGCAGCGCGATTGACCAAGGACAATAGGAGGATCAAACATCGAACCAGGTATCGGCGAAAATCGATCCTCGATTGCTCTGACTACAATGGTCAAACTGATATTAGATATCCGGGGAACAAAAAGTAGTTTACAAGGCAAGGATACCACAGGAAGTCCCTCCCTATCGCTGTCCACGAAAAAAAATACCCAACCTCAGCAATTACACCCACAGCAGCCTACAGTCAGGAAAGTATAGATTGTTTAAACGTTTGTCATTTCATAAACTAGAAAAAAAACATCCTTCACCACAAATCCGATCGAATCTATGCGAGGAGAGCCTTGATACCGGCCTCGAGAGCGGGAGGGTTGGCACCGACAACGTCCTTGACCTTCTCGCCGCCCTTGAACAGCATGAAGGTGGGCATGGCGCGGACACCGAGTTCGGCAGCGACATCAGAGAGCTCGTCGACGTCGATCAAGTAGAACTTGGCCTGGGGGTATTGTTCGCTGAAAGCGGCGACCTTGGGGGCGATGGCCTTGCAGGGACCGCACCACGTGGCGAAGCAGTCGAGGACAATGGCGTCCTGGGAGTTGGTGACCTTCTCTCTGAACTCCGCAGTGCTAGGCGAATGTTAGTATCACTGATGCGCAGCCGATCGCAGCCGAAGGTAGAATCTGAGTCAGGTGGGGGAGAGGGGAAACTCACGAAGTGATCTGGTGAACCTTGCCGTGGTCAGACATGTTGGATTGTGTGGGGTTGAATTTGGCGGAGTGAGATTGAGAGAAGGAGCGGTGGTACAGAGGACTCGCGGCGGGAAAGCGCTGGACGAAGGTGGAACGCAGGAAAGTGGAGGATGGAGTAGTAGAAAATCTAGCGGAGGAGAGAGAAGACAGGCGAGCGGATGGTTTAAGACTGGAGGAAGGTTAAGAAGAGAAGAGATTAGCTCGGAATGGTTGAAGAGGGGCTGAGGCCAAAAAGGAGGGGCTCAGTCCGCAGTTTTTATGGGTGGGCGCAAATGACGTTGCACCATGAGAGGAAGGGAGGGACTGGCTGCTGCCTCTGACTAATCACCGTGGTCGAAGCCTCTCGGAGGCGGTGGAAGGAGGGATTTGGATTGAAAGGGGGAAAGCTGAGAGATGATTCACAGGTAGGTAGGTAGGTAGCTTACCAAGATGTCACGCCGCGGGAGAGACGCAGCAGGTTAGAAGCATTTGTCAGGTTGACAGTCGACATCTTGCAAAATACTAATCAATTTAGAATATAATAGTATTGTATGAATAGTATGTGTAGTATGGAATGAGTGTTGGAAGCAATTGGTTCGCCGTTCGGGACGCACAAGGGTTGGGCTGGAAGACTGGAGTTTCAAAAGCCGGTGCATTATTATTATTATTATTCGGATGACGTGCTCCGTCGCTTATGAATAGCGAACGGTCTGGACAGAAGCTGCCGGGCGTATGCCTGAATTGTGCCTGAATTGTGCCTGAATTGTGCCTGAATTGTGCCTTAGCACGCGGCGTGCTGACTAACTACCTTGGTGCTCAACAAACAGCAGCCCGCTTCCTTTGGCTGACCATCAACTAACTATACTCTTTAGTGATCACTTCACCCATATACCAGTTTACGCAAATTTGTTCGGTTGTGCTCTACGAAATTATGCATCTTTACTCAAATAACTTAGTATTTACGGACAGATCGAATGCTCATACAGACATCAAACAATAGCCACGGTTGGAAATGGAAAGAGATACCATTGTGGGGTGACTGACACCAAACAAGGACAGTCACTATTCTATACGCCAATATGTGCATTGAACTGAAACGGGAGAGTGCTTCACCTCTAATGAAGACGTAGATCCGCACGAAAATCAAATAACAGCATTTGACCAGCGATCGAGGCAAACTCCTTCAAACTCTCGCTGATGTGGGGTATCAACAAATGCAAGAACAAAACCTGCCAGCAAGTCGGGGACGAAGACCGGGCTTGACGGGGCAGCGAAGGAAGAAAAACGGACGTGGCCACTTCGAGTGCCACCAGAACTAAAGGCGAAATCCATCAATATGGGAGGAAGGAATCGCAGTAGAAAAGTCAAGGGAGCGACAAAGGAAAGAAGAGCCAAAGGAATGACTAGGGTCAGCAGGGGAGAAGGGGATTATTACATGAAATTAGATAAACAGAGACTGGGCGACGCGAATTAGGTGCTTCTTTGTCTCATGAGAGGGGGAAAGGCCGTCAAAATATGACCCATTGGTCAAAGGGGTCGGGTGGACGCATGTCGCTCGTACGCAATGCAAATCACACGCTCAGAGGGCGCGCCCTCTATCGTAGTCTTCGTTTGTGTCGAACTCAAATTCAGCAGAGTGTTCTTCAATGGGGCTGAACTCCTCATCGGCAGATAGAATGGTTTTGAGAAGGCCTTCGTTTGACTTGGGACGGACTGCCGGATTCACCAGCACAGGACGCCTTGCAACTTGAGCATGCCAGGTTTCCTCTGCTGGGTCTTGTGTATGGTCCACGGTCATGGTACTATCTCGCTGAGCACCTGCGCCATATCCGACCCGCGGAGGCTCATCCTGCTCAGATCCAAATCTCACGAACGGTTCATTGAGTGGTATTTCATCACCTTTGGGGGAATCCTCGTGGCCTTCCTCCTCAAGCTTGTTCCTCGATGAACTGAGACTGGTCCGAAGGGGGTTACTTGTTTTTTTCTGAGAAATGCGACGAAGGAATTGCCCTGACATCCATGACCCCTCGGAATCGATCGACGCTAGAGACTGGGATAGCGGGACGTCATCCGGGTTACCATCCCAGCTTTCGCCTCCCCACGAGTCGTGATGGTTGTTGCGAGAATCCGGGACGTCGGAGGCAGAGCTTGGAATAGGATATTGAGTGACCATGTTAACATCAGAGGTATCATCGTCCCTCTCAAACTCGTCAGCCACTTCTGGTATATCAGGAGACTGAAGGCGTGAGTCAGGTGGTGATAAAGGTTCGTCACCGAAATGTTCCGTGAATTTCGATTGGGAGCGCTTGATCGTGCCCGTGCCAAGGAATGCCTTGGGCGGCACGTACGGCGCCGGACCGGACGAGGACTGTGTTTGAACTTTGAAAAAGGATTCATGCGACGGGTTCGACGGCTCGGGGCTCCGTTCATGGAAACGTTCTCGGTAGCTTCTCTTGAGGCGTGAGCTCCCACGTCGAAAGATTGAGGTCAGAGTGTTCACACGACCGCTGCTATTGTCTGACAGACGCCTATCCGAGTCGATTATCCTTGAGACATCCGATGTTGATTCTCGACCGAGACCATACAGGTGCGAAGAAGTCGGACTGTAAACCTCCCGCCTCGACGGTGAATGAGAGGGAGTCAGACTGCTGCGAGACATTCCCATCTCTGTGGACGGAGCGAAGCTACGCCGCGGGACAACCCTGCGTCCACGGATAGAGCTATCGTCAAGAGTGCCGATGGCATTAGCACTCTCTGGAGTTTCGCAGCCTTGTCGCTCAGAATCTTTGGAAACTCCTCTCAGCCATGACCCTGACGGGGGGGTACCACCCAGGAAAGTCTTGGTGTCTTCAGATCTAGTGACACCTTCGTCGAAAGAAACCGGTGTAGCCCGAATACCAGCACCAGGCCGGCCTCTTTGCGTTGTAGATGCATCTTCGGCTTCAGCCTGATGCTTTGGTGTGGAGAGGTCGGCAGTATCCTGTTCCAACGGGTGCTGCTGTTGCTGGTCAGCGGCTTGTTGCAACTTGCGTTGCAATTTCTCCTGATCCTCGGCCTGCTTTCTCTCCCTGCGCCGGCGATCTCTTTCCAATAACTCCCGTAGAGCACCGGCGTCCAGAGCATCAGCCAGGTCATTTACCTTCTTATTCGAATGAGCATTTTCGTCAGATGCAGCAAACGTTGGCACCTTGTCTTTCTTGCTCACTGTCTCGGGTGACTTCTGGCTTTTCGAAGTGGGGGGCTTGGGAGCTTCCACATAACGAATAATTGGGCGGGGTGTCCAAGCTGCGAAAGTGTTGACCTTGAACGTGTAGGACTCAAAGATGTCGGATAACGACGACTCAGCTGAGTCACGGACTGACAAACTGACGTCAGACAAGTGGCGGTCTGAACGACGACTTGGAGCCCTGAGGCCTTTGCGGGTTTCGATGGAGAAGTGCTCACTAGGGAGCGGGGATGGGCGACGAGGGATGTCAATCGGTGCGGAAGCCATCAATCTGATCTCTCGTTCCCTAGCAATCTCGTATGCCTTGCGCTTGCTAAGTTTCTTCTTCAGGACTGCTGGTCCGCTAACGCTTCTTTTCGACTTTAGGAGCGATCCTGATCGAGTCAAGGTAGGCTGGTCATAGCTTGTGTTAGAGTGAGAGGTGTAGCTATCGGAATGCTGCTGACCGAGCCGAAAGGACAGTTGCCGGGCTCCTCTTATTGAAGCTGGTTGCTCGCTGTGGGACATGGGCGGAGGATACTGGTTAGACTGAGAAGCTGGAAGGACATCGTGCAGAGAACTCGGGCAATCTTCAGTAGGCGTAATGTGTCGGTTCTTCTGACGTTTCGAGGATTTGCGAGAGGGCTTGCTGCCTAGCTTGCTGCCATCGAAGCTGTGGCGAGGGTCCTGCGGCGGAACCTCCGCCACCGCAGGAGCATCGAGCTGGATCGTGTGCCGCTTGCTCTTACGACCAAACGGCCATATCGCCATGGCGTCTGATGGATTGAAACTTCGTCCCGCTCACGAGTCAAGGTGGACAGTGAAGTTTTCGGAGGCGAAGTTGTAGCGGATGACTGGACTCATGAGGAATGACGGAATGAACTAGACACGCGACCACGGAGCCAAGTCTGAAGCTGAAGCCTAACGCAAGAATAGGAGAGTTCCAAAAAAGAAAGCGGGTGATGGAAAAAATGGCAGATGGGGGAAGAAGGGGGATAAGAATATTTAGAAAGAGGAAAAGAGGAGATAAAGAGGAATAGTCGAAATTTCACGATTGGGATTGACAGGTAGCGGAGGCGAACCGAGACATTCAGAGCGATGGGGGAGAAAGTGCCGGGAGCACAAGGCCGTTCTAGCGTCTGTACCTAAAGAAGGATGCCCCAGGCGGTGGATTTGATAGTTTGATACAGGTAAAGCGGTACGAAGTCGAGACCCGGGGGGGGGAGGGGTGTTGAGGGGGCTTTAGAGGGGAGGGGTGGTGGAGCGAGAGGGGGGTGAAAGGGATGTGACTATTGGTTTAGAACGAGCGGGTAGATCGGAGGACTGAAAGGTATGATGAGCGAGGATTGAGGAAATGATGGCAGTCACGGTTTCGTAGCAATGGTGTAAGTAGGTATGGAAGTCGCAGGACTTTTGACGTAGTAAAGAGTTAGTTAACTTTGGTAGTGAGACCCGGGGGAGCCACGCCACATGGAGTGGCGGAAAATGACCTCCGTGATCACTCCAAGTTATTAGAGGGAAGATGCCAAAGGGGATCAGGAAGGAGGACTGCAATCCTAAAAGAGAGCGATGGGAAAGAAAGGCAGTCCAAAAAAGGGCGAGGAAGTCGGAAAGAAAGGAGAGAAGGAGAAAAAGAGGAAGAGGGGAGAAGAAAGAAGGAGGAAGGGGGGAGATGAAGAAGAAAAAAAGAAGCAGCAACAGCAGCAGCAACAGCAGCAGCAACAGCAACAACAGTGACCGTAGCTTTGAGCCCGACTGGGGAAGAGAATAATAGACAGAGACAGAGAGACAACAGCCCAAAAAAGGACGATGGTCGATGAGGGTCGGCGAGGGACTGTGAGGGCCGAGACAAACAAGCCGCCCGTTTCTGAACCAGGGGAAAACTACGGAGTACTCGGTTGGTTACACACTTTTCTCGCCCTCTGGGGCCGTCGCCGGCCGTCACAACAGCTGTCTGTAACTATGGACTATGGAGCACTTACTCAGTAAGTTACTGCTGGTTAATGATAGATTATGGAGTCGCATGGTATCGAGGTATTATTGGACTCTGCCCTCTCCTCCTTCTCCCTCCCCCCTCCCCCCCTGCCCTCGATTGATTGATTGATTGATTCATTGATTGATCGATAGGATGGATCTGATTCGACTTTGCCTGCATCGTCCCGAATCTGTTCCCTCTCTCTCTCTTTTTCTCTTCCTCCTCATGGGTACAGCACATACATACATGCAGATGCCACCTCCAACCGCCTTGTCTGCCTTCTGACCGTTCTGTCTTGTGCTCCATACCTGGTGGGCAATGTGTCATGCGGGAACTAACGAAAATCACCATCACGGTACGTAGGAGAAAAAAAAAAGAAAACAAGAAAAATACAGAGAAAAAGAAAAACCTCAAAACGGAAAGATAATCATGAAGGAAAATCTCTTCAATTGTGGAGAAGAATCCACCTACGTCGAGAGAGTCAGAGGGAGGCAGGCCCAATCCGAATCATTATTATTGCTTCAAATTGGTGTTGACGAGGAAAGGAAGTGGAAGAAGTTCATTGGTACCTGCCTTAGAGTAACCGCCCAGTGCGTACTAGGTAGGTAGTAGTCATGTATCTGCCGGGTACTCCACATTAATCCACCCTCTCTCTCAGCATCCAGAATGTGGAAGACAAGCTAGGCAGGTAAACCGCTGAACCAGAGATGGGTAATTTACATACATTATACTACGTAGTACGTACTGTACATTGTTCATGCTTCTGATTTAGTTCTTGTTCAGTATCTAGCTACTGCACAACATAAATCTAGATGGCCCTACCGTGCAATTAATTATATGAAGTATGAGTACAGTACATACGTAGCAGTTTAATTCATGGCCATGGCTCGGACAACAGTCCTGTAGGAGAGGCGGCGCCGCGGCGGGCAAGGCGCTTTTCTCGGCCGTTGGAACCGATCATGGTAAATCAACGGGAGCTATGTTCACACTCATCTACATAGTGAACGTGTGCCAGAGCAAAGCAGTGATGCAACAGATACCCATACAATATAAGGGCAACCGCATTGAGCTACCTCGAGCCACAGTTGAGGCCCAAATATGCTCAGCACAATCCCTTCGTCATACTGAAGTCTAAGGCAGATGCAGCTTATTACTCCATCCCCTTCGGGACTCGAACTTAACCGAGACTCGAGGGCGTCGCTCGTGGTCCCTCCAGGGTCCTGGATCATGCAATGACGTTGAACCCTTTTTCTCGATCTTGTCCAGATGGTGAATGAGCATCCGAGCGCGCGGCACCTCTCCCTTGTACAGGCCGGGCGGGATTTTAAGGCGCTGGGCAACATCGACACCAGTATCACGATGATCACTAGGCCACCACGACCATCCACCACCAGTGCTGTGATGCGATGTAAAACTCAAGACGGTAACTAAAACGGGCGCACTCTTACTCATACGAGTAAAGACCCAAATTCATTGCCGCCCACTCCTTGGTGGGGCCTGTGACAAAACCGCAGCCCCAGAGTGTTCTAAGACTAAAGAAGAACGTCCAGAGGGGCCAAATGACGATGCAGTTGGGTTCCTACGGTGGGGACATCTGAACCATAAATGCGGCGCTAACTCTTAGCTCGCTGCCGAGTCAATAGAGGCCAGTCGAGGGATAAAAACATAAAAACACTGGAAAAGGACATACCGGCCGATACAGAGTCAAAATCGGACATGACGGCATGCATAAGAATCAACAGATGTGATGCATTTGCTGCCGACCTTACAGTTGGCAAAAGCACCTACTCAGATCAAACAGGATATTGACGGAACGCAGACAACCTTGTTGTGTGGTTTTCTGTCATGAGGTGGATCAGGACATGACACTTTCTCCCGACAGTGCTACTGCCTCGGTATACTGCCCGTACTGTGAAGAACGTCTTCATCGCGGGAGCTCATTTCCCGCCGTTCGGGCTGCTTATTGCTACGGAGAAGCTAAAAGTCGTTAATATCCCGCCCTGCCGGCCGTGACAGCGTATCATTGACAGGTCGAATGTGCTGTGGTCCAAGCGTGCAGAACCGTAACGAGAGCATACACCACAATTTTTGTAGCAGAGCTCAGCCTGCGAGAGGACAAGATATAGCCACTGTTCCGAGACTCTCTACATGTATAATCCTGCAAAAACACCAGGCATTCTCTTTACTGTAGAATGGTCTATGAGGTGTCGGTCAAGGTGGGAGTGTCCATCGTCTAACTTCCTTAACATCCTGAGAACCTTTCCCTAGATTGAGTCCTCGGCAACACCAACGTCGACTTGCGTCAGTGGCTCACTCGATTTACTTCACCGATCCTTTGGCGAGGGCTAAATTTCAATGACGCTAGGTATGAACAGACTCCTAGAGACTTTGAAATTGATTCCTATTCTCGCGAGTGGTGACTGGTGACGGAATCGATATCCACCTGCTGTTCAAGTCTACACGCCCGACCGCCCGACCGGTCCGTGATTATGCTCAATACCTCGTCATCACTTGAAGCCTAGAGCATGGAGTAGCTAATTGCCCACTCTGCTGCCAAAAAGTCCCCGAGTCAGATCGCGGGCTGACCAGCGGTAAGCCTGAAGGATCCGCTTATCGGAGCGGCGTTTCCACACTCCCTCAGGCTCTGCTGAGATCTTATCCAGTGCCGATTGTCCAGTACGAATTACTGTGCGCGCACCCTTCAAGTCGTCATGCCCATCTTCCTCATACGTACTAGAAATCCCGCCTCAATCATCAAGCAAAAGCAATCGAAATGGTAGTAACCTTAAGTGATAAGACAACCCCTCCTGTCAGAGGAAAGTCAAGGCACTGTATGTACGGAGTAGGTATCCCTCAATACATTCCCAACAGACCCCAGTCTCCGAACTTCCCCCCCGACGGCCAATGCTAATCAATCAATAGTAGATCACCGTTTTCCTGCATCTGAACCACATTACCATCCCCTTCCCCTCCCCAGAGCCAAAAAAAAGACCCGGCCAGATCCCAATCCGAAGGAAGGAACAGGTGAGACATTCCGTCTTACTAATCTTCCTTGTCCACCGTAAGAGAGGGGAGAAAGGAACGGACGGAAGGGGAGAGGATCAAGAGGGGAATGAGATACAGAAAAAGAGTAGAATCGCTGCAACCCGGCCGAGACGGTGTACTGTCGACTACGGGAGCGCAGCACGCACAGCACGCTGGTTAATCTCACTCACATTTTCACTTTTCCACCTTGCATGCTTGTGGTGGGAGAGACAGTCGGAAATTATCCCACCCGCCACAGAAAGCCTCTCATGGGCCGGGTAATTTTATTGTTGGATTGTTCGCCGAAGGGAAGGGGTAAAGGAGGGGGGAAAATGCCAAACCAAATTAGCATTCAGGAACGACACGCGGGAAAGTCTCCCAGGACCATGGTACGGAGCTTTTTATTTTGATCAATCAGTTCTTTAAGGCACTATCCGAGCCTTTCGTAATGCCGACCCCCCTCCCTCCCGGCTGGGTTCAGTCCGCGCGCGCGCGATCAATCTGATTTATCCCCCAGGCTCATGCATGTAATCCGTCACCTTGAAAAGTACGCACCCATAAGAAAGAGACCTCCATGAGAGATGACCCATTCATTGTGCGAGAATCATGAACGATTGCACATCAGTGCACTTGAGTACTAGGTAGTTAGTTGCCTCTCAGCCGCTAACAAAATTCTACCTCGAGTACTGTACCTTACACCAACCAAAAGTCACACTCGCACCCGACGCGATCATCGTTGATGATAGGCGGAGTAATTTTATCTTTTGGTTTTCGATCACCAGGTACAACCAAACTGTGGGCCACTTCTACGATTGAGATTCTCAGTCAAAACCAGAAAAAAAAAATAAAAACAAGCAGAAATCTTGTGATGGGTTTAGGTGTTGGCAGTTGCCCATCCCTCTTTTTGCTTTGGATCACAGATCTACTAGTTTTGTACTACAGAGGTCGGCAAGGGTATGTGCCTGTAGACCAGACAACCTTCTTTGCTTCGGTTCAGTAGCTCGTCTCATCTCCCAGCCGTTGCATGGGGTGAGTGGAATCAGTCTCTGGAGAGTATCTTATGACTAGGTAGCTTACACGCCGCTAAGTTAGTGACTTCATGCTGCAGCCCAATATGCGGGGAGGGTTGGCGGTGACAATGCCGTTGAGATGTATGTACATTTACATGTACCGTGTGGCGAAGAAGTGTCTAATTATGTGCATAGTGCATCGTGAAAACGAGGGTCCAGCTTATTGAAAAATATGGGGTTTCAAAGTCATTTTATTTTCCCGTGTGGGGAAATGTACAGTACTGTTATACCTTGCTTCAATGATAGAATTTGTTGGGGAAGAAGGGGGGGGGAGTGGAGGAGGGGAGGGGTCCAAAAAGTCAACTCAACGACAGCACTGCAGGACACCATCAGCCTAAGTTAAACGGGCTGATCTTCGCAGGGAATAAGGAAATCGGGCCCGGGGGGTTGTTTTGCCCTGTCCACGCAGGGACCCTCTCCCTCCCCTCCGCTAATGATCGAGCATGCGCCCAAATGTAGGGCAGAGGTTGTTGTGCTAGGCTTACAGCTGCAGATCACTTCGTACAGTACGTAACTGCGTTTAATTCTCCTTAGGTTTCTACGAGTATCAGAGTTTAGCTGGTTGATCTATAACCAGTACCATCTGAGAGTAGTACAATATCCTCATAGGTACTTCTCAATCTGAAAACCACCAGTACTGCACTACAAATGCAATACCGACCGTGTACACCCCATCAACTTTGAAATCTTTGATCTTCCATCCCTCAACGGCTGATCAACAACCCCCACTGCCTCCCTGGAATCACATGAAATCTACTGTGGCGATCCAGCACAGTGGCTCAGAACACAGGCAACAACAAAACAACCTCTCCACCAAAGACACGCCAGCATTAATGTGTATGCCTGGGCTGATTGGCTTACCAACCAGGAAACCCACCTGCGTACTCAGCCACCCTACAAAAGACACACAACACATAGCTTGATACTGAGTGCACAGTATTTCATATCTAGGATGTCGATCATTCCTCGCCCCGTTGGAAGCCAAGGGGATTCGCTTTCCCTCCTCAGCCACAAACCCGCCACGTGAGCTGTTGATCATTCCACACAATCAGCGCCAAATGTTATACTCTTACTTAGTGCACTCCGTCTTGGAGGGCACAGACAACCCAACAAAACCCAGACATCTAGTCTATTCTGGACTTGCCCGATGATCGGCACAGGGTCGGTACTGTACAGTAGCCCGCTCTTACTTGATTATTGCAGTATTTGAAAAAGATACGTGTGGGTTAGGTCTGTGGTCATGGTACGTGCGGGACTAGATATGGCAGACCGTATTTCGTTGTTCGCAAAAGCTCATGAGTAGCTAGCAATGGGTTTACGTCCGGAGTCAGGCTAAGCTTAAATTGCCGGGATGGGCTGTAGCGGACCACGTTGGATGGTGCGCTGGCATCCAGCATAACAAGGGTAAGGTAGTTGCTTGTGCCCCGTAGCCATGACTATAAGATGCCCCAATAAGATGCTTGCTGGGGATGCTTCGCGTGTTAGTCTGGTTGTGTAGCTGGATTCTTGCACTTTTCATTATAAGGAAAACCACCAACGCCATCGACCACCGTGACGCTAAAATCAGAATTAGAGCAGCTCTTGGAAAACCGTTCAAGCATCGGACGCCACGTCTTGGATTCGAGCGCCTTTCCCGACAGCATGCATACTCACTGGCTGGGCATCTTCTTGTACGCTGCTGGATCCGGATTCCTCGTCCGCACCACTCTGTGTATGGGCTCTCTCCCAAGACGTGGAGGCACACAGAATGAAAGAAGCTCGCACAGCGTCGAGACAACCCAAGCCAAAGGGCCACTCCAACTCACGCCTACCTACTAAATAATAGATAAGATAACCCCCCTCCCCCCGGGGATAACCCCAACCAATGACGTCAACATAATTTGCGGCAGTCAACTACTTAACCCCATTCGATATCCAAACCACCCTCAACCGACATGAATCAACACTGTTCGCACCAGCAAAGTGGTTACTGAAGACGCGCAGAGATCTAAAATATTCCAAACAAACCGAACTTGACCCCCCTTCCCAGAAAATCCCAGTCAAAGCCAGTAGAAACTCCGGATCTAAATGACCCAGAGTCTTCATGGAGATGCCCCGGGCCTCCCAAAAAACATCACTGCAATTTGAAGCTAACTTATCGGGTACATCGCTTCCGCAATCTATTTGGCTCCCCTTCCAGAACCCGATACCGACGACTCACGTGGCGGCTGAGGAACCGTTTTATGGACCACGAGTCGTGCGTGTCGTTCTTTTCACTAGCAGTAGCAGTAACAGTGGCAGCAGTGGCGTTGCCAGGATGGGAGCTCAACCCGAAAGAAGAGGACGACCCTTGCACTAGCCATCGGGTTTCGTCTCTTGGTTCTTCTTGTCGGAAGGATGTGCTGGTGCTGGTGCTGGTGCTGGCTGCTGCCATTGACGCTGCGCCCATTTGTCTGACTGTACACGCAGCAGGTTTCTGGCGATGTTGACGGGGACAATGGTGGACAATGGGTGGATTGATTTTGAACAATGATGACAATGGGGGCGGTGGCTTCCTCTTTTCCGGGGATGCGCTAATGAGTCCTCCGTGGGAAATAGGTTTGCATTTGCCAGAATAGTAGATTGGCTTGATCTAATCGAGTTATTTCAGGTGGAGAGTCATCTGGCTATGACTCGGACTGGAACAGCTTTGATGAGAAGCTGGGTCCGAAAATTGTACTCGTAGGCAACAACGAAGTATTCGATGGTGGCTGGTGGGCGGCGGCGGCGGCGGGCTTGGATGAATGGACTGGCCAGGTGCGCAATTATTGCTGGGTGGTGCTTAGTTGAGGACTCAAGTGGAGTTTGAAATTCCTAAAATAAGAGCAGTCTTTATTGGAGTGGTAAAATAGGGATTCAAATCCTGTCTCAAGCTGTTATTGAACTCGTTCACAATAGGATGGAAGGTAATTGCTTGCAGTAAATGCGGTAAGCCTCGGAGATACTGGCTCAGCTACGGGACAAGTCCGGTTTGCTTTTTTGATCGAGGTAAAGGTGTCAGTCATATGTTATGTAAGTGTAAGTATCTCACTGTAGGCCGACAGTCACATTGATGATTGGTGTCTTGGCTGGATATAATGAATCGAGTTTACATGTTACTCAGTATGTACTCTGGATTAACTTCGGAACCCTCGGAGGCAGGAACAATAGGCGGGACAGAAATAGAGAACCAAACCACGGTTCGAGGATGGGGACCTTCGCCCATGGTTTAATGAGCCACGCACGTGTTTGCCCCCGTCCGCTATTGTTGCGATTCAATACGAACCACTGGTGGAGATTTAAATCCATGTTCTAGAAGATTGCCTACCTTACCGTTTTGCTTAGTACTGTATATGTATGTACAGTAGCTGCAACTGGAGCGAGCCGGTGCTCATACAGTACTGTCGGTAGGTACTGGTGATCTCATAGCTGCAATCATATGATGTGGCCATGCAATATCCGACTTCTTCTGACCGGGCGCTTTTTCCACCGGTTCACTGTATGTATATAGTAGTAGTCACAATCGGTGCGGTTGACATTTGAACTCATTGGGTACATGCATCTGCTGACTTTTAACACGCCCCCGCCAGCTTCGACCGGTTGGAGGCGTAGTATCCCAGGCAAGGCTCTTACCAGCTGCCACCAAGCATGGTCATTGACAGGCACAGCCCTCCAGCTTCAGGCAGCTCTCTGGCCTCATGTTGGCCAGCTGATTGGTCTCCACCGATCGAAATGAGGGGATTGGAGGATCTAATATTCGCCTGTATTCGCCTCCAGGCTCCCACTCATACTTGATGGTACCTAGTCCGTCAAGATCTGAAAAGGGCAGCTACACCATCAACAACTTGCACCTTAATCTCATGGTTAGCCAGGAAGCATTTCTAGTTCGGGTCTCATATGCTTGACTCTTGGTAGCAAGTTCATACAAATCTGCTGACGCATTGCCTGTCTGGTGTATGGACCGTCAATCCAGCCGGAAGATGAGCAGCTACGTGGATCAGATACGGTTCACTGTGTAGGCTATTATACTGCACCAGTTCAAAAGCCTGGGATGTGGGAGGGTCATGGGAGCTTATGGTTGTGGTGTATCTTTTAGCCAAGGTAGTAGATTTTACGCCTGAAAGATGGGGGGGTGGCTTGCTGGATCAGGCCAACCAGCAACTGAGGTCTCCCGTATGTCCATCTCGACTACATGCTTTATGAACACCCTGCCTGCTGGTCAATAGGTCAACAACCCCCTTCTCTTCCAACGTATTTCCCATCCATATCAAAACCAGAATATCGCCCCCGAAGGGCACATTCGAGTATCAGGTCTTCATCTCGAATTCATGTACGGAGACATACACCATGTAACCATCAACGCCCAAATCCCCGATAACCACCACTAAAGGGTATATGGTACCTTACATTCCCAGAAACCCCATTTTCCATAAACCATCTCACATCATCTCCAACAGATCCATTCTACTATTGTAACACTTTCGCTACTATCAAAACTCAGACCCAAAATCCCACCCATTCGCAACGGACATCAATCCCCACTGCACCCACCTCCAGGCTATACCCAAATGCCAAACTCCCGCTACAACCGATCTACCCAATATCCCCGTATACATACATACCCTTTCCCAACCTCGCCCACGCAGCGCTATTCAGAATTTTGAAATGAACGACAAGAAGTTGCGACTAACTATCACTTTGTACTGCCATGTTTCGCAACACACATATGCAGACAGCCACAAATATCTACATCAACAACCGCGCGCGAAAGAGGGAGGGGGGGAGGGGAAAGGTGAATTCCGGCCTGGAATGAGGGGCAGGGCTTCGGTTTGTTCAACCTCTTTGCCTTGATGTACTGTTGCCTTGATGTACTGTTGCCTTGAAGGCGGGGAGGGTGGAAGAAGTCTTATCTTTGCGAACCCCCCCCTCTTCGTTCTTCCTTCTATGTCGGTCGTGGTCTCGGGCTGCGGATACGGGAAAATCGATGGGCTGGTTTGGAATTGGACTACGGGATAATGGACAATGGGATTGTTGTTTTGAGGGGCTGTGTGCGGAGGGGAGAAAGTTGGGCAGTGGATGCCGGATTGTAAGTGGAGGTGCAGGATAGCTACAGTATAGGTTTGGATTTGGGCTTTGCTGGGGGTTGGTGGGTGGTTGTGCTGTTTGTAGTGCTCTGGGTCTGTGTGTGTTTTGCTTTCACTCTTAGGGGCTGGTTTGGATGAGATGGAAGAAGGGTTGGGTAAACTCGATGGACTCTGGGGACTCGAGAGAGGGTTGGTGTGTTTTGTACTGCTGTAGGTTGGATGATGGGACAGAGGTTTCCCAATGGAATCAGACGAGGATGATGAAGTTGGTTTGATCTGAGGTTTGATCTGAGGTTTGATCTGTGGGTTGTAAGACTAAATAGTAGCATAGCACGCAAGACTATGGAAGACCCCTCTAGTTACCACTATTAATATGTATAGAGGACTATCCATGCTATTATAGTGAACAAGACGAGATTCAGATACACGTGCCGAAGTACGTATGGTATGCTAATTGAGAATGATAATTCAGATTGGGATGTAGCAGTATCCACAGTGGATTTCTTTGCTCTTTGTCCTTAGCATCGAGCCGAGTGCTCGTCATATTGTTGTCTTGCAAGCTCGTGGGGTGTCATTGCTCGAACAAGACCATCAACTCAGTCTAAAAGTCACCATGGGATGAGGGGTGGTATGATGGCAGCTTCTGATACCAGGCGAGCGGCTGACTGGGTGATAAGGCCTTCGCACGTCCAGATCACGTTACAGAAGAAAGACAAGGCAATACAACGTAGTCACAAATCTATTGTACTTTTTGTCTGATTAGAAACAACGAGACACACCATCTTTCCAAGCCGACAAACGCCTTGAGCGTTGGGATATATCATGACCTTAAGAACGCCAAAATCCGCTTCATTCAACTGATACCACAAGCCGCAACTCTCTTGATCGGGCACGGGAAGCATAAACTAGAACCAGATCTTAATCAACTCCTCACTCACCGCACTTGGCGTCAAGACGCCGCTGTCTGTGATCAGTGCGGATATCAGATGGGGAGGCGTGTAATCAACCACGTCCGAGCTGTCCGGCGACTTAACGTTGGGTGTGGGCTGTGCTTGTTGCTGCTGCTGCGTGGCTTCGTCGGCGACATCTTCTTCGGTCTTGAAGTCGATCACGCGCTGCTCAATGGGCAGGTCGTACTGTCCAAGCGGGTAGAGACGGACGAACTTGTGGCTCTCCGCCACGACGTAGAAAGGCTTGCCCATGGCCTTGGCCAGCAGACCGATCTGGTAGGTGCCCATTCTCGACACGATTCCGCCGTTCTCCACGACACCCTCCGCACCGACAATGACCACGTCGGCCTTGCCAAGCGAGTACGCGACGGCGGACTCCGGGATCGTGGCCACGGGGACACCCTTCTCACGCAGCGCGCGGACTGTCTCCATACCCTCGGGCTCCGCCGACGAGCCCTCGACATCGCCCTTGGCCGGGGACAGCACGTAGATCACCCGGAATCGAACGGCGGACGGGCCGCCCTTCTCACCAGCAGCCTGCTGTAGCAGCGAGGCCACGACTCTGGAGCCACCGTTCGTCAGGACCGTGCTTCCGTCCCGCACAAAGCCTCTTCCGAACGCCGCAATCTTGTCTCGGCTTTCCTTCGCACGTCTGATGAACAGCCGGCCGTTGGACAGCAGGTGCGCCCTGATGGCATTGAAGTCTCCGGCGGGTCCGAGCTGGCCCGGTCTCTGTAGCGTAGTGATCAGGTATCGCTGGAAAAGATCGGTTCCAGCGGAGAGGCCTATGGGGTTCGGGATCGACTGTTTTAAGTGTGCGGTGGATTTCTCCAGAAGATCGAGCGTCTCTGATATCGTCGAGGAGGGGGAGTGTGTGAGGAGTAGCACCAAGGCCTCGATAGCGGCGATTGGCATGGTCAGATCTGGATCGGAGCGGAGCAGCTCATTGTACGTCGCGACGATGCTGGCGACTGTTAGCAGCTTCCAAGGCCGCATGGGCTTTCCATGGCGTCGTCAGGTTTGACTACTTACTCGAACGGCTTCGCCGAGGTGGAAGTGGCAGCTGCCATGATGACTGATGATGCGCTGAACAGCTCTGGAGGAATGATGGATCGAAAAGTCCGTAGGAAGCTGTCGTGCAGCAATTATCCGTAACAATTATTGTCCCATGGTCGCTTCGCCGCAGAGTCATCGAAAAAGGGAAGCGTGGAGTAAGTTTGCATCGTTTGTATATACTGCCCCTCTTCTGGTGCGCTAGTCCGCTTCCGGTTGCCATGCGAGGCCCTTCACTGTAAACAATCAATCATAACATCCAGCCGAAACACGACAACCACGTTTGCATCACATCTTCTCCGACGAATAACTTAGGCGTCGCCTCGTGGAGAGGGCTCTTCTGCATCATGTCGTACGGTCATCGAATGAGTCAACAGTTCCACGGCTCCCAGCAGCACCACAACAGAGGCGGCCGCAAGAAAGAAGATGAAAACGATGCTCTGATGCGACTGGTGAGTACATATCACAAATCCGCGCACCCCGTCTGTGACTTCGTGCCCTGACACTTCCAGTAGCCAGATAAAGAGATTGCAGGATGTATCAACGACATCGGCATACCCTTCACCGCCGCCGACCTGATCAAACCGAACCCGCAGCAGATTCAGATGGTCTTCGAGTGGTTTGCGGAACTCCTGATGAACAACACCCGCGAAACGGTGGAACCAGCAATGCGCGCCGCGGCAGATGATGTTTGTGGCGACTATCCGGATATCGTGCCCACGGATACACGCAACTTGATGGGATTTTTCACCGGACTGCGGCGGTTGATGATGGAGGTACCGATCTTGCCCCCTCCCCCTCCCGGTTGTGACTTCTGACTGACTGTTGTGACTGCCAACCAGTGCGGTGTCAACGATTTTACTTTTACCGACCTGACCAAGCCGACCCACGACCGTCTCGTCAAGATCTTTTCCTATCTCATCAATTTCGTGCGCTTCCGCGAGTCGCAAACCCCCGTGATCGATGAGCATTTCAACAAGGCGGAGAAGACGAAAGCACGCATCGATACCCTCTACGGCGAGAATCAGGAGATGGAACAGCGTCTTGAGGAGATGCGCCGGACTCTGAAAGCCAACGAGGCGCAGGTCAAGGAGAAAGTCCGGAGGAACGATGAATTGAAAGCACGGCTCCTCGAATTGAGACGGAACCAGGAGCGAGTTGCGGAGACACTGGAGCGTGTCAAGGCGGACAAGGCCAGACGACAGGCACAGCTCGAGGAGAAGACAGAAAGGGTGGTGCGCACGCGGCAGGAGGTCGAGAAACTACGACCTTACGTGATGGACAGTCCCGCCTCGCTTCAGTCGTCCCTAGCTGAACTGTCTGAGAGTTTGTATCGTGAGAAAGCGCAGATTGATGCCATGGAGAAGCGGGCAAGAGCTCTGCAAACCTCGTCGGATACGTTCACTGTTGTCAGCAATGATGTACAGGCATGTGTGAAGCTCCTGGAGGATATATCCGTTGAGCTTCAGAAAGAGGAGGAAGAAGAGTCCAGAGCTTCTAGAAACAAAGAAGCTATTTCTGAAAGAGGTAACAATGTAAGGGAAGTGGAGCAGACAGAGAAACTGCTGCAGCGACAGTTGACGCGGTGGAACGAGAGAATCGAGGCTCTGCGGAAGAACGCGCAAGAAAAGGCCGAGGCAGCCCAGGCCCGCATGGAGGAGTTGCGGGAAATCCAGAAACAACTTCGCGAGGAGCGAGCAGACAAACAACGCGACATGGAGCGTCGGAGAATCCGCATTGAACAGACCGAAAAGAAGGTCAGTCATCACCTCTAACTGTCGCCGTGCTTAACTGACCGTTATCTAGATGGCCGATCTCAAAGAGAACATTGAAAGCGAGATCCAAGGCGCTCATGACGAATACCTGAAGCTGGAGTCGCATATCAAACTTTACATCACTGATATGGAAAAATGTTTATGATCTGAGGCAATTCTGTCAGGGGCGCGATTTCGGGAGTTTATGGATTGGTTCTAGGATACCCGTATGATTCAAATATTGCATTGTGGGAGTCTTTCATTACTGGGTATCATTGAAAATCTCTGTCCTCTTCTATCTCAGTGTGTGTTTGAGCATTACCCCGTGCATCATCCACGGTGCCTGCAGTGGCATAGTCTTTCTCAATGAACTCAAACCAACGTTCTGCGACTCGTTTCACAGGTACAGTTCGTCGAAAGAGGGCGGTTTCTTCTGAGACACGCACAGTACTATTCAGCATGGGCACCTGTGCATTCCACGGTAAGACTTCATGGTTCGTTGAGTCTTGGCATTCGCAGAGCACAAGGTCCATATCTGCTCTGAAGGAGGTTTCTGCCAGTGCTGCGAAGGTTCTGGACAGGCCTTGCGCGGAGAATTCCGTGGTTGGGGCATGGAGAGATAGGGAATCAAGGACCGCCAATAGAGGCCGTGCTTCGGTCTGCTCATGTGATTCCTTTTCATTCTGAGGGATACGTTGGGACCCTACTACCGACAAGCAAGCGCGTAGATTCTCCAGAGTTGGGCAGAATAATACTCTAACCCGGCTGGATCTAGACAATAGTCCGATGGTTTTGCCGTAGATGTGATGGCGCCCAGCGACTTCTCCCCTGGTTGGATGAGTAGCAGCGAGCAATCGGGTCAGAAATTGATCCCTGGTTGAGCATACAATCAGGGTTGTTGAGATAGAGTCATGTTGTAAAATTGATTGCAGGAAGTCGGGAGTAGAGCCGGTAGAATATACTTGTCTGGTTGAGCCCATGGCTGGGCCGACTGCTCTGTAAGTGCAGCCACTTAGACGAGGGCTTTGTTCCGCTTTGCTAGCACATAAGAGCTGAAGAGGCTGTTTTGACTGCCATATCACTTTGGCAATTGGTGAGTCAGACACCGATAGACGTCGAGCTGGGACGTTAATGTATGGAGTAGAGAGAGGGGATAAAGACCGGAATGAGGCACGGAGTAGGTACTAAGTATTTACTGACTTACTGTACGTGCGCGGGAAAGCTTGAAGGGTGGATCCACCCAATCGATAACTAACTGAAGTTACTTAACCCAAGCACGTTACCTCAAATCGTCATTTCGGCTTGCCCGCCAGAGAATCACCGAGCACCCAACTTCTCTCTAGCTCTGCGTCACGGAGCGTGTCCCCTTCCAAAAAGCCTCGTCTATTATCGCCTTCCCGTGACGGGCTTCGGAGGCAAAAATGGAGACCATTTCACGGATCTCGTCCATGCTGGAAACAGGTACTGTCCGCCCGAGTGTCATTCCGCCAATTGTCCTCGCTGCCTGAGTAGACTGACTGACCGGAATGTTGTGTCAACAGCCCGCGAGCTCACCCTCGAAGCAGCGCAGTCCGCAGCTTTGAATAGAGGCTCCAGCACGGGGGTATCTCCCCGCAACCTGACGGCCTCGCATATCAAGAAACTATTGGATAGTCGGAGTGACCGCGAAGTCCTCGATGGCATGCGACGGGTGATCACAGTACGGACCAGACCCTCCCCACCAGCCGCAATCACCGAAATAAATGACTAACCCTGTCCTTTGTGAGCACTCAAGTTGATGTACCGAGCTGAGCCATCACTGCCTTTCTTCTCCGCGGTTGTCAAAAATGTAGCAAGCGCCAACTTCGAGGTTAAGAAGCTGGTCTACATCTACCTGGTCCACCATGCGGAGACGGAACCGGACCTTGCGCTGCTGTCCATCAACGCCATCCAGAAGTCGCTTACAGACCAGAATCCGCATGCGCGCGCCATGGCGCTTCGTACAATGGCTGGGATCAGAGTCCCGGTCATCAGTCAGATTGTATCCCTTGCTATCAAGAGGGGATGCGGGGATATGAGCCCGCATGTGCGCAAGGCCGCGGCATTGGCCATTCCGAAGTGTTATCGCCTGGATCCAAACTCCCTGCCGCAGTTGGTTGGTTATATCATAACGTTGCTCGGGGACTCCCAGTACTTTGTCCTGGGGCCCGCTGTGGCCGCGTTCCTGGAGGTTTGCCCCGACCGGATTGACCTGATCCACAAGCACTACCGGACCCTTGTCAAGAAGCTGGTTGATATGGATGAGTGGAGCCAGCTTGCAACGCTGCGCCTTCTAACTTTCTACGCCCGGCAGTGCTTTCCTCGCAAAACCAAAAAAGTCAAGCGCGCGACAGAAACCAAGGGATTCTACGAAGATGACGACAATGGCGACGAGGTGACGGACGAGAACGAGGCCGATTTGGATGAGGTACCCGTCTTGGATCCGGACCTGGAACTTTTCCTGCGCGCTTGTCTGTTGCTGTTGCAGAATCGTAACTCAGCGGTGATCGTTAGTGTTGTCCGCTGTTTCCTTCATCTCGGCACGCCCGAGTACCTTCAAGCTGCTGTTGGTCCGCTCATCGCTCTGCTCAGAAGCCCCCAAGATGTGCAGCATGTTGCGCTCTACAATATTGTGGTCGTGGCTTTGAGACATCCCAAGCCATTCACGAAGTATGCCACGCATTTCTTGGTTCATGCCATCGATCCGCCTCATATATGGCGTCTGAAGCTCGAAGTGCTCACGATAATATTCCCCCACTGTGGACAACATCTAAAGAATGTGATCCTGAGCGAGCTCCAGCATTTCTCGCAAAGCACGAACCCGGAGATGGTCCGAGAAAGTGTACGCGCGATAGGACGTTGTGCGCAAGCTGATACCAGCGCTGCAAATCACTGCCTGCGAGTCTTGCTCAGCCAGATCACGAGCCAGGACGATAATCTGGTAGCGGAGTCATTGACCGTCATTCGTCATCTTATCCAGCAAGACCCTCCTTCGCACGAAAAGACGGTCATTCAGTTAGTAAAGCATCTGGGACTGACAAGCAATCCCGATGCAAGAGCTACGATTGTGTGGCTTGTCGGGGAATTTGCCGGTGCTGAACCCGAAAGGAATATTGCTCCCGATGTCCTGCGAATCCTGGTTCAGGACTTCGCCAACGAGGCCGAGGCCGTGAAGCAGCAGATTGTCCTTCTCGGCGCAAAGGTCTATCTCCATCATTTGCTACGGAACCCACCTAAGGAGGAGCCAGAGGCACAAATGCCACCGCCAGCTAAAACGGAGGAGGCAGTCGTCAATGAATGGGCCGACACTCCGAATGAGCAAGAGCCTGAAACCAATGGCCAGGAAGAGCACAAGAGTGAGCCCGAGGAGGACCAGATAGCCTTGCTTTGGCGGTATATCCTTCTTCTGGCCCGATACGACTCCTCCTACGATCTTCGCGACCGAGCACGACTTTACAAGGCTCTCCTTGCGTCTCCTTCGATGACGCAGTTGGCCAACCTACTTCTTCTCGCACCCAAACCTGTTCCCCATGCCCCCAGCCCGTCCGAGACGCGCAAGGATCTCTTGATAGGCTCCTCGACCCTTGTGATCGGGCCAGACGCGGGCATGCTCGGACTCAAGGGTTATGAGAACCTTCCTGACTGGGTCGCAGCCGGGCAAGAGCCCGACCCGCGCCTTCGCGAATCAGAGGTCAAGCCAGACCCCACCGGACGGGCATCGATGACGGCAGGCGAGCGGCTTGATCAGGCTCTCAAGGAGCATGAGCAGAGTGCCTCGTCTTCCAAGAAGGCACAGCTCGGTCGTCCAGGAGGGGCATCTTCGAAGGGCAAGACGTTGGACGAGTGGCTAGAGGAGCCGGAGTCTGAGAGCGAGGATGAAACGGAGTCAGAAGAGGAGGTAACTGACTCTGAGTATGAGACCGATGAGGAGGAGACGGAAGAAGAAGAGACTGAAGAGGACGAATCGGAAGAGGAAGAGGACGAGACCGATTCTGAAGACCAGGGGCAGACGACAGGACTCTTGAAACGGTGATGGCCGGTTTACTTTCTCCTGTAGTGATAGAGCTTACTTTTGTGAACATGTAGATACCATTCAAACCTTGCTTTCCATTCTGACATTCATTTTCCCTCTTGTCCCGCGAAGCACAACACAATTTCGGTAGCCAAACAAACCACGCTGATTTTAGCCAACTGGCGGGAAATACAACGACAACAAATCAGGCGGTGTCCTGCGGCAGAACGGCGGAAAGTGTGAATCCTCTCCCTCACAGCGAGGCTGAGACGGTTCTCAAGAGATCACATCACGCCTCAAACATCGGACCATTCGCTTTCAACTTCCTGGGATCCGTCTGGCTATGGCTGAAGCCAGCTGCGAGTGAGCTGATCGCACATCCCTGCCAATTTTTCCGCCTACCCGCGTCCAAGACTCCGAGTCGCTCGCCAGGTTGTGACCCGCGCGCGCTCCGTCCCCCTGCTGCTCTTCCAGTGGACTCAGCTGTCGGCCACGATGCGAGCTACTGCAGGAACCTCCCTCCAAAATCAACACATCCCTTCTTCGATCGACCTACCTATATCACAGTCTATGCGTCTTTCCTTCTGTGACCGTTACTGAGAACCGATCGTCCGAACCGACCATCCATTTACACCTAATCTTCGAGAGACGGACGCGAAACGACCACATCCGCCTCAGCCCTCCCTCCCTAACCACTTTACTTTCTCAAAACAAAAGACCCCGGCCTCGCCTCACCTTGGCTGTATAACCAGATAGACAAAAGAGAAAAGCTCCCGCCATCAGAAACGGGAACCCGACCTCCACGGGTCACCTGCTCCCAAAAATGCCTGGTTTACCGGGTAAGTCTTCCCCGCTGCTGCGCTTCTTGCGCTACGCCGCCACACCCAAAACCCTCCCGTGCCGAGGCAATTTCGCCTTTGTCCCCTCTAAACTGAATATCATACTCATATTTTTTAATTAATGTGTTCGTAGCGAGTATCGATCTAGATGAGTGCATCGAGAGACTCTATCGCAAAGAGTTACTGGCAGACTCCGTTATCGAGGCAATATGCGCCAAAGCGAAGGAGTTGTTGATGAAGGAGAGCAATGTTGTGCACATCGCGGCTCCGGTGACGGTCGTCGGAGACATCCACGGACAGTTTTTTGATATGATTGAGATTTTCAAGATCGGCGGGTTCTGTCCGAATACGAATTATTTGTTTTTAGGTGGGTTTTCCTTTTTTCCCTTTTCCCCGCGGGGGAGTTCGTGGGGGAAGAGAAGACAAAGGGGTTAGGGGATGATGAAGGCCTGGTGCAAAGAGAGGGATTCGCTGCAGTGCGGCGGTAGACGTTCGAAACAACTCGAATGGCAAGCTGACTTCGGACCCTTTCACCCTAGGCGACTACGTCGACCGGGGCCTCTTCAGCGTGGAGACGATCTCGCTGCTGGTGTGCCTGAAGCTGCGGTACCCGCAGCGCGTGCACCTGATCCGGGGCAACCACGAGTCGCGCGGGGTGACGCAGTCGTACGGGTTCTACACGGAGTGCGCGCGCAAGTACGGCAACGCGAACGTGTGGCACTACTTCACGGACATGTTCGACTTCCTGACGCTGAGCGTGGTGATCAACGACCAGATCTTCTGCGTGCACGGCGGGCTGTCGCCCTCGATCCACTCGATCGACCAGATCAAGATCATCGACCGCTTCCGCGAGATCCCCCACGAGGGGCCCATGGCCGACCTCGTCTGGTCCGACCCGGACACCGAGCGCGACGAGTTCTCCCTCTCCCCGCGCGGCGCCGGCTACACCTTCGGCGCCCAGGTCGTGCGCAAGTTCCTCGAGGTCAACAGCATGTCCCACATCCTGCGCGCCCACCAGCTCTGCCAGGAGGGGTACCAGGTGCTCTACGACGACCGCCTCAGCACCGTCTGGAGCGCCCCCAATTACTGCTACCGCTGCGGCAACCTGGCCAGCGTGCTCGAGGTCAGCGATACCGGCGAGCGCTACTTCAACATCTTCGACGCCGCGCCCGAGAACGACATCCACCGCGGCGAGCAGCAGGCGCAGCAGAATAAGGACGGCCAGAGCCCCGTAATTGATTACTTTCTGTGATGATACCCCCCTTTGTTTTGTCGTGTGTTTTTGTGGTGAGGTGTTGCTTGGTTTTGTCTAGTCTAAGAACATTTTGCTTCCTTTTTTTTTTCTTACGTTCTTGTTCTAACATATATCTATTCTGGGTTGTCCCCCACTCCCTTATCTCCTTTCTGTGCATTTATGATTTCTCAGGGGTGGGAAGTTGGGTAGATATCCAAGCATTTATAGACCGCTGTCAGGTGTTGTCATGTAAAAGAGAAATTTTAAGAGATATTGGATGGGTTGATACTGGAAGAAGAGGGCTTCAGAGGGGAGGGTTGCGAACAGTTCTATCAACAGTTGGGAAGCCAGTCTTAAAACCGACAGATCCTGCTACATACTACAAGTGACGTGGGTTATTACCAGCAACATCACACAACTTTTTACAAGTAGTTATATATATGGGCTAAAGATAGCTTATAGATCTGCATAAACCTCTTGGTGAGGTTACTGGTTCAAGTGCTAGTTACAAAAATTGTCAGATGAATCTTGAGAATAAGTTCTCAACTAGTTCAAATACCAATTGAAGATTACCCGCCAACTTCAACCTTCTTTCCACTATGTTGATTTCCAAGTCAGGTGTGCGTGTGTCCAATAAAGCAAATGGAGCTAGACGGAGACCGGGGAAGGTATGTGGGCCACAGGATCTCCACACTATTACCAACAGAAGGTTCGCATGCAACTCATATATGCAGATATATATATATTTTTGTAGTATAGTGTAGTCACTAAGTCCCAACCTCCCATCCAAAAAAAGCAAGAGAGGTTCTAGAAGAAAAGTAGAATTTATATATATGGAAAATCGGATAGATTTCTCTCAAATGATGTGTGCGAACAAATGCGTCCCAACGCTTGTAAATACTGGCAAGAAATAGTTATGCTGGCCCCATGGGACAAAAAAAAAGATGGGGTGGATCTTTGATCGTGGTTTCATAGGAAAAGAGAACACAGACGGGGGGGGAGGGGAAAGAAAACAGGAACGAAGATGATCTACCAGTCCTTGGCGATGTCAAATGACCACTCGAACTGGAGGTGAGTGTGGTCGTCGTCGTCGATGAACTTGGAGATGGCGTTGTAGTGGCCACGGTACAGCATTCCCGAGGGGGCTTCTTCGGCGGCGACTGTTTCATGAAAAGGTTAGTTGGTTATAGTAGTATGATGGGGAGGGGGTTTTAGCTGGCTCAACTTACACTTCTTCTCGTAGAACTGCTTGTCGGTGGTGTTGGGGGCGTAGCTTCCCTGTGACGAGTTATTAGGAAATTAGGGCGAGGAAGGGGAGGAGGAGGGGGGAAACTTACCAGCATCTCCTCATCCTTGCTGACCCGGACACCCTTGCGCTTGACGACCTGCAGGTACTTGAGGCCGCTGAGCACCTCGTGGTGCACCTGGAAGACGACCTTGATGTGGAAGGTGGAGCCCTCCTTGATCTTGAACGGCTGGTCCTTGAGCCCCTCCAGCGCGCCGGGGGCGGACAGGTCGATCACCACGTCGGACCGGCCCTCGACCTCCAGGGCCAGGGACTTGATGATGCACTTGCGGGGGTCGCTGGGGTCGCCAATCGGGGTGCCGGAGTTGAGGCCGAGCGAGGCCTTCCACCGGTTCAAGGCCTCGTCATCCTTATCTATGGTAAAGGAGAGAGGGATGGTTAGTAGGGGATAGAAACCATTGATGGCTTTGATGTTGTGGAGAAGCCTATAACAGCCGCGATGCAACTAGGTTTGTCTTCTGCATGGGGTAATTAAGCAAGGGGGAGGGGGAGCCGGCGTTAATGGCCACGAGGCAGAAGTAGAGGAAAGAAGAGGAGGGGGCGGAATGCTTGTGACAACAAAAGGGGGAGGAAGAGGGATACATCAAGAACAAATGATCACACATACCAAGCTCAGCATATTCGTTGATGGTCTTCTTCTCGCCGACCTTGAAGCCCTCGGTCTTGGTGGCAGTGAGATCGTCTTCGTGTTCAGGCATGGTGGTGGTGGTGATAGTGGTGGTGATGGTGTTGTTGATTTGGTTGTTTTGGTGGCTCTGGTGGGGTATTTGGATAGCGGATGGGAGAATGTGTCCAGAGGTAAATTGCTGGGGAAGATGCTCGCCTCACAGATGGCGGTTTTCTTGATTAGCCCAAGGACCAATTTAAGACCAAGAATCGAAGAGATTTCAAGTAGGGTCACTCACCGAGATTAAAATGAGGCCAGGAATTGCTGGGGGAGAGAATTGTTTTGGGATGTTTTGGAGTGGAAGGCCAATTGAACTACTAAAGGCCAAGTGGGGGGAAGGAAAAGGCGGTGGACAATCATGGCTATCAATGGATGGCCTTACAGGAGGGGGAGATTTAACTTATGAGTAGTTATCTCGGATGGGCCAGACTCATAGACTCATCACCATCACTAGCACTGGCACTGGCAGTGTGTACTGTACCTGATTGATCGATACCGAGTCATGGAATTGCTGGTCACGCAGTACTCGACCTCACACGAGAGAAGACGACTGCTTGACAAGGTGGCTGTTTACCAAATTGTACCTCGAAGGTGATCAGTCCTTTTTCTTGCCAGGCCATCAACATGAGGATTGCCCGGTCTTAGTCGAGGCTCCAGGAGTCCAGATGAGACATTTCTAGCCAAACATTACTCGCACTATGAAACCCCTGTCAAAATCAGCAACCAAGCTTGGACATGGGGCGCTGTTGGATCTTATCCGCTTCATGGTGGAAGCGCTTACTGTGTTTCTGCTCACTGTGTAGCTCTTCAGAGTGGGGTGAGTGTACAGTAACAGTGCCAGTACCTAGTACAGTACATGGCTCCTTTTCGAGTCGATCAACACTGGTGCTCCTCTAGTCTCAAACTAAATATACCCTTTGACTTCTCATAACATGTACCAGAAACCCTAGTACATATTTATAGAATGGTGTACTGTATATGTCATCTCTGGGTGTCGACTTCTCTACTTAATATCGTGAGTCCATGCCACTAAGGTCATCATCTTACGCCGCGCTAGGGGCCAGAAGGACCGTTCCAAGATCGTGATTGCCAGGTGCCAAGGTGCTCTTATCAAGAGCTACACACTGTGCAGACTATTGGAGGTATCTAATATCGAGGGAAAATATTCTCTGAGATCCTTGAAGCCTAGAGAACTTCATATACTCGCACTAATCGCTCTTCATACGGTCAGTCCAACATCCGAGGGTCATCAGTTGACTCAGAGACAATCGAGCTTTTCTACCCTGAGAATATACCAATCCAAGATTCAGTGTTTTGACAGTCCCCGTTGCCGAGGTTCCATATTTCCCGAGAGGTCTGCGAGTTCCATGTCCAAATGCGGCATTGTTCTGGAAGCGCGGACCAAGGTCTGTATCGAGGATGAAGCGGTGAGCATTGCAAATGTAAGAAAGATATTGCCTGCTGCTAAAAGAGTCCTAAGTTCCCGAAGGGAAGCAAGTAGATCAGCCATTCGAAGCCGTTACAAGAGTCTTCTACAGTGCTATTGGTGCGCATGGCTCGTGGACTGTCCTAAATCTGGTCTGCTTGACTGATAAGAACGAATCTCGCCCAAGCCAGTACTAGAGCGAAAGAGCGAACATATGGAGTAACTACTTGTCAGTTCCCCCAGACGGTAGTTAGTTAGGGAAGTTAGCGAAGTGTCAGCCCTGGCTCTGTGCATGTCTTTATGCATACCCCCATGTCCGGACTTCTGGCAAGGAATTTTGCTATCTAAAATTTTTCTTTGGTTCTTATCCCCTTCTTCTTTTTCAACGTGAGAATTGGGTAAATTCGAATGTGTTATAATCATGTATCCCGTAGCTCGATGACGAGTCGAAAACCCCCGCGACAAACTAAGGTGAGGCCCAACAAACCAAAACAAGAGAAGCGCGTCACGGGGACAACCGCGCTAGCTCAGGCGCCAAGGCATCAATACGTAGTGGGCGTTTCTCTGTAATCATTGATACCGGGGGATGAGCCGGCGGCGCTGGTACTTACTTTTCGGGTTAGAGGATGGGCCAATTGGTACGGATGACTGGTTGATTCAACGGTGATGCTGCAGTAGCGCCGTAACATTAGCCGGGCGGAACCGTCACGTAACCAGCGGAACATGCAATGATGGGAAGCGATTCGCCCGTCCTGTTTCGCTCGACTTTCATTCTCTGATTATTTTCCCTCCCCTACTCCCGAGTCTAGAGAAACCTAACCTTTTAGCGACTGCTGCTGCTGCTACTGCTTATCGACCGAGCGCCGCCTGGACTCCTCCCACACCCCCATTCCTGCCTTTATCATCTGGCTGGTTGTCGCGTATTTCCTTTCAAGCTTCACACCCCATCTACTGTCCGCCCGGTTTCCAAACCGTCGTGTTTGTCACCTGTGCGCTTTCGTCTTGGTGACGTCTTCTCTTCTCGCGATTTGTAGACAAGAGAGCGGCGACAAACGCGCCTGCAACGTGGCCGCCGCTTTGGTGTCGCATCCCCCCATCCATCATCCCACTCACCACCGTCCATCGCCCGAGTCTTTTCGAGTCTCTAAATTGATACCTCCCGCCCAATCCAATTCGTTCATCATGGTGCGCACCTTGCCGAGAAAGAACAACCCGCTCATCCTTAGCGATGAAGCGCCTGCTTGTAAGTTGTGCCTCTGCATCGGCAGCGTCGATTCCGATCTCGACCATTGCTATATCCACTCCACTCCGATCTGAGGTCGCGCCAGACTAACACGCACCTTGCTTCGTGCTTCTGCGATGACAGACGAAGAACTTCTTGCGCGCCGTCGCTTGGGAAAGACAAATCTTGCCGTGAAGCCCACCCAGATCGGCACCTCCAATGCGACCAAACCAGAGAACCTCGGCCCTTTTGAATATGCTCACTTGCGCGCTCCCTTGCCCAGTGATCTCAAAGGATCTGAAATCTTCCCTTCACATGCTCCTCAACAACACCCGGAGACGTACTTCTTGATGGTAAGTCGCGTCCTTCCAGGCCCTTAGCCTTTCGGAATCGGAACGTCACGGAACCATGGTTAACGGAGTGGGTTCCTTTGTCTCTTCCAGCGTCGTAGCAGAGACGGATACGTTAGCGCCACGGGCATGTTCAAGATCGCTTTCCCTTGGGCTAAGCTTGACGAAGAACGATCTGAGCGGGAGTACTTGAAAGCACGGTCTGAAACGAGCGAAGACGAGATTGCCGGCAACGTCTGGATCTCTCCTGTACTTGGTAAGTTCTTCGAACCACCTTACCTTCCCTGGCCTACCGCTCTGATACCGTTCCTCAGCTCTTGAGCTCGCCAAGGAGTATCAGATGTACGACTGGGTCCGAGCCTTGCTTGACCCCACCGATATTATCCAGAGCCCTTCCTCTGCAAAGAAGCAAATCACGCCTCCCCCCAGGTTCGATCTGCCTCCTATCGAGGCCCCGACCCTCCTCACTTCTACGACCCGTCTCAGACGAGGACGCTCGGCCTCCCCTAGCAAGAGACCTAGTTCGCCCCGGAAGCCTAGACAAACCCGAGCCATGAAGGAAGCGAACGCTGCCGCCACCAGCGCTGCAAATGCTACCCTACAGTCTTCTCTCGACTTGACCGCTTCGACCGTGGAAAGCGAGTCGGTGATCAGAGCCATCCAGCCCAGCGTGGAAGTTGATAGCGATCAGAAGCCTGCCCCCACTCCTAGAAAGTTGAAGACGCCCAGACCCTCCAAGATTGCGCGTCGGGTCATTCCTGAGGACAATGTCGAAGAAGAGCAAAAGGAGGAGCAAGAGGAGGAGCAAAAAGAGGAGGAGAAGGAACAGAAAGTGAAGGTCGACGTCGAGACCACCGCCAACACCTTCGACGATGTCAAGACCACCCAGACCACCGTCTCCGTGGAGTTGCCGGTTACTCTTCCCGAAGCACCCTCTGCAGCTGATACCGAGCAGATGATCGCCAAGGCCAAGGAAATGGTGGAAGAAGCTGTCAAGCTCCAGGCAGAGACCGCCGAGCCATCGTCAGCCAAGGCGGCCGTGAAACGCAAGACTGACGCTCTCAGCGACGATGAGGATGAGGAAGATGAGGAAGCCCGCACTCTCCGGACGAAGCGCGCCAAGGTCCTGGAAGAGAAGCTCAAGCAGGAGCGCGTCCGGAATCGTGCTCTTGTTGGTGTTACAGCTGCCTTTGCTCTTGCGTTAGTACCCCTCTACAATACCCGGTCTTTCATCGCACATTACTAACTGGACTATGCAGCGCCTCGATTCCTTACTTCTTCATCTAAAGAATTTAATACATTTCTCAATCACGAGTGGAGCCAAAGACGCACGAGGTCCTTCGTGATCTCAACCTACGCCCGCATCTGTAGTAACCGACACCTGTCTCCGCCATGATCATAGGTTCCGCAGCCTCTTTGACCGTATGTTCACAACTGCCATGGTCCCTGACGACTTTTGCCATGCAATGCCCGCGAGAAGCCTCTTTCCGTGCACTTTTGCTACCCTCGCTCAAATCCGAGTTCGGGCTTTGGTCGATTATCCCCTTGCCAATCACGATTCTTCCCCCAATCATGGTCATCTTGATGTTTACCGTATCTGAACCAGTTTATTTCCTTAGCAATGCTGTGCCTTTTGGTTGCGAGTGATGTGCGTCGAGGCGGGGGAGATTGGTCTGCACAGGTCCTGGAGATCAGAAAGAAAGCCTTGGGTTCGTTTCGTTCTTTACCTGCACCTTTTCATTATCCCCCTTCTTCCTGGATACCTGATATATGCCCCTATAATGTGGTTTTTCTTTTTCGTTTCTACACCAATTGCGCCGGGAAAGACCCCTGGTGTCGTGATGCAATCGGATGGCTTTGACTGGACTGTACTCGGGCGTTGTGCTATTGTTAGGGTAGATTCGGCAGACGACGCTACATGCAAGAATTTGAATGTTGATAAGTAGCGATGTTTATCTCCAGATTGTAGATTGGCGGTTCGGCCTTGTTTTTTTTGGGCATAGTGGGGTAATACCAAGTGAAATTGGCATTTGAGCTGGACTCCGCTGCAAACCAGCAAAACATCGTTATCGGCGGGTGGTTCTCTCTGCCTGACGTCTCCGAAGGTTTGTTTCTTCCATTCTTTGTTCTTCCTTTCAGACTTCTCTCTTACTGTGGTGCAAATAAAATCTACGAATCTACCATACCCATCCCTACGCTCATTGATCTCCTCAGCACCGTAATGCCATGTCTCTTCCGGGATTAGACCTTACACAGCCCTCCGGGGAGAAGGAGTTTGTCCCCGCACCGCCGACGCAAATCACTGTCGGCAAAGGTTCAGAATGGCGGTTTGAGGTCGCGTTCGGCACCGTCGTGCGCGTCAAGGTGAGCACAGCCTTCTCAAGAGGTTCTACAGCTCTCATGCTCGATGGATTTTTGTTTGATCCTCAATTGACCCCTCAGCAACTAACTGACTGATCCCGAGAGAACTAGCTCCTGACCGGCACCGCCGAATTCTTCGGTACGGAACTCGCCCCCTCCCAGACGTACACCTTCACCGGCACGAAAGCCGCGATCTACACATGGCACGGATGCATGCTCGAGGTCAGCGCCGGCGAGTCCTACGCGACACCGGACAGCCTTGCGCCTGGCGGCAACAACAGCAGCAGCAGCAACAGCAACAGCAACAGTAACGAACCACCCACGACGGGTGGCGGCGGCGGCGGCGGTCGCGGCCTGGGCGCCGGAGGCTGCCAGAGCGAGTACACGGCGGAGGAGACGCCGATGGTGGAATACGCGAACGTGCACTTTGCGCTGGAGACGATGCGGCGGCAGGCCAAGGCGCAGGGCAGGGACGGGCCGCGGGTGCTGATCCTGGGCTCGGAGGACGCGGGCAAGACGAGTCTGGCCAAGATCCTGACGGCGTACGCCACCAAGGTCGGGCGGCAGCCGGTGGTCGTCAACCTCGACCCCACGGAGGGGATGCTGAGCGTACCCGGGACGCTGACGGCCACCGCGTTCCGCACGATGATCGACGTCGAGGAAGGCTGGGGGTCCAGCCCCATGTCCGGCCCCAGTGCGGTGCCCGTCAAGGTGCCCCTGGTCTACTTTTACCCGATGGCCAACCCGCTCGAGGCCGAGGGGTCCGTGTACAAGGCGATCGTGTCGCGGCTGGCTGTCTCGGTCATGGGCCGCATGGCCGAGGATGAGGATGTCCGGGAGACGGGGATCATTGTCGACACACCGGGGATTCTCAGTCAGAGTAAGGCGGGGAATGTGGACTTGATCAAGCATATTGTGACGGAGTTTGCCAGTGAGTTTTGATTGATTTGTTGTCACGAGGTTTTAGGAGCATTTACTGACGTGATTTGGGGATGATACAGTTACGACGATTTTGGTGATCGGCTCCGAACGACTCTACAGTTCGATGATGAAGGAGTTTGATAACAAACCTACGGCCAGTGCGTCTGCCGTGGCGTCGGATGAGCGCATCTCCGTGATCAAGCTGTCCAAGTCCGGGGGATGCGTAGATCGGGACGCAGCGTTCATGAAGGCCGTCCGCGAGTCGCAGATCCGCACCTACTTCTTCGGTGACCAGATCCCTTCCGCCGCGTCAGGGGCGCTGCCGCTGTTGGCCGCCTCTTCCAAGAATGTGACGCTGTCGCCGCACGCGCAGCAGCTGGATCTCAGCACGCTGTCGATATACAATTACACCATCGCTACCCCGGAGGAGGACGAGGATGAATATGACCCGGCGTCATTTGGCACCGATTCGTTCCTCCCTGGCGGAGGCAACGAGGCGGGCTCGAACCACAATCAGCAGCAGCAGGAGGACAGTAGTGCAACGTCTGTCCTGCCCGGGTTCGGGAGTGCGCCGTCGAGTGCCACGGCGGAGACGGGCGGCGGCGCAAATGTGCCGTTGAAGAAGCTGCTCCCGCCGGCGCCCACGGGGCTGGCCAATTCGCTGCTGGCGATCACGCATGCGCCGACGACGGCCAGTGCGGCGGACGTGCGGGATGCGAGTATCATGGGGTTCTTGTATGTGGCGGATGTGAACAACGAGAGGGGAAAGATCCAGGTGTTGGCGCCGGTGGGGGGGCGAGTGCCTCCGCGGGCGTTGGTGTGGGGGAAGAAATGGCCGGGCGAGGTGGTCGGATTGGTGGGTTAGCACGGAGTAGTACTGAGTACATTAAAAGCGGTTAGTGTTGATTGATATGATAAGCCACTGGGCACCTACGGATACTCCGTACCTTCATCTCCTCCTCTCCATCAACAACCAACAACCATCCCATCCCAACCCAAACACTCTTTACTTTCTACTTGCTAGATCCATTCAACCGCAAAGACAATGGCCTAGATTATCTCTTGAAAGCTGCACCAGCCAGACGTCTCTCATTTCGACAACAACCACAACCACAACCACCACCACCACCAAGCCCAACCAACAACCGAACAACCACCACTCCTTACCCCCAAACCAACCACCACCACCAAAACAAAGAAATGCCCCGCCTCCACCTAACAAACCATCTAACCCGCCTCCTCACCCGCCTCCTAACCACCCTACCGCGGCCCCTCCAGTCCCTCCTCCCACTGCACCTGCGCACGCGCACGCGCGCCCGCGCCCGCTCGCGCGCCCTCTCCCGGCCCCCAATCTACCCCTACCCCTACCCCGACGCCGCAACCAACTACAAAGACAAACCCACCCCCTCGACAGACTTCCACGCCTCGACGCCGCACAAAACCCACCTCCTGACGCGCCGCACCCTGAAGATGGCCCTCCTGACCCTCTGCCTTCTCCTCACCCTCCTCATCCTCCTCCCGGCATACACAATCTACCGGCCCCCCAACCTCCTGATCCGGTACTTCCAGCACCGCTGGCCGGACGCCCTCTTCCACGTGCCGCTCCCGGCCTCCGCCCCGCCGACGATCGCGCTGACCATCGACGATTCTCCGTCCACGTTCACCGCGCAGATCCTCGAGATTTTGCGGGAGAACGACGCCCGCGCGACGTTCTTCGTCATCGGGGCGCAGATACCCGCTCCCGGGGTGGGGCCGCGCGGAGGGAATGGGGAGGCGATGTTGCGCGAGCTGGTCAGGGAGGGGATGGAGCTGGGGAATCATGCGATGTCGGATCGGCCTTCGCGGGACCTGAGCGATGCGGTGCTCGAGGCGGAGGTGAGGGGCGTGCAGGGGTGGTTGGAGCGGGTGGAGGATTTGGTCTTTCCGGTAGGGGAGGGGGAGGGACGGGGAGAGGGAGGGGGAGCCGATGGGGTGCAGGCGAAGGCCAAGTATAAATGGTTTAGGCCGGGGTCTGGGTTCTTCTCGGATCGGATGCGCGTGCTCATCCGGAAGCTGGGACTGCGGATTGCCCTGGGTAGTGTGTATCCGCACGATGCGCAGATCAATCGGCCGCGGGTCAATGCGTGGCATATTCTCAGTATGGTGCGGTCGGGCAGTGTGATTGTCTGTCATGATCGGAGGGGGTGGACGGTGCCGATGCTGAAGCTGGTGGTGCCGGAGTTGAAGAGGAGGGGGTTTCGCGTGGTCACGCTGAGTGAGTTGGTGGAGTTGGGCGAGCAGAGTCAACTGCCGAAGCAGATTAGTGCCTAGTACCTAGGAGGGTGGCACACTACGAGGCTGCTTTTTGTTGCTGTTGCACAGAGGTGATACATGTATATAGTCTAAGTCTACCGTACAGGCTGGTCCTGAAGCACAAACAATCAAACAGTAAAGATACACACACACACACACACACACACACCCGTCATCCGGCTACTCCCATCGCTTCCACTCCTCCATGTTCTTCCGCATCTCACTCTCAACTTCATACCCCCGACTGGCATCCTCCAGCAGCTCGGCTTGGCGGTCTCGGTACCGCTGCTCGGCCTCCCGACGTCGCAGCGCCACCAGCTTCAGATACGTCAGGTCGTCCAGCTGCACCGCCTCCTGAAACTTCATGCGCATCCGTGGCGAGTACAGCTGGCAGCTCGCCTCGCGACAGCGCGACGGGCCTTCCCCAGGAAGAAGCCGCATCGTGGTCGAGAACTTGCGCGCAATCGGGAGCTTGGCCTTGACCAGCGGCCACACCACATCGTCGTAGCAGTCCTCACACACCGTGAGCTCAGGCAGCTGCGGCATGTAGTGCCAGGTGCTGAGAACCTGCCGGTCCCGCCGGCAATCTCGAAGTACTACCTTGCGCCGCGCATAGGACAGGAACTCGCGGATGTCCGGCCGCACCGCATGCTCCAGCTCGGCTCGGTTGGCGGCCATATCCAGGCAGTCGATATAGCGGACGAACCGAGCACTGTCAGTCACAAAGTCACACGCCCTCTCCTGCTTGGTGGCACTGCGTTTGAATGTCTCCCGGTGCCGCGGCATCAAAGTCCTCAGGTTGCGAACGCAGGAGTGGCATACGTTGAACTGCGGGAGATACATGTCGGTGTCCGGGTCCACCACACGGTACCAGTACTGATCACTGATAGTGCGTCCCGGGCAAGGCTTGCTGCCTGACGGTGGCCGCGTGATCTGCAGGAGCAGATCCAGGTGGTCCAAGTGCTTCTTGAGTGTCTGCATCCATGCCAAGCGCGTCCATGGCTCATTCATGGAACAGCGAACCTTCTCTTCGCGGGGTCGGGGGCTCGCTAGGACAAAGAGATCTCGGAACCGGGACTTGCGCATCTGTTTCATGCAGGATGGACAGATATCCAAGTGAGGGATTCCCTTGACGGTGTGCCAGTCCTGGTATCCTGCCACAGGAACTGACCGAGGGCAAGGCGACAGAAAGTACTGGGGCTTAGGAGAACTTCTGCGCACGGCACCCTGCGAAGAGCTTCGCCGACCAACTTGTTTTCCAGTCTGGTAAGCATCTTCGGGGTCTTCATCGGGTGACACAGGCCGCTGCAACGTGTCATCCAGGAAAGACACAGCACGTCTACTGGGGGTGTGCGAGGACACCGACTGTGCCCTGTCTGAAGACTGGGATCGTCCATCCGGCCTGTTGCCAATCGAGGGCCGCGCTGGGGCCTCGGAGGCCAGCGCTGCAGTAAATGAGGCCGAGAAAGGATCCTCTTCACTCTTCTCGTGTTCAGTAGACTCCTTGGCCGTCGATGTAGACTTAGAAGGGATCGGCTGGTTAGCCTGTGGCGCGCCGCACCCATTAGGGCACGTAATGGATGGCTTGAGGCCTGCTTGCTCAACGGTGGCGATCGGTTGGGTAGCTGCAGCTGCAGGTGGCGGACTGTTCTGATCGTGGTTCTGTGAAGCCTCTTGCGATGCGCGAAGTTCTTGCCTCTGGCGCAACTTCTCCTCTATCCTCTCAGCCAAAGTAGGCCCAGTGGAAGACTTTTCTGTGGGTGAGGCCGGAGGCTTGAGCGAGGAACCCTTCACTCCAATGGCAGCCGAATCAGATTGATGGCCTAGCTTCGGCATGGGAGGCCTGGTCACCTGCTTGGCAGATGAACTGGGCTTCGCACTGCCCGCTCGCTTCAAACCAGGCGGGGATGCCGTGGTTGTGGTTTCGATCGCTTTGGCGGGCGTGTTGAATGTCACAGGGCCAGTCCGGGATCCCTGGGCCAAATCTCTCTTGGGAATACTGTCCCTCTGAGTACTGAATTTGGCTCCGCTAGGCCGGCCATCGACGGTCTTGCTCGGGGTTCGGGCTTGCTGCGGGCGTGCTAGCGAATTTGGAGCGCAAATCTTATCTGAAGAAGCCCATGAGGTCGACAGAGGCACAGCCTGATCATCCTCGACAATGTAGAGCATTGGGTCATGTTCAATTTCCGCTGACGGCGTTGGCGGCCCTGCGTTGTCATCAGAGCCGCTCTCGCGGACTGAGTCGTCATAGATCGTCGTGTGAACAACTGAGGAGAAGGATAGCACATCCACGATCACTGGATGCTGGTCAATAGTTCCCCGAGAGCAGACACCCTCCACTCCGGGCTTTTCTCCTAGCTTGGTCATCCCGTGTAGTTCGCGAGAAAGGGATACCGTCTCGTCTTCCACGGAAGGCGCAGGTGGCCATTGGGTCTGCTTGCGCCAGCGCAAGTGCACCTTGGTCCTGAGATACATGGCGACGAGGGGTAAAGCAAAAATCAGAACAGAAGAAAACTTTGATCCAGTCGAATACAAGGCTCCAATTGGTGTGAGGGCGGCACTCCTGGGGATTTATCCTGCGGTGGCACGTCGGATCAGAATCACGTTCCTGGCTGTTGGCATTATAAATCCGTCGAACGTCGGACTCACGAGAGAAACGTTCTCGAGGAAAGAGCAAAGGATCCAGCGGACGCAAACAATCAAAAGTAAACAGAAAACACACAAGCCCCGGGCGGAGTCAGGGAATCAGCAATTGAGTTGGAATGGGGCCGAACGGCGCAGGAAAAATTGGAGCAACTAGTGAGCAGAAGACTGGGGCAGTCTCTGAAAACCTTCCAGGGGCGATTGGAATTAAGTATTAGGCGAAAGTATGGTTAGTAGTCCTGATGTACAGTTCCAGGGACAAGAAAAACAAGCACAGAGAATACGGAGAGACTATATAAAGTAAATCGACCCCAATGGGAACCCGGTTGGGCAGCGCCTCTGGCCGGGGTACTGGCCCTATCAGAATCCAGCCCCAGAGATTGGGCGTTAACAGCGAGCGAATCAATCACCCCCGACGCTGAAACACGACGATCGTGGCCATATGTCAAGCGTTGGGAACGAATGGTCCTGCCTGAGCCATGTCAACAGGAGTCGTTGAAGATGAAACCATTCTGATCCCCGGACAGGAGAATGGCTTGATCGTGCATGCGTAGAGGTGAAGCTGGCCGTTGATTTGTCCCACCCCTCCTTTGTCGTCGGTTCAGGTGCCAATTGTTCGACCAGGGGCAGGTAAGCAGGCGAAGTTTTAACCTGCGGGAAAGGCGTCATCCCCAAGGCACAGGCGGCGAACTAGAGGGATGGTTATTGGCCTGACAGACATGACAGGCAACTAGAAGAGCAGGGCTTAAGCAAAGCCACACACGATCACGGTCTGTATTGGGCGCCTCTGGCTACATATGCCACCATTGGGATGAGCTGCAGCATTCTTGACCTGTAGATGCTGGTCGTATGGTGCGCATCGACCAATGGGCATCTCATCTGCGGCAAGCGATGCGATGATATCAGCTGGAAAGACGGTGAGAAGAGGTAATGGGTGGCAAGCTGCATTGAAAAGAAGGCGAGGGCTTTGGGAGGGGTGTGCTGGCGTGATGGGTTGAAAAGTTGGGATATACGTCTGACGGTGATGCAGGGCCGCTGTCAGAAGGAGTGCGATGACACCATCGTGGGATTGTGGAAGGAGGAAAGCAACTGGAGCATCATCGATCGATGCATCGAGTAGTTTAGTTCCACTGCGGGCGGGCAAGACAACGGGGTACTCCCGAAAGGGTAAGACCGCCATGCGGGAAGTTGTGCTTTGCTATGCAATACATGACTCAGCTATGCCTACATAGTTATGCCGTCGGCAGTTCGGAGCGATGATCGGGCTGAGGCCGCGGATATCCGACGGTTCGGCAATGATGCCGATGGCGTCACTCCGTCGGATGAAGATTTAAGAACGGTGGACGCTGGACACAATTGCGAAATGCGAGTTGCGAGATGAGATAGAGAAGAGTCAAAGAAATGCCGCGTAAAAGATCTCCTACTCCTACTCCTAGCACTTACTAGATGAATATTGAATGTAATCGATAGGGGAAAACCACCTCGTCGCAAAGCGTAGACGTAACGATAGGTTGAAAGGTGTGGGGTAAAAGGAACCAGAATTATTAATGATAGTAAACACGAGCATTCGAGATCATGACAGAAAACAAGCATCTCGGAATTGAGCCGCCTGAAGATTAGTGATAGTGCTCGTGTTAACTATCCATCTTTTTGATTACGTTGGATATAACCCACCGATCACCCCGTCCCTCCCTCCACTCTCAATCCTTGCCCCTCCAATGCCCCTCAATCGCATCGTCCCTCGTCTACTCCGCACCGCCACGCCAACTGCGTCTTTCTCACCCCCGGCGCTCCGCCTTGCAGCTCTAAACGCTCACTTTCGACCCTCGCCTTTCTCCCCTATCAGCTTCCCCACCCGCACCAACACCACCATGTCCGTCCCTCAGACCATGAAGGCCGTCCAGGTCGAAAAGCTAGGCGGTCCCGAGGTCCTGGAGTTCAAGACCGACCAGCCCGTGCCTAGTGCCCAGGAGGGCCAAGTGCTGGTCAAGAACCACATCTCGGGCGTGAACTACATCGACACCTACTTCCGGACCGGACTGTACCCGTCCGCGAAGCCCGAGATCCTCGGGCGGGAGGGTGCCGGCACCATCGTGGCGCTGGGCCCCGGGCCCAACCCGTACAACCTGCAGGTTGGGGATCGGGTCGCCTGGCTCAGCACGGGCGGCTACGCCGAGTACACCGCCGTGCCCATGGCCAAGACGGTCAAGATCCCCGAGGGACTCTCCGACGAGGACGTGATGGCCGCGTTCCTGAGCGGCCTGACCGTCATCACCCTGGCCAAGGAGACCTACCCGGTCAAGCAGGGCGAATGGGTGCTGCTGCACGCTGCCGCCGGCGGGGCGGGCACCCTCATGACGCAGGTGCTCAAGTCGATCGGCGCCAAGGTCATCGGCACGGCCGGGGGTCCGGAGAAGTGCGAGCTGGCCAAGAGTCTCGGCGCGGATGTGGTGATCGACTACCGCAGTGAGGCCGGCAAGGACTGGCCCCAGAAAGTCAAGGAGATCACGGGGGGTCAGGGCGTGGATGTCGTCTTCGACTCCGTCGGCAAGGACACCTGGGAGGGAAGCTTGGAGGCCGTTAAGCGCAAGGGTACCATCGTCTGGTTCGGTAATGCCAGTGGTCCGGTGCCGCCGTTGCCTCTACAGTAAGGATTGATGAGATCTCCGGGTTGCAATGTCCGTCAAGGCTAATGAATGTTCGTCTACAGGAAGCTCTCCCCCAAGTGTGTCAAGGTTGCTCGTCCTCAGCTGTTCGGCTACATCGAGACTCGCGAAGAGTTTGAGTTCTACGTCAACGAGCTCTTCTCGTTGCTCCAGTCAAACAAGCTCAAGGCTAGAGTTCATAAGGTCTATCCTCTGGAGGATGTCGCCGAGGCACACCGTGATCTGGAAGGCCGTAAGACCACCGGAAAACTGCTTCTGAAGTCGTCTTAAGCTTGACGCTGTTGATCATAATGAGTGTATGTTCGTTGAAGATGACAATGCTAGGCTTCTATATAAGAGATTTGAACAATATTCATGTCGTCTTATTCTCTGAGCTAGTCAGTTACGTAAATTCCATGCGTGGCTAAACCTATCTGCTGCTGTCAAATCCAAGCTTGACACTCGCTTGGAACGTGCTTAGAGTACATCCTGCACATCCGCGATCCCATCACCCTGCTCAGAAGCATCATCCTCCTCGGCCTCCATATCGTCTTCGTCCGCAGTGTCCCTCACCGGCCGTGGTTTCTTCCACCCCAGCATAAGGTCATTTGCAAGAACCGTGTAGATGGTGCCGTAGACGTTGAAGGTCTCTTCAAAGTAATCAAGCCCACAGTTCATCATCCACACCGGTGTCATCACCTTCATACCCGGATAACAGAGTTGCAAAAGAGGTAGCTCCACATAGAAACTGAAAATGACTGGGATCATGGCTTGCTGCCGCTGTTCCGGGGTCATATCACATGCCGGCCTTGCTGGGTCCCAGTAGGATATCGCGGTGATGCGGCCAACAGGAACGAGGTCGGGGGCGTGCATTTTGTAGAAGTCAAGGACAGTATCGTTCGGAGGATGGATAACCATAATCTCAAAGCCGTGGATATCATCTACACGTTTGGAAATTAATTCATCTGTATGAGCTAAATCTCGGAAGTCGACAGCCATTTGATCTGTTCCCGCACCAGCGAGGGCGAATTTCACGACCTTGCGCGCCACATCTCTAGTCATGGGAGGACCGTCCGCCCACGAGCGTTCTTCGTCGTCTTCCTCAGTGTAACAATCATAGAGGTGGCCTCCGAAGAGCGTAGAACAGGCTTTGTTGAAATGGCCGGGCCCTTTGACCATGAACTGCTGATTCTTCCAAAGCTCTGTAGCGGCGATGTCACACGACTTCCTGGCCTGTTCAATGTTGTCCTTGTATTCTGGGCAGACCTCATGATACAGTAGGTAGGACAGGAAGTTTCGAATGGTGACCGTACCCAGGTTGACCATGTCTTCGGTTTCGGGGTTGAAGTAGGATGGGAAGTAGGAGGTCCTGTTCGCTGTCAGCGACAATTTACTTTGAGTTAGGCCAGTGCTTACAGATAGCCCCGGACCACCGCTTCAAAGTCGATGATGAGGTTTGCTGTGTCCCTTGGGATGCTGGTCTGCGTTCTAGCCTGAAGGATCTGCTCGCTGTCGAGGTCCTGAAGGTCTTTTTGATCGGAGCCTGCGAACATCCTCGGAGAGACGTCCACACCCCCATAGGCCAAGTATTTCAGGAATATATCTCTTCGGAAATTCTCGAGGCGGCGATTGTTCTGGTAGCGTTGCAAGGCATCTTCAATCCGACTACCACAGATCAGCATCACGAGTGTTCCGTCAAAATGAAAGGCTTACTGAATGATTGGTCGAGACCTGTGACGTATAATTAGCTGAAAGTGAACTGAAAAACACGGTATAATAACATACGGGTTGTATAAAACCTGCTCAGTCTCATACTGAGCTGGGGTCATGGGAGCATCGACGTAGTATTCCTCAAAGCCAGTGGGCTTGCCCTGTTACAGTCAGCTCAGTCCTCGGACGTGAGTTCTCAGACAAACCAGGCCACGCTTGCTCCTTGACTTTTTGCTTTTCTTTTTCTTTTTCTTGAGCTTGATGATGTTGTCGAAGAATCCCGGAGCTTCTTGTTCCCCGATGCTATCGACCTGCCCCTGCGTGGAGACTGAATCGGTGGATTCGAGGTTCAGGGTGTTAGCCGGGTCCGAGGCCAACTGAGCTTGAGCATCTTCTGCCTGTTTCAGTGAGTCCGAGGTAGAAAAATGAGTAGAAGACGAGGTTTCTTCCTTGTTTTCCATTTCGAATCTTCGAGTAGGAAGGTGTTAAGGTAGTCTGCTAAGAGGAAACTAGAAGCTATGGGATGAAGAGACGAGAAGAGACGAGAAGGGCGGAAGAAAAGAACGAGGGTAAATGATGGAGTTGAGGAGAATGAGAATCATGAGGGAGGAGAAGAGTTGCTGGCAGTGATTTTGCAGTGAAGGAAAGGGCAGGGCGTGGCTCCCTCATGATACCGTCAGTGAATGGGTTGTTGTCCATGCAGGTTGCCTCGGGCTGTTTGTAGACTGGCAGTTATGGACATTTCTGATGGATATACAGGCTGAGACAAGATACGACATCGATAGATACTTGTTTGTTTTGTAGCAAAGTAAGATGAAACTAGTATGAAAGTATTATGATGAGTTTTGATACAATGATTGTATCCAAGACAAGAACAAGTGTGTGCGCTATACAAAATACCTTAAGACAAGTAGTAACTTCCCTCCTACTCTCTATAGTACAGTACATCGCCGGCACATTGCAGAAGTATACAGATAGTCAGTTGCCATGTGATGCTTGAGAAACGGTCCCAAGACAAATGCAGCCATTAAAATCGACACATTATCAGGCAGTCGAGAGTTGTCTGGAGACACCCGAAAGAGTTGAGCGGCAGACGGCAGACCATTCAGAAGTATAGAAAGCAGGCGAGATTAACTTATTCTTGCCTTGTGCCACCAGATCCAGTCAGCATAAGAGACGATCTTATGCTAAAGCGCATCGTATCAGCCAGGCTGTGAAATTCCAGGCTGACTTCCTGCTTTCGTGGTGAAAAATCCCCGTGATGTGGATTTTGAATAAGATTAAATGATGATCGATGCCCCTCAGCCTTGCTTGGGGGTTCAGATCGGCTTCCCCGACATTTTTCCATTTACTTCTCTCATTATTATTGACAGTGCCAACCCAAACCAAAAACCAAACCAACCCGCCTGTTGTGGCTTGTCTCTCCTTTCCTTTCCCCCACCCCCTGCTAGGCATTTGTTTGCTTCTAACAGGAATATATTTCTTTTCCCTCCTTGACCCACTTTTGGAGGATTTCCCTCTCCTTCTCATCTTCTCCCAACCCTCCGACCCTGCAACTTCCCGCCTGCTGAATCTCCGTCCCTTTCCGTGACTCATGCGGAATGCCGTCTAAACTCCATCGGTCTCTGTTGGACAGTGATTGACCTCCCTGTTATTGTGCTCTAAATCCCCTTCATCATGCAATCGTCTTCGCGATCAGAGAACGCGATGACCGCAAAGCTGGACCACGACAGTTTCGTGGCTTTCGACCATGCCGCCGCCGGACAGTGAGTGTGCCGCAACAAATTTCCCTGTCGCATCCCGCTCCCTTGTCGCAACCAACATAACACGATATCGCTTCAACTCTGCAGCCTAAATCCTTGCCGTCCTTAGAATTGAAGCTTCGGCGAACTTACTAACAAGAAACCCTGCTGTAGCGAAGGCGTCCAGTGTACCGTATCCGGCACCTTCATCGCGAAGCCCTGCACCGCTCAAGAAGTCGCGTTCTACGAATCCAGCGCCCTACACCCGGCATTCCAAGAATTTCTGCCCACATATATCGGCACGTTAACTTCCGCGAATGACCAGCAGCCTCTGGCCCTCGCCGCGGCCCAGCAAGCCGGCGCCATCATGCTGCCCGGCACGGAATATTCTTCCGCGTCGGATACCCCTACGGCCACCGTCGCATCTCAAGCCCAAGCGGCCGTAGCGACGGCGACCCCCATAGTGACGGCAGCCCCCGAAACGGCCAGCTCAAGCAGCCCGACAGCAGCAGCAGCAGCGGAGTCGTCGTGGGTTCCCTCCAACGGAAAGAAACTCGAGACGGGGATCTCGATCGTGCTGGAGAACGTGGCTGCGGGGTTCATAAGACCCAATGTGTTGGACGTGAAGCTGGGTGCGCGGCTCTGGGCGGACGATGCGCCGCCCTTGAAGCGTGCGAAGCTGGACGCGGTGTCTAAGGAAACGACGAGTTCCACGCTGGGGTTTCGCATCGCGGGGATGAAAGTCTGGACGGGCGTGAGTGGGGAGACCGACGAAGGGAGCCGGACCGACCCCTATGCGACGAAGTACGAGGGCGCCGAGGGCGCCAAGGGGCAGGTCATCGAGGCGGACGGCTACAAGCGCTACGATAAATGGTACGGCCGCTCGCTCACGGCGAACAACATCAAGGACGGGTTCCGGGCGTTCCTCGCTGGGGCCAAAGCCGGGGCTGTGGATCGGACCCAGCTGGTCGCGCGACGGTTAGCTGGGGAATTGAAACAGGTGCAGGAGGTTCTGGAGTCCGAGGAAAGTCGCATGTACTCGTCGAGTGTGCTGATTGTCTACGAGGGTGATCCGGACGCCATGGAGAAGGCGCTGGAAGAGGAGCAGAAGCCCCAGTCGAAGCAAGAAGAGGACGATGACGACGAAGAGGAGGAGGAGAACGTCGAGTTTGAGATCTCCGAGGGGTCTTTCCAAGTGGTTGATATACCCATTGGCCAAGGCAGCGTCTCTCACCAGGCTATCAATATCAACCTCGGCCCCGAAGTCGCAGAGTTGGGGGAGCTGGATCTCGACGAGGACGAAGAGGACCCCCCTAAAGTGCATGACCTGCGGCTGATCGACTTTGCGCATGCGAGCTGGACCCCTGGCCAGGGACCGGACGAGAACGTCCTGAACGGAATCAGGAGTTTGACTCGGATACTGGAGGAACTCGCCTTGGAGTAATTGTAAGAATAGTTGCAGTTTGAAAACCACTACAGTCGCTGGCGGCTTTAGGAATAGCACCATTTTCCACCATACAACACCCGAGCATTTAGCATCATCAAAATGGAACCCATCGCAGATATATAACTATACCCAAAAAACAAAACAAATATGAAACATCTCTCCTCTGCTAAAATCCCAGTAGTAAGTAGAATAGCGAACCTCACCTGTCCCGCCACATACTTATAGATAGATAGATGGCGGGCGGAAGCCCAAGCAAGATCTTACATAATCACCTCCGCGCGCAGACCTCCTCCGCCGGCCGACCGATTTGCAACTATCCAAAGCCCGCCCAGCCCGCCCGCCCGTCGACTCCAACAATTTTCCCCTTCTCGCAACCAGGAGCAAACCACCTACACCACAGAAGGTTCTCTCCTCTCAAGATGTTCCCCACGCGAGCCCTCCTCAGCCGCTCCGTCTGGAAAGGTCAGTCACTCCTCTATTTGCCCTTCATCCAGTATAATCAACACTGAATCCAGCTCACTAACAATCCCATCAAACAGGCCCGAACATCGTCCCGTACGTTTTCCCTGCCCAGGATCCAAACCCAAGCCCACACACACTCCATGGCATACGGTCCAAGCAGACTGCTACCGCCGTCAAACACCCGCTCCCACCAAACCCCCCATCCCAAACCCAACAACAAACCAATAAACGCCTCGGGCAAAAGCTAAACGATTATAGTCTCCCACTCCCGCGCAAACTGCCCGCTCCCCCGGGGACGCCGCCGATCCGCACGCAGAAGCGCGCCGCGACCATCCTGCCGAACTTCGTGGGGCTGAAGTTCTCGATCCACAACGGCAAGACCTACCACGACGTGCTGATCACCGAGGAGATGGTGGGCCGGAAGTTGGGGGAGTTCGTGCCGTATGTTCCCCCTCCTCTTTATTTGTTGTGTTCTGCTTGGTTTGGGGTTCGGTTTGGACGGGTTTGAGGGGGGGAGAAGATGAGGGTGAGGGTGCTGGGTGGAATGGAGCAAGGATAACGGTTTACCAAAGGAGATTGTGCATGCGCGCTAACCGTTGGGTTTGGGGGTTTAGGACTCGCAAGCGTTTCACCTACAAGATGTCCAAGAACAAATAGATCTTGTCTCTTTCCAGGGGCATGGGGGCATGGGGCATGGGGCATGTCTGGGGTTGTCGGGGGTTGTCTGTCGATACCTTTATTCTTCTTATGGTTGGGCCTTTTGCGAACTTGCGCAGCTTGGAATCTCTCGTCTTTCGCGAGTGGGAGATGGGCTCTGTGCAAGTTGAAACTGAAGTTGCATTCTAGTTTGTGTTTGGCGTTTTTTTTTCTCTCTTTGTGCTTGATATGCTGGAGAAAGGTCTCGGTAAAAGAGATAGAGATGAAAGAGGGATGGCTATGTATATTATGTATTATTTATCTATCCATGACACACGAGGATTCAAGGTCCCAAAGTCTGCTGCTTAAAGAGGATCGATCGTAAGGGTATTATTTGGCATTGCATATACATGTAGAATTGAAACCGCCCCAGAAAAAACACCCATACTCCGATTTGTGCAGGCCCAAGGCCCAGCATGCAGGATATCTATCGTTCAGGAAACACACCACCCCCTCACGCCGCAATATACGCCATCAAACAGACAACCCAGCGCCCCCCGACCAAGGAGGACTGCAAGAAGAGAAAAGCAAGCATGGCATCAACTCAGCAAACCAGCCAGCCTTGCCCCTCAAAAGAGAAGGAAGAGAACTTCATATCAAACGGAGCCCCCGTAGGAAGATCTGCTCACCGACCCAACCCGCTTTTAGTATAAGAGCCCACTGTTCCACGCCTATCTTCAACCGACAATCATCAAGCCCCCTTTACCGATAGAACTCCCCCCTCTTAACACTAACCCCATACTCCGCAACCGCCATGCCCAAATCCTCCATGGTGAGCACCGTCCGACCTTGACCCGACCCTCCGGACCCTCCACCGCCGAACCCGGGCCTCTGGATGCCCAGATGTGTGCCCGCCTTCCCCTTGCCTGCCTCTCCACCCGACGGGCCCGTCGCCGCGCCTGTCGACCCGACACCCCCGGCACCACCGGGCATGCCCAACCCCGAGGCGGCGTTCAAACTGCCCATCGGGTTGTTGGCGGAGGAGCTGTTGGACGCGCGGATGCGAGCGTACTGGTACGAGTCCGCCGCGATATCGGCGATGAACTTCTGGGTGGCGAGGGCGAGGAGGCGCGCGAGGTGCGGCGGGGTCTGGTTGGGGCCGTTGCCGGGGGGTGGGAGGCCCGCCAGCGTGAGGTAGTGTGCTGTTACGGCGTCGGGGATCTAATAATTTGATGTCACTGTTAGAGAAGGACACAGTTGTGAATGGATGGATGGTATGGAATAGTTAGTGACCGGCGGGGTCGGGGTGGATGGAGGACGCTAGACAGTGGGAGAAAAGCGAGGGGAGCAGCCGGGTAGACAACGAAAACGTACAATAGGTGCATATTCATCCATCTTCCCTAGAAACTCCCGGAGACTGGTCTCCTTCTTAGACGGCGCAGCGGCGGCGGCGAGTGCGTCCACGGAGGTCGGCGCGGGAACCGGATTGCCCACATCGTCAGCGCCGCTGATCGCAGTCGCGTTGGCGTTGGCGTTGGTGCTGGGCGCGTTGGTCATGTCGACGTCTTCTTGCTCAGTTGGAGCATCCAAGACCTTATTGGCGTTGCTATCGGCGACGTCGGGTTCTTGTTTGGGCACTACCGTGCCGGGTGAGGTGACAGGGGGTTGGCTGGATGGAGGAGGAACGGGCGTAGAGGAGGAAGCTGCAGTCGATGATGATGTTTGAGGAGGAGGGGGAGGAGGAGGAGGTTGCGATGAAGGCGGAACAGCAGGCTGTGATGACGATGATTCGGCCATGGTTGGCAGTGGCTAATGGGGAAGCGCAAGGGAGTCCAATGGGTGAGAGGGGAAGGCGTCGGCGGTGAATGCAAGGTCAGCAGTATTGAAGCAATTTATACAGGTTCAAGTATAATCCCTGCAATTGTGTTATCGCAGCGCCTGATTGGGATTGGAGGTGATACGGGGGTTTCCTGGGGGGAGTGAATGAATGGGAAAGCGACCTGGGATAGAATTGAATTATCAACTGCCGCGGTGGTTGGGGCGGAGGAGCAGAGCATGGCCTGTCTCTCTTGGCCGCGTTCGGCCCGACTGCTGCGAAATTAGTTACCTACTTGCTACAGGACAGCCAACTGGCAAGCATTAGCTAGACACTTTCATTATCAACAAAGACTTATTTGTTCTCATTTAGTATTGTTCAGTGAAAAGGGAAAAAAAAACACAAAGACAGAAAGTAATTAAATGAGAAAACATGATTATTCAGTTAATGTTGTACAATCCGCAAGATACTCCTACAGCTTCGTGCACCATTCGCACCATATGCATCAACCCTCATACAGTCCCACCAAAGAATCACAGAAATAGACAGTCGTAGACAGTGAAACCGCTCAGAATCCCCGGCGAAGAAGAGAAAAGAAAGAACCATAAGAAATAATACAACTCGATCAAGGGAGGAAAGAAGCACGATCGAGAAGTGAAGTTAATTGGTGTTTGAGCATGAACCTCGATCTCATCACTGACCCAAATGCATATTCGGATCAATCTGATCCTGATGATGCGGGTGCGGGTGATGCTGGTGATGATGATGATGATGCTGGGGTTGTCCGAAAGACTCTCCATGCACCTCTTGACCGAGGGTCTGCATCAGGTTCTGCTCCGCCGTCTGGTCAAAAGCGGAATGAGCATTCGGGTCATGGGTCAATCCAGGGGAGGCAGACATGGCATCGTGTCCGTGACCCAGACCAACTGGCTGAGCATGGGCGCCGGCAAGAGCCATCATACCCTTGATGCCTTCCACATGGGCCTTGTCTTCCTCGCCCTGCTTCTTCTGCCGCTCGCGGGCTTCCCGCTTGGCAGCCTGGGCTGGGGCGCGAGTCTTCAATTCACCCGTGACGAACTTCAGGTAGTAGGGCACCTCGATGCCACTCTTAAGGAAGAACAGCTTCAAGTTGCGAGCCTTGTCTTTGAGCTGGACTTGGTTACGATCTTTCAGGGCTTCACTTATGGTTCCTCCAGGGCCAAACATGGCGAGGATCTGACTCCAGTGAGGTCCCTTGACGCGATCCAACCCTGCCATCAACGCATTCTCCTCTTCAGTAGTCCAGGGACGACGCTGGCTAGGTAATCCGGACTTGCGGCTGCTAGGCGATGACTTGGCAGATGCTGCCATGCGAGCCCGCTCGTAGAGGACCTGGGTGGGTTGCGATTGAGAATAATGTGGTATCCCGGGCATGTATCCGTGATTGGCAGCAGCCGAGTTGGGTCGCGGAATCGATGCGGGGGTCACATGGCTGTATTGCTGGAAATTGGCCTGGAGAGGGCTTGGCTGGAATGTGAGTTGGCTGGGCGGGTGCTGGTAGCCAGACGGCGCTGGACTGTGATGGTAAGGTTGCTGGTGAGTCTGCTGGTGTGGCATCTGACTCGTCGGCTGAGCAGCAGAGTACCCATGCAAAATCTGACCGCCCTGCGGCTGTGCGTGCTGAGGAACCTGCTGTTGCGGCATCTGCTGGGGCTGGTGAATTGTGTGTTGCTGATGGTGCTGCTGGGGCTGAGGTTGCTGGGGCTGGTGCACCTGATGTGGCTGTTGTTGGTTCTGCTGAGATTGCTGTTGCTGGTACTGCTGCTGCTGTTGAGAGCGCCTTAATCCGTGGCCTTGAAGAGCAATCTGCGCCGCACGCGCCGCACGAGCAACAAGATCGCCGTGCATGTTACGATCGACGGGAACATCTGGTGGCTGCGACGAGACCGGGAACTGGCCTTGAAGGGGGGCGCTAGGAGGTTCCTGAGATTCTCCATTCGATGAGGATGGCTGGCGACCCTTTGTGATCTTTTTCGTCTGGCTCGCCGTTAGCACACTGAATAATCAAAGTAGGCAGGGGGGAGTCAGACCTGTTGGTTGCTGATAGTGTCAAAATTCTTGGTGATGTAGGAGCTCAGGTCCCGGAGGAAGTCCTCCCAATGGTATTTGTCTGGCAAAGCTTTCATGGCTTCCTCGTTGTTGACGTCGCTAAGTAGAATGTCACGGCGCGATCCGGCGCGCTTGACAAAGTCGGCCTCGCTGGGAGCCAGCTGGCGAGTTCCTGAGCGGCGGTCCAGGAGCTGTTGCTCCAGGTCATCTGGGAAGAGATCATAGAGCAACTCTGTTCGGGTTCGCTCTGAATTGTTCATGGATGCAATGAATGCCTGAGTCTTGAGTTCCAGGAACAAAGCACCTTGCACCTTGAGAAGACGACCGCCTTCGGGGACAAACACATCCAGGAAGTTGTCGTTGAGCTCAGAAAATCCAATCTCCTGTGTGCCAAAGATGCTGGAGACGAAGGACGCCAGGTTCGCTTTTCGAATGATATCAACTTGCGACGGCTCGGTAAGCTCCAGTTCGGTCGGAGACAGAAAAGACTTCTTGGTGGAGTAGACCTTCTTCGTGTGATCGAACAGCGAGCGCATGGTAGCGTAGGCTTGGCCACTCTCCGTCTCCGGCTCGGAAACGAATGAGGTGATTTCTTGATACGAAGACTTGGCAAGCAAAGAGAGGATTTGGGTAGACTGTGGGAGGGTATTTTGTCAGCTGCTTTCGTTCTTGATTTTTCAAGTACATCTCAAACACTGTTTCACATACCAAGTTGTCCAAAATAGGCAAACTCTGACTCTTCAGGTGTGAGTTGGCCTTGACGAAAACCATGCCTTTTGGGGCTGGACTTGTGGTGTCCGCCAGCTGTTGCTGACCGATCACAACTTGTTCCTCCACACGTTCGGCGTGATTCATGATGCTCGAGATCACAGTAGCCATATCCGAATCAATATCGGCAGTCACCTCGGGCGCAACTGCGGTGTCCGTTGCCGTGCCATCGAGTTGGGCGCCGTCGAGTTGAGCGCCATCGAGTTGAGCACTATCGAGTTGAGCACCATCGAGTTGAGCACCATCGAGTTGAGCGCTATCGAGTTGAGTCGGGGTGTCTTCTGGATGTTCCACCGTGTCCACGATGCTGGGGCCCAACGCAGATGCTAGTTCTTGTTCGATCTGATCTCCAGGAACTTGGTCTGCTGTCAATTCACTGGGGTGTGGCGGCAAGACGAGGTCGGTCGGCTCGGATTCGAGACGACGTTTTTTGGAAGCCCGGGGCGACACCGAGCCGTCCTCTTCCTCGAGGGGATGCGACATTTTGGGAGTCACTTAAGCAGCAAACAAATTAGCAACATAGCAAGGTAGTTGAGCAGTAGTACTGTATAGTCTTGTGACGTCCAAAGCCATGCAATGATTGTTTAGATCGGATTGGGTTGGGTTCAGAGCAAGCAGCAAACGGGGAAGAATCGCCTCCTTCTCAGGTCGCCCCCAGCACAACTCACCATGGCTGTCAGTCTCGGTCGGGAGCGGGGGGAGTTCAGAGGTTATAGAATCCTCAACTTTGGGGCCTGTTGCAGTTATGTCGGCCATGATAGGGACGATTCCCGATGGGAGGGAGATGCCTGTCCTTTCCAAGAGCAGAAATGAGGGCTTAGGGGTAGGGCGCAAGCGTAGGGCTTTAGAAGTGGTTAGGTTAAGTTGAGACGGGCGGAGAGACGGAGGTTCTCCAGCTGCTGACTACTACTCAGTCAGATTTTTCTGTCCCCCGGCCGGAATCCGGCCTGCTTCTCTTTTGGGTCACCAACCTTAACTAAGGTAGGGGGAGCTGGGTGTTACTAGGTAATAGGCAACTACTGGAGTACTCCGTACACTTCGAATGATTCACTACTATGTGTTTTATCTTCACCCTATGTTGATAATTCTTATCACCCCCCTCTCCAGCTACTAGGTACTAACTTTATAATGTATTCCTGCATACTACCTAGGCTACTTCCCAGGCTAGTCTCCAGGCCGCCGGTTGCCAAACTTATAGACCCAGCGATCACCAATCCCGCTTTGGGACTTAGCGTGCCTCCTGGCTGCCTGGCTGCCGTATATTTCCTTTAACACCCAGACTTGACTTCAAGTACTTATCCACAAGACAGCTTGTTGTTGACTGAGAGTCAAATCAGACTCTATCCCTCTTCGTTTGCAAGATTTGCTTCTACTAAAATGTACCCTGTCCTCTGCTACGGCGGGGTGGTGACTCCCATGGTTGCGTCCACTTGAATGCTACCTTCCGTCTAGGCGTCATCGACTCATCAAGTCGGCCATGTAGTCTGCTGCGAAGTTTCACCGGAGTCCTCCAGGCCAATTAGAGACCCTTTCCACCATGAGCAGACTAGTAGGTCATGAGTTTGTTCGTGACTACGATATTGTCATGTTACGAAGTGTATATCGCGTCATGCAAGCTCGTTAAAGTGGCAGCAATGGACATGGCAGCAAACATCCAATATTCAAAGGAGGCCATGCAAGCACTAATTGCGGCAGTTGCAGTACTGACACCACTGGCCAGACTCCTATAGTGGTTGACACGGCTTTCCAATGAATCTAGAACTAGGTAACGACAGGAGCAACTCATTGCATCAACATCGGAACCATGGAAATGAGGCCCGAAGGTCAAGACAGGACGAAGGTCAGGCAGACTTATCAGGTTAAATAGTACACTGGAGGATACTGTTCCATCAGGACGACAATTCCAAGTTCCCAGCATATATGGTGGAGTTCTCCCAGCCCCGTCTCGTTTCTTTCGGCTCTGTCAGTTGGAGTCTTGGAGTGACCAAAGCATCAATCCTATGAACAATATACACTACTAGACTCATTCAAACTCCCAGCCTGAAAGATGCGGTCCTCACGCCAAATCCTCTTGGCTCTGGCTACTGCAGTGCTGCAAACCACTACTCCAGTATCGGCACAAAACCTGAAAGAACAGGTCTGGGCTGTCTTTGCCTATACACTGCACGGAGACAGCGTCCCGACAGCGCTGCCCCGTGAGAGTGTCGTGACGCCCTATGGCGCCAGTGAGCTGTACTCTGCTGGATCGGCCTTCCGTGATCGATATGTTGCGATTCATTCGACGGACGTTAGTCCCAGTACAAGAATCGAACGGATTTCCTCCTATGTACTTGCAGACGAAGACATCGATATCCTGGCCACCACGGACCCCTCTGTGATTGCATCCGCTCAGGCCTTCATGCAGGGACTTTATCCGGCGTTGAATGAGACATACGATGCTCAATTCTTTGATCCCATTTTCCTCATGTCGAATGGCACCGTGACTACGGGACCTTTGGGCGGATATCAGTATTCCCGCGTCGTTAGTGCGAGCCTCGACGATCCCCAGTCCGTGACCGTTGCAGGCCACCAGAACTGCATGTTGCATCAAACTGCCGACCTTGAGTACCGGAATAGCCCGGAGACCCAAGACCTGGTTCAGACATCAGGGGCGTTCTACAACCGCCTGTATGAGTTCTCCTTGAGAGACACATTCGATCGCTCATCAGCCAATTACCTCAACGCTGTTTCCATATCCGAATTTCTCCAGTACCAGTACTTGCACAATGAATCGCTCCTCCGCAGCCTGAACAAAGACGACATTAAGCTCGCCAACTGGTACGCAGACCAGTACACCTTTGCGACTAATGGCAATACCACAGCCTCCAGTCCCATCCAGAGCGGCAATGTTCGCGCTGTGGCGGGCCGATCCATGGCGTCTCGTATCATGGATGCCTTCAACACCAACATCTACAACCGGGGCGACAGCAGCAAATTGACCTTCCTCTTCGGCAACGCCGAGCCGGCGGTGGCTCTCGCATCCCTCCTACGACTCCCATCCCCGCAGCAGTCAAACTTTTACTCGCGACCTGCGCTCGGTGCATCGATCATCTTCGAACTCTTTAGTCTCGAGAGCGACTCCTACCCAACCTACCCCGAACCATCTCAACTGTACGTGCGGTTCCTCTTGCGCAACGGAACCGACGACGAAGCAGAGTTCCATCCCTATCCTCTGTTCGGACTCAGCCCCAGCAACACGGATGTCTTGTACTCGGAGTTTGAGGAGGAATTGACCAAATTCGCCCTAAACTCCACCGAAGCGTGGTGTCTCCAGTGCGGCGCCAGCTCGGCGGTGTTCTGTCCCGGGATTCTGGAGGAGGCCGACGATGCTGATGCATCATCGGCTCAGAAGGGTAGCAAGAACAACATCAGTATAACACCTGGCGTGGCAGGCGTCATTGGCGCTATTGTTACCCTTGTTGTGATTGGTATGGTTGCCGCAGCTGGGTTCTTGTTCTTTGGCATTCGAATGAATCGACGATACAAGTCGAACCTCACCGACATCAAGGGAGGAATCAAGTTGGCCAGTGATTCGAACCTAGCTCTGCGGGAGAATATGTGATCAAAATGGTTTGAGCTGGTTGAGATTTTTGTTTACTAGTACTCAAGCTTGGGTTGTTTTCCTGGGTCGGGCGTTATGGTATGGACAAGAAGTAAAGATACAAGCAATCGTTGATGTTGGTTTACTGAGGGCATAATTAATAATTACTAATAACTAGATTAACTAAAAACCATGATACTAGTCTCTATGTTACTTAAAAATCGAGGTTCTCCGTCCGACCGATGTCAATGTTAGGATGTCAGTTTCATGTTTATTATCATTTCCATTATCATGACTGCAGCAATAGATTATTAGTACACTATACAGCATTACAAAGATAGATCTGATTTTTATCTCTATAATAGAATCACTTGAGTGCTACTAAGCATCAGCTTCGAAGTAAGGAAAGGCCAGCGGGAAGACACATATACTCCATCCTACCAGTTTGTCTCAGTTTTAGTATCAGCTCTATGTTGTGAGCTATAGCATATTCACATTTGCAGTTTGTTATAGGGCGGTAGCCAACACTTTCTCCAAAAAGTCTTGTCGAAAGCTTGTCGTTGTGGATGAAAAGTAGACCTCAACATAGCTGTCTGTCACTTGTACGCGAGAGCTAGGTCGCACCTGTTGTCTCAGGCTCTCTGCTATCACAGGGACATTCAGACCTTAATCCTTTGATTATAACTTTTCTGACATCGGCCCTAAGCTCTTGAGTTATTTTTAACCGCACAATTGACGGACGCGCTTTCCATTCGTAGAGAATCAGTGTTCTGGCAGGTGCGTATCTTACAACAACCTCAACCTCCAATCTTGACCATATCACCTACCCCGATCAATATCTCTGAGTCTTGCCCCTTCCTCTGGTTCTAGCCCATAACACTTGTTTGGAACGCGTCAGAGCCCATTCATTGTCGAGATTAAGCCCTACTACTTCCCTTAATTTCTGTTCTATTCCTCTCCTATCCTCTTTTATCCTGGCCGCATGGCTAGATATGATATCTCTGCTCTTATGGGCATGCGCTCCAATGCACGGATCGATGTCAACAGATTCAGTGAGGTTGGCAGTACGTCCTTCTCGCGTGCTGGAGCAAGAGAGACACCCCAGGAGCCATGGCCGCCCGTGAATTGGACTGACCCTGTCCGACCTTGTGTAGGCAACTTGCTCCGCCAACATAGCACGAGCGTGTTGTCCGAACAATCCATGAACCGGTCAAGGAACGTGTCAAATTTCTCGCGTCAGAGTGAAAGAACAACTGCACCCCCCGAGCCTCCTTTGAGATCTACCTCAAGTCAGCCAAGTGATCCACCGTGCAGCCATCGTGTACAGAACAACTCCGGCTTCGCGCAGTTTCTCAAGGAACACACATCCCCAAAGCATCAACGCGTCACAGCCGGGGGTCGAATCGTTCCGATGGAGGCACCCCCAAAGATGAAGCTGCCTACGTACCAGCAGCAGCAGAAAGTCGGCGACGACAGAAAATGCTCGGTTGTATCTGCAGCAGAGAATCAAAATAATCTCGAGCAGGAAACTCTACCTACCAGGGACACGGCTAATGGCATCGGAGCTTCCAAACATAGTTCCCAGTCTGCTGGTGTACCTGTGGATTGCATCTTTCCCCCATATGGGAGCTTTGATCTGTACCTGCAGACTTCGGGACAAACACCAAATCTTCTCTCTGCTGCAGGGCCTTCAGGACTGCTCCCTTCGCTCGATATGCCATGGCCGACCGATACCCAACAGCTTCTGGAACCTGAGATGCAGGCCCCGGAGTATCTTATACCTGCTGCGCCGGAGTTCCCGATGTTGAACTATGCAAGCCCATGTATCTGGCAGCCGACTCTGTATGATGTTCTGAGCACCCCCAATCCATTACCCACTTTTGCTCCCTCAATCCAGCCGCATCCGACAATATTAACGGCGTCCGACTTTTCGGCGGGCAGCATGGCTAGTAGTGGAGGTGCTACGCCCTTAATGAGCCCGTTTTACTCGGGATATGGCATGTCCCGTACGCCTACAGCAATTCATTGGCATCAGCTCATCAACGGGCAAGCGGGAATGCAGTCTCAGCAAGTTACACCTGCGGTGATGCCGACTCCCCTGTACCAGAAGTCCCTCGATGATGCCACCAAAGAGCATGACAACCTATCGGCTCAACTTGCACGCTTAGACAGATACATGGCGATGCACACCTGGGATCTAGACCCTCAGACTAAGAAGCTGTTGGTCGAGCAACGTGTCGGTCTGGTGAAAGAATTGGATACAGTCCGCATTTACAGAGAGCATCTCGAATATGCCTCTGCAAAGGTCAGAATGAACACGTTGGGCAGCCATGCTGGCATGTCCGAATCAGCACCTCCTACTGGAATGTATCTTGCTGGCAATGCTGCGAATCATCCAGCTTTATTCGGACAAGCCATATGCACTTCCAGCTCAGATAGTACAGTCCCAACGTTCGCTATGCCGTCCCTGGCAACAGCATTTCCGCCACAGCTGTCCAGTCACGAGACAGGGAGTTCAACACCAATGCCATTGATGCCATGGCAAGGTTCGACTGATTATTTTGGTCATCTTCCAGGATCGGTGCTCCAAGAGGCAAATACGAGCAACAAAGCACTCACGCAGTCACAGAGACTGAAACCGAGGAGGCCAATCTCTATCAAGGTACCGCCCGTGGACCCTAAGAATGATACTACATCCGACAACAAAGCACAAGGTGCGAAAGCCAATGAGACTTCTTGGACAACATGTACCAAGGATCTGCCTCCAGAGGTTCTGCAGGTATATCGTCAGATGGGAAAGATCGCCCGGCAAGGTGACACCCTTGACGGTCTGCTTCATGACTTGAAATTAGCCGCCGAGCAGCCCATCAAGCAGACCTCCGATGGGTACTATCAACCAAGCTCGTCGGCTACCAATGCCATTAGGGAACAGAGAGTGACGACTCAATCGAGTGAGAAAGCTGGTACTTTCAAATCCAAGTCCGCTGATTTCTCAGGGCCAGACTACTTGAGGCAGCGCTCTAGCCGGGACTCCCGCAGGTATCGCAATCGGCCTCGGAGCCATGAAGACGTGGAGAAGAGTCATTTTGTTGCTGTGGAGGAAGAAGATGCACGCTCCATGCTTTCCTATGTCTCGACCACAGACTCGTGGGCCACTGTGCATGAAAAAGAGTAAGCTTCAGTCTCCGTTCCCGGCGATTAATCTCGAGGGTCTAAATCAACGCGTAGCTACATGTCCCACAAGACGGAGTTTGGTCGTCAAGCGAGCACACAGAGGCGAGGCCTGTCACATGAAAGGTATGATGTTGCTGATTGAATGTGGCAGAACGCTGATGGGAATATGTTACAGGAGCGCCGGTTCTGCGAAGCGTCCTACGACCCCGTTCTTCGAGATTCCCAACTCCGTGACCCAGCTCGCCCTTATGTCTGGCTCTGGTGGTATAGGCAATCCCAGGACGGCGCACAGACGGAGCGGCCCTGCCCTTGCAGACGACCCTCTACAGTCTAGACAACGGAGCAATGTGGAGAGTGTGAAGCATTCCTTCTCGCCGCTCCTTGCACCGTGCCTGATAAAAGATCGCGGTCTGGCTGGACCAAAGTCAATGGCCTTGGCAGTTCCCCAGAATGTTCATGCACATGGCATCCTGCCTCATTTTGCTCGCATGGAAGATGTGCCTAGAAAGAGCAGGGCGGCTCCGATGACTGGACATGAGGTTAACAGCGAGTGGCAGCCGCATCAACTCCATGATCACAAACAGAAAGACAATCTGTGGTACAAGCCAGATAGAGGGATGGGAACCTAGCGCTGAAGAATGTTGCTTGAGTGGAGGTCTGGGCTAGGCGCTCTACTTGATTCATCTTTCCTGGAGATTGCAGTGTTGATTTGGGTGAAGTTGCTCCTTTGTTACGACCTAGTGAGACATGGTGGAAGACAGTGGCTGGGGGCGGATTAGCGGTGAGGTTGAAGTTGAAACTGTTTCATGCCCACAGCCAGTCTTGGAGAGGGAGGTTTGGCGTCTGCTCTTGTTGTATGATTTTAACATTGTATGGCTGGTATCTGCAAAAGGCCCTCCGATTAGCTATGGCATGTTTAATTTGTTCCACTGCTTCGAGCAATTCTGTCGTCATGAGCTGAAGATTCACAATGCAAGTGTGATTGCTCGATTTTACGTGGTTGCGATTGAGGATTGACACTGGAGCCTGGAGGTATGCTTCCCGGTGGTAGTTACTCCGTATGATATGTCAAGTTCAAGGGCTCATGTGAGGTTTACGGGGTACTCCGTACAGAAAGTGGATTTATTTCCAGCTCAGGATGTAGCAGTTGTAGGAGATGTCATTTTTTCCAATGATGAGATCGACAATATGGATTCCAACATCGGAATCTTAGGTGATCCTACCGGTACTCCGCAGAGTACTAATAATCCCAAGTTATGGGCTGGGAGGGCCGAGAAGCTCCTCCCTTGCGTAAGGCGGTGCGTTTTTTTGCGCTCCTTCTTCCCCCCACACCCCAAGGAACTTATCCCAAGGAACTATGAACGAAACGATCCCCGCAACCAAAAAAAAAGAAAAAAAAATGGAAGCCCAGACAAAACTGGTCGGTCGGATTTACAGGACCGGAATTTACGAGTTTCTAGACTAAGTGCGACAGCCCTGAGTTATTAACGATCATCCATCGAGACGTGACGAGACGGACCAGATAGGGTAGATAGGTAGATAGGGCCTGGGCAAGGCGAGCTGGAGGAGTGAAACGCGCCCTGTAACTGGGTTTCATGCTTTTTTTCGGTGGTTTTTTTCTTTTGTGTGTGTTGATTCGGGCTGAAAGGAAAGTCTTATGTGGATGAGAGAAGCGTACTAGGTAGTCTTATGGCGGTAGTGGTTATAATTCGTAAAGGACCAAAAACAATATAACAATAAATAAATAAATCGAACCCGGCTGGCAGGCCGGCAGGTAGGCGATGTTCAGCCAAGAAAGACCGGCGGAGGAGAGTCGGATGTGTGTGGGGGGGAGGGGGAGGGGATGGATGTTCGTTCCTGGCTGGTGGCACAGTGCGCGATTGATTTTATGGGTTGGAATGATTGGTGTGAACAGACATCATCGGGCTCGAACCTGAGGGTGACGGTGGTTCTCCATGGCTTGACTACGGAGTTATACGGTATGGAAAAGTCCAGAAGGGCTGTTCCAGGACCAATAACTAAGGCAGAGAGGGAAAGAGGAGAGAGGGATTGGAAAGAAGTGGCAAGTGAGTGTTTACGGTGGTACTTGAGTAATTGTATTGGAAACTAGTGGCATAGCCACGGTGAGACTGGTTCAATCCATTATTTGGACTAGTAGTAACTTACTCTGGTGTCTTGAACTTGTTAAGTACTGAGTGACTATCGAAGGACAAAAGTGCATATCATATTCTTTCTCAGCATTAATGACAGGTGCGATGGATGGTTCCCTAATAGTTTGAAATGAGTTGATTGACTAATGTCACTAATGTCAAGTTGGTTTAGGTTCCAGTTGGCTCCGATAGTGGCGGTTCAAAGACTGTATGGTTACGTATGAGGATGAGGATGAGTGAGTGTATCAACGCCGCCTCCAGCCGGGGCTGACTTCACTTTAGGTAAGCTAACTACGGACTGTTCCATCTTTCCCTCCACCTTCTGTCTGTCTGTCTGTCTCTTCTTCCTGTCTCCACTTTTTTACTATCACTACCAACCGTTCATCCCCATTCCATCTGCTGTCTGTCTGGTCTGCCATCGTTTCTCTTGTCTCCTCTTTTGCCTCTTTCTATGCTATCTCTCTAGTTATCACTTTCCCTCTGCTCTTGTTAGTTATCCCATCCAATTTTTCCTTCCGTGATACCTCTGTTTCATCCTACTGTTCGCACCATACGGCCACAACCCCTGCTCCAATTCGTGGCTAATTTCACACATTCTTCGTCTTCGTCGCGGTCGGACTGTTGTCGACCGTGTTGTCGGGTCAAGGCTCCCCTCCCCTCATCATTCCCGGGCTGGAACTGGCACTGGCACTGGCACTGCGTCCCCATTCCAAGTTTCCGGTGCGAAACCCGTTTAGTTCGTTCGCCCACCCACCACCCACACCCGGTGATTAGCACCGCCTTCCCTCCCTCTCTCCCCCGCGGCTTCTGGCCCGTCGCTGGGTCCTCGTCCTCCCGTCGCAACTCTTCCTCTCTCCATCTTTGTGTTCCTGTTCACTTGTTCTTGTCCACCTCCTCTCCGTTCTTACTCTATCTCGCACAACCAATCCTCTATCTGGGCCTTCTGGACCATCCGGACAAGTCCTCGGGTCCTTTTCAGGCACCAGTCTTCGGCCATGACGCAACTTTTCGCTTCCAGTCCGTCCTCGGTGACGAACGAGAAACGCGGCAACTTCCCGAGCCTGTCGCTGGCCTCCAAGAAACAACATTCAAACGATTCAAGTCATTTTCCCACCAAGATTCGAAATTTCTTCCGCATCAACAGCTCCAGCAGTAATGTCTCCCATGCTAGCCACCACAGCGGCAGCGATCGGAGTCATGAAACCAGTAACCTCTCCTCGTCACCTGGCAAACACGAATCCAAATCCACCTTCAGACAGTCCCGATTTCTCCCTACCATTGGTCGCAATCGCTCGACCACCGTCGCCAGTGAGGGAAACCCATTAGACGAAGGCGTCTCGCCCACCGCAACCGCGAACCCATACTTCCAACACCAAGGACAGCCGTCCTTGCAGCATCGTAATGATGGATCCATTCCCTCTTCTCCACCAGATACCCCCGAGTTACAGGTCGAAGGCGTCTCCGCGGCCGAGCAAGCAACCACCGCCAACAAGGAAGAGCTGGCTCGCAAACTCCGCCGTGTCGCTTCGGCGCCCAATGCGCAGGGTCTGTTTGCCCGCGGCCAGGCTGATGAACGGCCGCAAACCGCCGAGCAGGACCAGGAGCCCTTGCCGGTGGGATCGAGTAGTCTTGTTCCTAAAGTGACGACAATTGAGGTGTCTGAAGAGCAAGAAATCAACCTTGCTGTGCCGACACTCGGGGCTGACGGCAAGATCCCCACTCCTGGCCAGATCCGAGACTCCGTTGCATTTCGCCGAACATACAGCTCCAACTCGATTAAGGTGCGGAATGTGGAGGTCGGTCCAGGCAGCTTCGACAAGATCAAGCTGATCGGCAAGGGTGATGTGGGCAAGGTGTATTTGGTCCGGGAGAAGAAGACCAGCCGACTCTATGCTATGAAAGGTGCGCGCCTACGCGAGAAATCGCAGAGAATTTGCTGACTGACTTGACTAGTGCTGAGCAAGAAGGAAATGATCAAGCGTAACAAGATCAAGCGTGCGTTGGCGGAGCAGGAAATCTTGGCCACTAGCAATCACCCGTTCATTGTCACGCTCTATCACTCTTTCCAGTCCGAGGACTATCTCTATCTCTGCATGGAGTATTGCAGTGGCGGTGAATTTTTTAGAGGTATGTCGAGTAGAGATGACCGTCAGGGCAAGGTGCTAATTGGTCGCTCTAGCCCTGCAAACTCGGCCAGGAAAATGCATTTCGGAAGACGCCGCCCGTTTCTACGCTGCGGAAGTGACCGCTGCTCTGGAGTATCTTCACCTGATGGGATTCATCTACCGCGATTTGAAACCTGAAAGTAAGTCGCCCCTCAGGATTACTGCATGAATGTGTCTCACAATGACGTATTTTAGACATCCTCCTCCATCAGTCAGGCCACATCATGTTGTCTGACTTCGATTTGTCCAAGCAGTCCGGACCGGGCGGTGCACCTACCATGATTCCGGCCCGGAGTGGCAATTCGACAACGTCTTTACCAACCATCGACACGAAGTCATGTATTGCCGATTTTCGGACGAACTCTTTTGTGGGTACGGAAGAATATATCGCTCCAGAGGTCATCAAAGGCTGCGGACATACTAGTGCGGTCGACTGGTGGACTCTGGGCATTCTGATCTACGAGATGCTGTACGGAACGACGCCTTTCAAGGGCAAGAACAGGAATGCCACGTTTGGCAATATCCTGCGGGATGAAGTGCCTTTCCCTGAACACTCTGGGGCTCAGCAGATCTCCAAGTAAGATTGCACTGATCCTGGCTGTCATATTCTCGATGCTAACATATGCGTAGCCTTTGCAAGTCCCTGATTCGGAAGTTGCTGATCAAGGATGAGACAAAACGTCTCGGAGCTCGGGCTGGTGCCTCAGACGTCAAGACACATCCTTTCTTCCGACAGACGCAATGGGCACTCATTCGCCACATGAAGCCCCCAATGATCCCACACCAAAGCCGAGGCACAGACACCCTTAACTTCCGCAACGTCAAGGAGAGTGCCAGTGTCGACATCGGAGGCAGCCAACCGATGAAGATGAAGGGGGTCCCCATGGATTCAGGTCTGGCTACACCTAATGCCGAAGTCGCGGATCCGTTTGAAGAGTTCAACAGCGTCACTCTCCACCATGACGGGGATATGTAGAGTGATTCCACAGTGTTGCTGGGATGGATGCTCTCTGCTCCGTCTAAAGACGGCAGAGGAACGAGTTTAGGCAGACCGCGGACTGCTTGGGCTCTGTCACGACCATGACGCATTAAGACGAAGACCTATTGGAGTTCACCATTTCCGACTTTCATACAGTCATTATCCGGAGTACTGGTTCTTTTCTTTCGGGATTTAATTTATGGGGTGTTAATTGAATCATGCTGATGATCAGGTAAATAGATGACATTTGCGTATATTATATGCATGGCCATTCTCGGGATCTTTTGCTTTCTTGCTGGATGTTGCAGCGATGTGATTTCGCCTGCCTTTTTTATTGTGGTTTTATATTGTCACCATTGCAGAAGACGGCGTTTGCGATCTAGGTTGTATCGTACCAAAACACTTTTTCCTTCCTTTGAGCCGGTCGGCGGCGGGTCACATTGCTTGGGAAGACCCGGCCGACCTTTTTCAGTTCGCGGCTTTTGTTGCGGTACCCCAAGAGGCCCGGTGCCTTGAGGGAAATGATACATGCTACTAGTATATGAATGAATCTATGTATCAGTGTTGGTATTGTGATTAATGTAGAGATGGGTGGTATGTGGTGAATTCATTCTTGCTTCTGGCAGCCATATGAGCCGCGGGGCGGCAGTCACATGGTGTAGCCTGGTGTGCTACCTTTTCTAGCTATATAAATTGATAGAATGGTATGCCGCAGGATAGATATAGATCGCTGGATAGATAAGCCCAGTCAGTTAAGGTGCCTTATGCTGAATCGGCAAATAAGTGGGGGTGGAGATGGGTAGTATAGTTTGGCTAGTTAAGGTCAACTCATCTCAATTGAGTTCCCTGGACTCTTGTTGTTCCTTTCTTTGTTTATATATAGGAAATCCGGCTAGCACTGCAATATGTATTAGAGGAGCCGTGGATCTTCATCATTTAGATGCCGAAGTCAGTCAGCTAGAAGGAGGTGTTTACTTCTATGCACCCCCGCCCCAAAGCGGTGGAAGGTTAAGCTAACTTAACCTACGGTGTTGCCATGCATGCCCGGTGATACAATTCTACTACCAAACCGGTTAGTTCCCGCCGCCCTCCAGGCTCAATTCATCCCCCCCAAACAAAGCAAACCATTGTTGAACCCGAAGGACCTTCAATTCCAACCACACGACTCATAACTAAACCATTTGCTTCTCTCCGTACCCGACCAATTGATTCCACCTACAATCATAACTTGCAGCCTACAGCCCAAAACCATTTACACTCCATGAACCCCCCGCCCAGGAAACCACCTCGCAAAAATCAAAGAATGTCCCACCTCGACGACCTCACCACCCCCGACTCCACCAGCGTCAGCGTCAGCATCAAGGACGACCCCTCCCCCGCCGAAGAAGACCATACCAATCCGAAGACATCCACCACTACCAGCAGCAGCAGCAACCCCCTCCTCAACCCCTCCAACCCCCTCGTCACAGATCTAGAGCAGGAAGTCCTCGACGAGTACGCCCGGCTCCTCGGGAACGTGAACGCGGTGGGTTTTTCCTTCCTTCCTCCCCTCCCTCCTCGGCCCTACCTTGAGGCGCATAGCTCAAGCCCATGCCCATGCCTATGCCTATGCCCTCGATACACTCCCACCCCCCACTCCCCCATTCAAAAAGGAACCAAACGCTAATTGGATGAGAGGGGCAAAGCTCTCCACCAAACTCGCCGACCTCGCCGGCTCCCCCGCTTCAATGACCCTCGATGGCCTCCGCCATCTCGAGCGGAAGACCGCCACCGTGTGCACGCTGCTGAAGGCGAGTGTGTATAGTATTGTGTTGCAGCAGCAGATGATCAATGAGTCTGAGGGGCAGCAGCAGCAGCAGCAGTTTGGGCAGGGGCAGGAGGGGCAGGGGTTTGGGGATGCGATGGGGTATGATGAGGGGGAGCTGGGGGAGCAGGGGTATGGGTATTATGATGAGGGGCATGGGCATGGGCAGGGGCAGGATGTTAGTCTTTTGGGACGGTTTTGATTGTTTTGCTTTTTGGTCAAAGAGAGGGGGCAGGAGTATAGCTAGGGAGGGTTGAGTCTGTTCATGGTTTTGTGTTTGTGGGGTTTGTTGTTGGGGGGGTTGGAGTATGGGTTGGGTTGGGTGGTGCAATGGCTCGGAGTTTGTTGTTTATCGGCTTGTTATTTGTTGTTTTTGATATACCCCTGCTTTTTTTTAATGGGTTCGGTGCTGTGGATTGAGGATACTGACTCTCACTTCGGATGGAGACAAGGAACGGGTTATCTCAGTTCTATCATAACCGAACATAGGCTGGATACAAATACAGGTTGACTGAAGAGAGAGAGAGAGATACAAAGTACACCATAAGGAAAAACCATTATTTACACCACCGCCATGGCGCAACCAGAAACCGGCAAATGCGAGAACCAAATCAAAACACCCGTCCAGAGTAGTACACCTTGCGCACATCGACCATCTTCTTCCCCCGGGCACGGGCAACATCCTCCGGGTTACGCTGCGCCAAGAGCGCCTCGTAGGCGGCCTTCACGGTGTTCATCTTGTTTCGGGACCGGTTGACCCGAGCAGCGATATCGGAGATACCGGCGGCAATACACATCTCGTAGATGAGGGATTGGCAGCGAAGTCCAAAGCCTAGTCCCGTGTTAGCACATGACACAAATACAGGGGGGCGGGGGGCGGGGGGCGGGGGGCGGAAAAAACATACCCGGAGGACGAGTCATCAACTTCAGATCCATAGCACCAACCTTGGCCGTCACATCGCCGTAGATGGTGCGCTGCTCGTACCGCAGAATGGGCCGCATATTCCGGATCGCACGGTACTTCGCTTGCTCGATAGCATCGGCGGCTTCGAAGGACTTGGCCTCGCCCAGTCCCAGCAGGCCGTCGCGGTTGCCGGCGACCGCCAGGCAGTAGAACCGCTGGACTTTACCCAGACGCGTCTGGTTGGTGACCGAGTGGAAGACCAGCGACTTGGTGAAAAGGTTCTTGATGTAGTCTTGAGAAAGACCCGTAGACTGGATCAATTGCGCCAACGGCGGCGAAATGCCCTCCAACGAAATGGCGGGCCGATGGACGTTTTCATCCCGGACTAACCCCTCCTTGCCCTCGTCCTCCGGCACGCGCAGCTTGTCGCCCTCCTGAAAGAAGTCCGGCGCCAGCGAAGTGTGCGGGCTACGTTCGGCCTCCTCCTTGCCCTTGGTCAGCCGAGTGGTCTCCGCCCACCGGACGAAGTGGGCCGAGTCCATGTCGCGCGGCATCTCCTGGATGTACTTGGAGAAGTCCTGCATGAAGTCCTCCGTGTTCTTCAACTTCTGGTTGGGGTCCGCGTGGCTCTCCGAGGCCCGCACGTGCTTGTCGACTCCCGGCTCGACGTGCGAGAAGTCGTCCAGGTACTTCAGCCGCATCGGATCCGTGCGAACGGCGAACTGCTCCGCGAAGTCCTTGGGGTCGATCGTCGCCTCGCCGGCCTCGATCGCCGCCATTTGCGCCGCGCTGTACACCTCCCGCAGCTGGGCCAGCTCCTCCTCCGTGTACGGCCGCAGGCTCTCCGGCTTCATATTCCGCGTGATCTCCTGCAGCCTCTGCTTGACGACCGCCTCCTTGTTCGTCTTCGGGGTCTCGGCAGCAACGGGGACGGCAGAGTCTGTTGGCTTCTGGTCGTTAAGGCGGAAGGGAGAAGGGTGGAATTGGCGACGAGGGACGCGAGGAGCCGCCGAGGCTGCTCGCGTGAAGTTGCATAGCATGCATCGGGCGGGACGAGTGAAACTCATGGCGGACGGTGAGAAAAGAAAGAAAGCTCTCTGGCCAGCAGAGGCCAATTGAGAGCTTTAGAGAGAAGAGAGAGGGAGAGAGAGTGGGTGGGTGGGGAGAGGGGGGGAGGAGGAGTTGAGAAGGTGGTAGCTGGAGGCAAGTCCGCGGTGACTGAAGGGGAATTGAAGATTGAGAGAGTGAGACTGGAGAGAAACAGAAACTCCGGCGAAATTCTCAGCGGGCCGAATCCAACCAATCCGCGCCCGCCTTTTCCTGCTCACTCACTTTTTTTCCCTTTTCCATTTCCAATACTTACCTTTCCCCAACTTCTACAATTTCCCACTTTTCCACAACTGCCCCCCGCGAATTTCTCTAAACATCCTTTCATTGTGGGCTTGCTGATCGACGTGGGAAAACTCAGGATCTATAGATGTTTGCATTGCGGTCCTTGCGCCTGCTCTCACCCAGACTCCCGTCTCAGTTCACCCTCCAGACTCCCCGTCTGATCCACACTGGTCTTTCTGCAGATATCAATCGACGATTGGACTTCGTGGTTCAAAGAATGCAGGAACCACCCAAGAAACCCGCCAACCCGCCCAAGAAGCGCAAGCAGCAGCTCCGCGATGAGAAGCGCCAAGGCTTCGACGAGGTCCTCCAGGCCGATATCGATGCGCTCATCCGCAAACACAAACCCGCTACGGAGGTCGAGGTCGAGGTCGAGTACCTGACCCCCCCGGAGCCAACCTTGCCCGAGCCCTTCACCGAGCTCGAGGTCCAGATCGCCGAGATATCTTCGACGGGAGATGGTCTGGCATTGTCGGAGGACCAAACCCACGTCTACGTGGTGCCTTTCAGCGTCCCCGGGGATAAAGTGCTGGTCAAGGTCGTGCGCCACTTCCCCTCGCTAAAATACAGTATTACGGACTTCGTCAAGGTTGTTGAGCCTGGCTCCCAGCGCAACGATGCCGGCATCGGCTGCCAGTACTTCGGGAAGTGCTCCGGGTGCCAGCTCCAGATGATGTCCTACGAGGACCAGCTGGCGCACAAGAAGCGCATCGTCGAGAAAGCCTTCGCCAACTTCTCCGGCCTCATCCCCGAACTGATCCCCGCCATCGGCGACACCTTCCCCTCGCCGCTGCAATACGGCTACCGCACCAAACTCACCCCCCATTTCGCCGCGCCCCCGGGCAGCTTCCGCCGCCGCAACAAGGGCGCCTCGGCCCCGCGCCACACCGAGGTCCCGCCCATCGGCTTCACCTACAAGAACCGGCGCACCGACCTGGACATCGAAGACTGCCCGCTGGGCACGGACATCGTGCGCCAGGGGCTCAAGAGCGAGCGCAAGCGCGTGGCCGAGCGGATCTCCACGTACACGCAGGGCGCGACCCTCCTGCTCCGCGAGTCCACCTCGCGCACCCCGAAGAACGAGGCCGACCGCGAGAAGAGCGAGTGGCCGCGCACCGACGACCTGAACCACATCAACGACTACTCCGAGGACCTGATCCGCACCGAGACCGACGCCTACACCGAGGAGAAGCGGTGCGTGACCAACCCCAACGCCACGACGGTCGAGTACGTCGACGACTACGTCTTCACCAATAAAGCGGGCGCTTTCTTCCAGAACAACAACTCCATCCTCACCGGCTTCACCGACTACATCCGCCAACACGCCCTGGCGCCGCCAGCACCTTCCCCCTCCTCCTCCTCCCCCTCCCCCTCAACCACCGACGAACCCCAACCCCAACCCCAACAACAAATCAAATACCTCCTCGACGCCTACTCCGGCTCCGGCCTCTTCACCATCACCCTCTCCCCGCTGTTCAAATCCAGCCTGGGCGTCGACGTCGCCGGCGACTCCATCCTCTCCGCCCGCCAGAACGCCCGCGCCAACCGCCTCCCCAACACCGGCTTCGCCGCCGCCGACGCCGCCGTCCTCTTCAAGGACGTCCCCTACCCGGCCGACCAGACCCTGCTGGTCATCGACCCGCCCCGCAAGGGCTGCAGCGACGACTTCCTCCGCCAGCTGCTCGCCTACGGGCCCCGCCGCGTCGTCTACGTCTCCTGCAACGTCCACACCCAGGCCCGCGACGTCGGCGTCATGGTCCAGGGCAGCGCCGAGAAGAAGATCCGCTACGAGATCGAGAGCATCCGCGGCTTTGACTTTTTCCCCCAGACCGGCCATGTTGAGGGTGTGGCGGTCCTAAATCGTGTGCCGATTCCCGAGGGTTCGACCTAGTCTTTTTTTGGAAAAGAGGCTCCGGTGGTGGTGGTCGTGGTGGTGGCAGGCTGGGGCTAGTGGGGAGTGCGGGAGTGTTGATGAAAGAAAAAACTTCCTTTCTTGTGTTATATACATTATATTCTAGTATTGGCGTTGTTTTCGGTTGCTTTTGGGATTTGGGGGTTTTTTAAAATAGAGTATTTGAATTACACTTCACGATCTGGGGTTTTTTGTTTACGGAGAAATTATGTATCTGCTTGGGAAGTGATTGCATCTACATTTTACATCCATATTATATACATTGATTGCTGGAGTGAATGACTGGTTCGGAAGCCCTGCAGTCTAAGATCATGTGTGTCTCTTGTGTTTTGTGTGTCGAGAACGGCCTTTCTCCGGCCGGTTTACTATAGAAGCCTTTTGTTTTGTTTCACAATCATGAAGAAGAGAAAAGACTATGGACAAAGTAGAACAGAGCACGATATCTCACACGCCAATCACACAGAGAGACAGAGAAAGACACAACATCACCCTAAGCACTGCCGGGCCCACCCAGGAGAGCAAACCGACGGACGATACTGGGGCCGATCTCGTCGTACTCGGCCTTGGTGTGGCAGTAGCTGCGGAATTCGGGCGTCTGGCCCAACAAGCTACCGCCGAACCACGGGCCGTGGCGCTGTCGCTTGTGCGTGACGACCGCCACGTCCAGACCACCGCTCCGCGCGCCGCCGCTGCGGGCCTCCGAGGCGCGAATGCGGGCGTCTACCAGGTGCCGGATGTCCCGCTGTAGACGGCGGCCGAAGTCCTTGTACAGAGTGGATCCACCGGAGAGGACGATGTTCTTATAGAGGCCTCTCCGGACGTCGATGGGAGAGGACTGGATCACGCCGTCGACGACGTTGGGCAAGGGCGTCAGGAAGTCGGAGGAGTAGATTTCCGGGTTGAAGAAGATCTCAGGGGCCAAGAAGCGCTCGTAGCCGACGTCGATGCTCACACTCCGGCCGTTGGGGGCGGTCACGGTGTGTTTGAGGAAGCGGTCGGGCTCCCGGTCGTAGCGTGCGAACTCCTTCACAATGTCGGGGCACACGTAGCAATATTCCTCCTTGACCTTCTCGGCGGTCTTCAAGCTGCTATCCGGCTCACCGCGGTCACGGAGCAGACTCTGGACGAAGTAGGTGATATCGCGACCGGCGATGGGGATGCTCTTAATCGAGGAACCGATGACGTAGCCCTCTGCGACGGGGATAACATGCGTGACACCATCACCCGAGTCGATGACGGTTCCGGTCAGCGATCGATCGGTGACCTTCGACGAGGTCCAGGAGGCAGCGAGAGCCAGCACGGCTTGGACAGCGATGTAGAGACCGGCGCAGTTGAACGACTCGAACATGATCTCGGCGGTGTTCTCACGGTTTTCGGGGGGGTTCAAGGGCTGGTGTAAGTTTGGATGTTAGTGAACTGATCTCCTGCTGTCGCATTGGCACGGGGTAGTTGGTAGCGTACGGGTTCGGTAAGGAGGAAGTAGTGGTCCTCCGGCTCCACGCGCAGGTACTTGAAGATGGAATTGGACCAGAACCGCTCCATGTGGTCCCAGTTCTCAATTTGACCATGACGGATGGGATAGTTGATCGCGTAACCGGGGCCGTTGGCCGCTGCCAGAGCCTCGTCGCCAATGAAGTAGTCCAAGTCCTCCGTACCACGCTTCGTGGACAAGTGCGAGCTTGCCCCACCACCACCACCGGCCAGGAAAGATGGCTTGTTCGCGACGGGAGGTCGGCCGGGGGCAGAGCCTGCAGCACTTCCGGCGCCCGCCTTGGTAGCAATTGCGGTGGGAAAGACGAAGGACGGCGAGTCGTTACCGGCGAAACCTGGTGACTTGTCAGCCTAGAGCTCCGTGGGGTAGGCAGTAGGCGTAGCTGGAATGATAGCGGGGGTGGAGGCTTACCAAGCTTGGAGTAACCAGTTCCGCTGAGCAGTGAAAGCCCATGGTCAGCTACAATGATGTGATTGAAGAGCAAAAGGGGGGGGGTTGTTGGGCGACTCACTTGTCCATGACAACGGCCGGAGTTTGGGAAGCCATGACGGATGATGTGGAGTAGACGCACTCCCCCTTACTATCAGGTCGCGGACGAAAGGTGTTGGGTAGAAGGGAATTGACGAAATGTGTCCGTAGAAAGGTAGATAAAGAGAAGCTGACCTTCCAAAGAGATTCAGCAGAAGGGGAACAGCGGGGGAGGAGAAAGAAAGAGAAACAACAATCGGAGAATGGGGGAATTAAGATGGGGGATTGAATTGGGGGGGGGAATGAATGGAGGGGAGCAGCAGGAGCAGGAAGAGGGAACGGACCGGGAGGGCGGGCAACACCATGGCTGGCAGAACGGCACGTGTTGGGAGTAGTTAGTGAGTAGTGAGTAGTTTATCCATGCATCGATCTTTATCTTCCATCAATTCATCTCCCAGGGCGTTCTTTTCCTCTCCGCCATTAGAATTTGTGTATGTTCTCTTGAACAAGAACAAAAACCAAAAAAATAATCAATTAATTTCACTATGGAAATTTCTGACAAGACAATGGAACAGCTGTTATTGAAAGCAATTGCAAAGAAGAAGTACAGTACAGTACAGACATACAGACAGTACAGTCTTGAAGGGCAACCGCTGCCCCCCCATAAATCGTCCTTTGCTATAAGGAAGGAACGTCTTCCATCTACTTCTCCAACCACCCAACGATCATGTCTCGAACCACATCCATCATCTTCTTCAACTCTGTCCTATATGACTCCCTAAAGTCCTCTGTCTATCAGTACTGACTGTTTATTCTTTGTCCGGTGACATATGCTTTCTTTCTTCCATCATTCGTATACTGTATTCATAGAGAGAGACAGGTCGAACTACAACCACAACTCCACCACCCTCTGATCATTGCGGCTGCGCTCCCCCTCACGACTGCGGCTGTGCGTTTTTCTGCGGCTGCATTTCGATTCACTTTTGCTCGCTTTCATAATCGTGGCCAATCGCACAACACTTGCTTAGCCCGGCGCAGTGAAGTTCAAAACACGCTCAACCTGAGGGGCGCCGTGTTCCTTTACTTTCTTGCATCCTCCAATTCTGCGCTTCTCTTAAGCTGAGGACTCCAAAACTCAGTCAATTGACCGCGGTAACTTGTGCTCAGAGACTCTGATCATCCGCCTGTCCTTACGGTCAGTGTGACACGCAAAACACCTTCCTGTCTGCCAGGTCTCCACTCAGTCAAGCCCATCACGCGGCCGCGTCTCATTCCAGCATTCATTGCAAGGCACCTTGGCTTAACCATGTCCTCCAACAAGAGTGGTGGGGCTGGTGGAGGAGGCATTGCCACCATTTATGTCCATGCCGGCGCTGGCTTCCACAGTGTGCAGAACGAACATCTACATCTGCAGGCATGTGAAAAGTAAGTTGGCAACCAATCTTCGTTCCCGCACTTTACCTGTCCATTCTAACCTGGAGCAGGGCCGCGCGATCAGGAATGGCCGTTCTGCGCAATGGTGGAACGGCTGTAGAGGCGGTCGAAATGGCCATCATGTATCTGGAGGACACTGAAATCACCAATGCTGGCTATGGCAGTAACCTGACAATTGATGGAGAGGTCGAGTGCGATGCTACGATTGTCAATCATCTCGGGCGAAGCGGCGCAGTCGGAGCTGTGTCCCGTAAGTAATCTTTCTCACTGGTTTAAGCGCCAGGCTAATGCCATTCTGCAGAAGTGAAAAATCCCATCATGGTGGCACGAAGCATCTTAAATACGTCAGGAAAGCCATTAACCCTGGCTCGTGTGCCGCCTAATTTCCTGATTGGACGAGGTGCAAGGGACTTCGCCTATGATCAGGGACTGGTGGTCCTGCCTTCTGATGCTCTCGTGGCTCCGTCTGCAAAAGAAAGATGGCGTCGCTGGCAGCAGGAGCTACAAGCCGCCGAGCACAAGGAAAGGACCAAGCTGGGGAACTATATCCCGTACCAGACTTGTTATCGCCGTCCCATTCCTTTCAACCCTGCCCAATTGGCCAACGCTTCCAGTCCTCGTCTTCCCGCTTTGCCTGCGCCCAGCGCTGTGGTTCCCGGTTACTCGGAGCCTGCAGACCCGCGTTTGACCTGTACCACTGCAAGTCTATCCCCAGTGGAACCAACCCGCACACTTTCCGATGCTTCTGCACTTAGGGATGGCAGGTACATGGATGGAGGGCCTTGCACTTCCGCTGTGGATCTCAGTGGACCGTCGTCCGAAACCTCTGAGGCCACTGTTAGCCAGCCTGCGGAGGTGATGGACTATGTTAGCGATACTGTGGGGGCCATTGCTGTGGATAGCTGGGGCAATATTGCGGCCGGCTCGTCTTCTGGCGGCATCGGGATGAAGCACTCCGGTCGTATCGGACCTGCGGCACTCGTGGGAGTTGGCACAAGTATAATCCCTGCTGACCCCAATGATCCAGAGAAGACCAGCGTCGCAGCCGTGACTTCGGGAACTGGCGAACATATTGCGACTACGATGGCCGCGCATACGTGCGCTATGCGGATCTACTACAGTCAGAAGAAACACAACGACGGCACATTCGAGGATGTTACCGAGGAGGAAGCAATGAGCTCTATGATCGCATCCGACTTCATGGGTAATCAACTCCCACCTTTTCCACCTGATCTTGCTGACATGGCTGGTTCAGGCCATCCCGGTGTTCGTGGAAGCAAATGTCAAGCTGCGATCGGCATTGTTGCTGTCAAGAAGACTACGCATGGCGTCTACCTCTATTTCGGACACAACACTGACTCATTCGTAAGGCCTGGTCTGACCTCGATTGTTTTAGGCTTTCTACTAAGTGCAGCAGGTCATTGCTTCGATGAGCAGCGAGGATAAACAGCCGGTGTGTGTGATGTCCCGCAACAATGGCAATGGTAGCATTGCTCAGGGCGGCCGCGCCACTCGAAGCAAACCCATGTCGCAAGCCAAGTAGTGGCACCCGGTCAAGATCGACATTTGCTTTCACCAATTACCTAGCGTACATCTACTGTTGCGCTCAGAGTGTTGACCAGTTTACAAAGTAAGTGACTTGTTTTTTATCATTTCGTCTGCCATCAAAACTTCGTGGTGTTATGTACCGGGTGTAAAACGCTCAGTATCGCACGCTGACGCCTCCTCCCCTCGAAGGCCAGATTCTCGATCGATGCTTCGTGTCAATTCCATTGTTGGGGCGACGATCCAAGTCTATTCTCGCTCATAGCTCTTCCACCAGTGAACCAGATCCGGGAAACACGGTTTGGCCTGGCACCGAGCGCTCGTTGCTTCGTCAAGTGGAGGTCAGAATGTGTTGAGCTGAGGCGGGCAACAAGAGGGAGGAATAGAGGGTATCCGTTTCCTAGTTAGTTTTCCCAGCCTAAGAGGCCACAGATAATACAGTAATTCCCGTGGCGTGGGTTGCTCTAGATATTTCGTGCCTTGTATACCCAGAACAGTAGCGATGTCGTGACTACCAAAAAGGGCGGCCATAGCATGTCCTGGTCACCCTCACGGACCAGGTGTCGGCGTCGGTGTAGGCGTGGCCGAGGCCCCATTGCCCGGCCCACGAACCTTCTTCTTTTTCTTCTTCCGGGCGACCACCGCCGGCTTGGCCCCGTAGTCGCCCATCTCCAACACGGACCCACAGGTCAAACACTCGCCCTTCTCCAACGGCTCGCAGAAGATACTCAGACAGATCGAGCACACGAACCCGATATCCACGACGCGGCGGTGACAGAAGCACGCGGCGCGGAAATCGACATCCACGCGCGTGGGGAGGATCAGATGCCGGCGGGAGCGCTGGTCCGGCAGAAACGCCATCATCAGGTACTGGAGCAGCCCCCGGGGCTCGGCGAGGGCCATGTACACGCCCTTGGTGGCGTCGGCGGCCTGCTGCAGGAAGACGGCGTCGCCGGCCAGCTTGCACACGTCGATGGGGATCTGCAGGCGCTGGCAGGCGAAGATGGCGTTCATGATGGGGATGTACTGGTGCGCGGCGCCGGTGGCGCTGCTGACGCTGAGGATGAGGATGCGCGACTGCAAGCCGGATTCGGTGCTAGCCTTGTCACCACCAGATGCGGCGGCGGCGCCTCCAGCTGTGTTGGTGCTAGTAGTAGTGGTGTTGTTGGCGTGGGCGTTGGGATCCGTCTCCCCGCCGTGCGCCTCGGCCCAAGCGATCGTCCGGCGGTTGATGTGGCTCAGCGCCAGCGTCAAGGCCCCCGCCATCAGGGTGGAGGTCGTCGCGGAGAGATCGTCGGCCGTGGTGCCGCCGAGTAACCTGTGCAGGTTCTGGGTGACTTGTTCTTCGACGATGCGGAAGGGGCGGTATTTGTTCATTTCGTGGGGCGGCGGGGGTCGGTTGTGGGAGGGCATGGGCGTGTCGCCGTCCTTGTCGCGGGGGGGTTGGTTTGAGTCGGGTGAGGCGGCGGCGACCGGATACAGCCATGTGGCCTTTTGGGTGTGCGAGGCGACGACGGCGACTTCGTTGGCGTAGTTGCAGGCCAGGTGGGCGTTGAGGAAGACGAGGATGTTGGCGACGGCTGTTGAGAGGGGGAGGGCGGATTGGCTGCTTAGTTGGGCCCAGGCGTGCGGGTTGGTGTCGAGGATGACGGTTAGGAGGGAGGGGGGTCGGTCTGTTGTTTTTTTCTGGATGTTAGTTTGGAGGCTTGAGGGGGGTGGAAGGGGAGATTGGGATGGGATGGGATGGGATGTACCGTGGGCACTGGTTGAGTAGTGCTCTGTTGCGTCGATGGTGTTCATTTTTGGGAGTGGTGGCTGGAGGCGCGGTTTAAGGTTGGGTGGGTTGATGGATGGCTTCCTGGGAGGAAGTGAGGGGGCTATGAGGTTCAGTTAAAGGGTGAGAGAATTCATTGTGTTTTGCAGAGGGAAATAAGTTTGTAGGGGGGGGGGTTTTCTTGAGGTAGTGGCGGAGGAGTATAGAGCATCGAATTGATAATGATAAGCCGGAGAAATCGGGAGTACACCGCCTGCGCCACCGCTCGGAACTAGCAGGGCAGCTCGAGTTGCTTGCCGATTCGGGAATAGTGCATCTGGACTATACACTTGCTGACTGGTTTGTATAGCTATCAACTTCCATTCAACTGTCGCTGATATTGGACCCTTTAGATGTGTGGAAATAGTCATTGACTTGATATGAAAGAACATGCTCTGGTTACGAAAGCAGAGACTAGAATAAATGATCACCCCTCCATTCGTACCACAGTGGTCTCATCTGGAATATATAGCTTTGGCATCGTGACCTTTCTGTAGAGAAACAGCCTCGATGATGTCTCCTCTACAAAGCACCCTCCATCCTGTCAGCTTTACAGCAACTCACAGCAGCTAGCCTCCGAGTCCCCATCCCTAAACATCGACAACCAACTCGAAGAAGCCACCCTGCTCCGACTCGAGAACCACAACCTCTAAATCCGCGAAGACACCTTCCACCTCGACGAACTCGGCTCGTGGGGATTATCGGTCTTGGGAAGTTCCGTCTTGATGTCAGGGAGCATGAACGCGAGCCGAGACCGCACGTGACAGAGAATAGGGTCAATGTTTGGGAGGTTGGGCAAGGGCTTTGGCGGGCCCGGGATGGTTAGCTGTCGCGTTTCTTGCTGTTGTTTCATCATGAGGACTGCAAGGAGTTTGCTTTTTCGATGGGTGTTGTTCTTCTCTTATGGAATGGTGTTTATTCGGAAACAAGGCGTTTACAGTTGAACTGGTCACGTTGCGGCTTTTCACTGCGCATATGAGGAGCTATGGGTGTATGGGACTGGGTTATGGTTCTCGGCGTGGGAAGGGATTGCTTATCGCGAAGGCATGAGGTACACAAGCCTATCGAGTACTTCGTATCATTCTGACAATACTTGGAAATGTAGGTTGTATCTGCAGATTTACTACTCATATTACAAGTAGCAGGACGGATGGACTGCGCCAACTTCCAATGATATCATCTCTTCGGGCTGTTCCTCTCCCGAGGGATGTCACGTTCCTACCTCAGGTAGCCTAGGTCGCATCCCCCTCCTTCGTCTCATCCAAGCATGATAACCCAGATTGAGATATACCCACTGTAGTACATTCATATACTTACAACTCCACAAAATCAATAGTCAAATTCTCTCGAACGAGCGCCATGGCCCTCGCCAACAGACTAGCAATCCTCCCCGGAGGTCTAGGTAACTACACCCGCCCACTCACCCATCCTTAATCCACCACCTCCCCCCTACCACACAATCTACAGTCACCCCCCCAGACCCAATGAACTCTACTCAACAGAACCAACCCAAACAGGCGGCCTCGGCACCAGCATCGGCCAGAAACTCCGCCGACAAGGCGCGCAGCTAGCCATCCTCTACGCGCCCTTCGAAGCCGCCCGGCGCGATCAGCTCCTCGAAGCCGGGTACGGAGCAGCTGCTTCCCACCACCATAGAAACATCCACACCTACGAATGCGACATCACGTCGCCCGAGTCCGTGGAGTCGGCGTTCGCCAGTTTAGCGGAAGAGTTGGTGACCCCATTGTCTACACGGTCACCGTTGTCCTCATCGAATCCAAGACCCTTTCCGAGTATCCTGATCAATACGGCCGGGTATGTCTCGTTGAGCGACATGGAGGCGACGCCGCCCGAGGAGACGCTGAAGCATCTGACGACCAATGTGTTGGGACCGATGTTGTGCGCGCAGGCGTTCGCGCGGCTCTACTTTGCATCTGCAAGAACGGCGGGGGCCGCTGCTGAAGGGCAAGATGCTTCGCGATTGACACCGCCACCGGGAAGGATCGTGAATATCGCTTCGCAGGCGGCTCATGTGGCGTTGCCGCGCCACGGGGCTTATTGTGCCTCCAAAGCGGCGCTACTGGGCTTGACGCGGAGTATGGCGTCCGAGTGGGCGGGGCGGGGCATCACGGCCAATTCGGTATCGCCCACCGTGGCGTGGACGGAGCTGGGCAAGAAAGCTTGGGGGGAGGCTTCGGTTAAGAATGCCTTCTTGAAATCTATCCCAACGGGAAAGTTTGCTCTGCCGGAGGAGGTGGCGGATGCGGTGCTGTTTCTCTGTCAGGTAAGTAGTTCTGAAGAAACGCTCTGCAGGGTGGTCAGTATCAACTAATGGCATGATAGGACTCGAGCGGGATGATCAATGGCGCGGACATCAGGGTCGATGGGGGCTTCACTATCCGGTAGTTACCTGAGATCGAATGGGGAAGTCGAGCGGGGGATCTACAGGTGCTGATGTGGTCGCAAAAGGGCAGGGTCGTCGCATCCAAATCGGTCTATCGCTATTTCGTGCCATCGGGACCGCGGTAGGAGTATCTAACAAGCTATGCGAAGCTTACTACTACCCACTATCCGTCCATAAAGGACAAACGTAAACGATCATCGAGTTCTAGATGGGAAGGATCTCCCAGATGCAATCTATGTGTAATTAATCGGGCCAAATGTCCAGCTGGCCGCTTGTTGAATCAGCATCGAAAGCTAGCTCAGAGAATTGCCTCCGGCTTCACGTGAAGACCGTTGTCCTTCTCCTCCGTCTGGTCCAGCACGGGAATTCTGATCGAGTCCTTGAGAGCACTAGGTGTGGGCTGCGCCAAAGGACTGGGCTGCGGTGAGACTCCCGGCGTCCCGCGTTTGCTTTCATGTTCAGTAAGTCCTTTACGGATGGCGAGGACCGAGTCCACAATGACCGCATCGATACCCTCAGCAACTTGGAGCTGTAGAAAAGTGTTAGAGAGGACGGCAGGTTGGTGCGCTTTGTTGACTTACCTTGACGTTGGCCGGGTCATTGTTGATTGCTCCATACGACACACACACCAATCCAGACTCCTTTACCACTCGGACGAGTCGAGGGCACAGAACAAGAGCCTCAGCCTGTGAGACAACACCGAGCAGGTTCCATCGGGATGCAAAGCGGATTGCTTCCTGCAGACTGCTAGCACGAATGTCGCCAACAGGAGACGCTCCGGAGTCCGACAAGAAGAGCACGGGAATAGAGGGTTGTTTGAAAGCAAGCAGCAAGCAGACGTCTGGATTGAAGCTGGAGAAGATCATGTTGCGTCCCTGGCCCATGTCGTAGGCCTTAGTAAGGACAGTATCCACAAAAGAATTCAACTCCACTGCGTACGTGTCCATCTCCTCCTCCTCGCTTTCGTGGAGCATGGGATATTCTGGTGGACGTGGTCAGTGTCTCGTGTGTATGTTCTTTGACCGGAAGGATACTCACTCAGCTCGATGTTAAACCCAACGGATTGAGGGAGCTTCTTGAACAATTCTTCCAATGTGGCGAAAGGCGCTTGAATATGGTTGCCACGACTGTTACCTTTGAAGCCCTTCTTTTTGAAGTCACGGGTGTGCTTGATCTTCTCGTTCAGCTCGGATGGGTCATATTCCGAGCCACCAACAGACATCGACCGCTGGCGAGGATTGAAGTAACCCTTGTCATTGCCGAAAACGTCTGGCGTCTGTGGTGGCGAGCCAGGGCGACGGGCTGGTTTATTGTCTCCCACTTGGAGGAATTGTTCTAGCGTGAGAGTGTGGACAGGAGCATCGATTCCCGTCTCGCTGACAAGAAAATCATGGTAAATGACAGGTACATGGTCCTTTGTCAGCTGGACGTCGAATTCGACGTAGGAGGCGCCTAGATTAGCAGCAGCGATGAATGACTGCACAGTGTTCTCGCCAAGCTGTAATGAGTTGCGGCTGGCAAAGTTCTTACCAAGACCACGATGCCCAATCACCATAGTGGAGCTCATACTCTTCCAGTACGTTCGGTCCCCAGTGATTGTCATGTTGGGATGCTTGAATGGCGTAATGATCAGGAAATTGAATGTGACCGAGCCGATCACATCTAACGTGTTTGCTGCAACAATAGGGACTGTAGAGTCGCCTTTGAGGTTGATGCGGTGGGATCCAAGCGTGGGCTTGATACTCGAAAGCAAGGCAACACCCCGTCCAACAATCTTGTCCTTAGAGCCAGCGTAGGTAGGGACCAGATCAAATAGGAGCCTGACTTTGGAAGCATCTTTGGCGTGAAAAACGATGGGCTCAGTCGAAATGTTATCTTGAACAGGAAGGTCAATAATCTCAGGCTCCCCTCGAGCCCCGCTAGCCGAAACGACAATCGACAAAGCAGTGTCGAGCTGGGTGGAATGGGCGCTCTCCATGGGGATTCGGTCAAGATTGACAGCCTCGATGGAGCTTCGCATGTCCATAGTGCCCAGGCTGACCAAAACCATGGACTCATCCGTGAGATACCGATGACCAAAAGTCTTGATAGGCTCTGCATTGCGCAACGAGGTATTGCTGGAAGGTGCGTTAGACCGCCTGTCAGACAAAGACGACGGTGGAGGAGATGGTGGAGCGGACGAGACGGTTGGAACGGGAATGACGGGCTCCGCTTCGCTGATCTCGGGAGGTGGTGTGACTTTGGCAAGGCATCGAGCGATATCGAGATGGCCTCTCAAAGCCGCATGCTCCTTGGCAGTCCAGCCGGAAGAGTCAAGCCTTTCGAGTTCGGCGCCTGCTTCGATCAGCAATTCCACAACTCTCAAAGCTCCATCAACGCAAGCGATGAACAGTGGAGTCCACCCATACGTCTTCTCAGCGAGTTCCGTGTCGGCCTTCTGTTCTGCATTACCCTGCAGCAGAATTTCCGCGCATTCATAGTGACCAAAGCGGGCAGCGACATGCAGTGCGGTTTCGCCGTGGTCGTCCTGATAATTGATGTCCACTCCGGCCTCAACCAGAAGGCGTACAATGTCCACAAAGTTTGCTTTGGTCGCCAAAGCCAGCACAGCACTCGAGCGCGAGACTTGTTTGCGGATTTTGGCTTTGTCTTTATTGGCCCCATGCCAGTTTTCGGACTCAAGGAGATATTTCGTAGTCAAGGGATGGCCGCCCACAACACTCAGATGCAACGGAGCCCAGCCATCATTGTCCTGCCAACGTGGGCCATCGATTCCCTCGGTGACGTCGAACATATCCCACGCCTGCAGGTGCTCAATAATGACTTCGCACACAACCTTGAATCCATATTGTGCTGCGTAATGCAGCGGGGTACGCCCGGAGATATCCTTCGCAAGCAGGGCTTTGCGCTGGGTAGGGTGAAGCTGATCTAGTATATGCAGCAGCAGCGACACCGATGGATCAGATCTCTCCAGATGCTGAGGGAACTCGTCCTCTTTCACAACCGAACGAGGCGCTTGGAGAGTAGGCATAGCAGCAGGAGTGATGTAATTCGATGTTTCCAGAGGGAAGTCAAGGACCATAGAAGCAGACTGCTCCGAATCGTTGGTGGGTTGCGCTCGACCGATCGAGATCACCAATCGATGGATACAGTTACGTTTGTTGATATCGTCCTCTTCGTCCAGCGTGTCCATGCGGTTCAGCAACACTGTAATGCAAGCGTTCGCGCGATAGTAGATGGATCGCTGAAGGAGACTTTGAAGGACTTTGGGCCAGATGTGTTCTCCCGAGTCATCCGCAGCCACCTTCAAGGTCTCGAGTAACTCCAGTAGAACGTGAGTATCATTTTTGCGCAACGCTTCGTCAACAGCCTGAAGCATACTGGATGGCAGGTTCAAATGGGGGCGTGATCGGCCTGCCTTGAATGACAGGGACGAGTGTGTAGAGCTGGCATCATCGTTGATCTTCTGTTCCCCAAGAATCGACAAGCGGTCGTTGATGGTTTTCAGAGCATTGGTTATATCCGGATTCGACGCGAAGAGCAGTGGGTCGACTTTCGTTTCTAGGTACTTCTGCTGTGTCTGAACGCCGACTTTCTTGTCCAGCTTCTTGGTAATCTTGATGAAGCCCCGCCGATTGACTTCTCCGTACCACTGGAGTTTGCGCCATTGACCACGTAGCTCGAGCAGAGCCGCCAAAAGATCCTCAACTTCCTCGGAATCCAGGCGCTGGCGGCCATCCAGTGACGGACCGTATCGCTCTTCCAAAATCTTCATGCGGCGCGCAAAGTCGGTGTATTTCTTGTTATAGAAGTAGTTGACATCCTCGAGGTTTCGATCGAGCGCATAAAAAAATCCTAAAGTTCGAGTCAAAACAAGCGCTCAACGGCCTAAATGAGTACAGATAGGATCGAAGCTTACCTGTAAGATCGGCCTCATGGCCAGCCTTTACGTTCTCCGCCGAGGCTTTAATGAGCCGTTTCAAGTCCTTGTAATGAATGTAGTTCGCGCTCCATTCCGGAACAACATTGCGGGGCAAATTGCGTCCAAATTTCATTTTCGAGAGAATTTGAGTCGAGGCCAATCGAAGATGTTCGAGATGAGGACAGAAGGTGAAATACAAGCTCTTTTAGAACTCGTCTAGGGGTTTGTTCGGCCAAGGAAGAGCACAGCTGACGAAATGATGATCAAATGGAGAACAAGTGGATCTGGGGCAGACAAAAGAAAAATGACAAGTCAAACTTCGAGCACAGAGCCATGTGTTAGTTTATCGCGGAGTCATGGTCAAGCCAGATGGGGTAGTGAGAAGAACCTGGATGGTAGGATAGTGAGAGAGAGAGAGAGATGGATGCGTTTGATAATTGAAGAAAAGAAGGCGAGAGCCACGGGTGATATACAGTTTGGAATCCTTGGGACCAGGCGACAAAGGAAAGGGACCGAGCTATCAGCACGTGCGAGAGTCGGCCAAGACATATGATCGAAGGGAACCGACAAAAATATCAGTTGCTAACCCGAGTGGGGATGAAAGGAATCCACCCCGACGTAAGATGAAGAGGAATTCCGGGGCGGAATGACCATTGAACGCGGGCGGCTGGATCTGCTGCACGCCGGACGCTCCCTGATTTGCCCGCAATCTCCTCCGCAGAAAACTGGTTCGGCCCAGTGTCTATGAGTAAGATGTCTGTGAGGAATCTGATTCTTAGCAGATGGTTCCGCTCTTGGATCTGTGTGGAAAACAGGTCAAATGGCGGTAACCTTATGTTGATCAGGCCGATTCACTGACTCAATTGAGACTTGTGAGTGAGTATTTGATTAATCGATTAATCGATTAAGGGGGCCATTCTCCGGTTCTTAATCTAAGTCTCACACCAGCTGCTAGTCTGCCAATAGCGCTGACTTGCTCCCCCACCAATTCGCAAATTAAGCCTTCTAGACTGTTTGACTGTCACTGAACCGGCCATAGTGCTTAGCCCGTTGGTGGGCGACTGAGTCCGGTGACCCGCTGCTATCTAGGCCGCGGAGGCTGGCGGATTCGAGAAGCAGAAGTTCTTTCTGGCGGGATATTCCCTCGCAGCGATGATCACCGTTCCCCTCACTGTCACCTCATTCTGATTTGTGGCCAGATGCGTCGGAGGGAGGGGGGAGGGCGAGTCGTGGCCGAACATTGTCCATTCGAACCTCGAAGGGTTGATTAACTATTTTAGCGTTGAGCCTGTGATTGCATGGTTCCAATAAAGAAGGGTTGCAATCTCCCTGATATTATGACCTGAGTAACTTCGACATACTAAGTAAGAAGGAGTTGCATTCCGGGAGTTATTGTTAAGATGGAAAACTCCCGTCAAGTCAGATGACCTCCCTCCAAGCTGCAGGATTACTGTACTCGACTAACGTGACCTGCTCCTGCACACACTAGTGATACACTATGCTGCAAAGTAGACATTCCTCACTTCAAACTTGACTACACTTCTTGGTATTCGCTGCACCTTTGTTTCTCCTTGGAAGTCTGACAATGGCCTTGCTACCGAAGTACACTGCACTATCTTAGAAAGGAGCTGATACATCCTGGTCGCCTGACCTCAAGGTCAATAATGTATAGTGCTCTATTCGATCACGCGGCTTCCTTCTACAATCCGGACTATTGAAGCAAGAACATGGAGGCTTTATATGATTGTCTCGATTCCTAATCGCTTTTGTGAACGACTATGATAAGAACATCAAGTCGCTGCTCTCTTCGAGGTCTTCGGAGGAGAGGAGGCTGATCGCTCTGGCTACTTTGTAACACCTCATTTTGCCATAAATCTCGCCGTGTGGCTGTATACTAGAGCTAGCTTTGACTCAGGAAGACTATAGTAACTGGAATTCCATACTTCAATATCGAACTCGAATGCCCATGGTCTGCTGCACTTTTTTGTCCAAGTGATAGCGAGTCTGCATTCTGGTTGAGTGCAACAACCAGTACTGCTGGGCATCTTGGACGTAGACGCCCGCTTTTTATGGGCCTTAGTACAGCGGGAGGTCTACAAAATGCAACCCCCGGATTCGATAAAGGAACGTCAGAGCCATGCATTACCTTGCCGAAAACTCTCCGATACGAATCTGTATAGCCAAGGACACTCAACAGCGTGTCCACTGGCAGACTTCAGGCGTGGTGAGTCCTAATCAGCGAATAGGACGAACTTTTGAAGGATAGGAGGTGCAGCGTCTTGATCAGGCACTGTATGACTATGCACAATCAACATCAAGTACTCCATCAGTAGTTGAATACCGCCTAGCGTGTAGGCTATCATCTCGCGTCCCACCCGAACGATGCTCGCTGCCTCCATTCCTCACACCCCACGGCTAATAGTCGCTCTACATATCTCCATCCAATGGTGCCGTGGTGGCAACCAAGGACTGGCTCTGGCTACCGCGTTCAGAGATGATCACTAGCAATACGAGGTTCCTCCACTGTTTCGTGGGAACGAGGCCACAAATCAACAAAATAGCCCCGACCATCAGCCTTCTTCCGTTTGACGAAGTCTTGATAACGACATTTCGCCCTTCGCAGGTGGCTTGGATTTTGCGATTCAGGTGCATGGTCACTGTCACTACGGCAGAAAGTCCCTCCAATCAGTGACTTCGGCCATTCAGCTGAATATCATTCGAGGATAATTGCTTCAAAGAGAGGGGTAACTGGGCGACAGTTGGGCCCTTATGAGTTGAATGAGTCCATTGCGGTATTTACCCGACGGCCATGGGTTGAAGCTTGTGAACAGCGTGGGTATGCGGTTTGAAACGTGCGGGCTGGGCCCATCTATGCATGCCCTGGCATACACAGATGTAACCTTTCAATGACTAGCCTAAACACAGGTCGAGGTTATATGCACCTCTAGAGTCTCGTATTCACTAAGGATCTCACCAGAGGAAATGATCATTTTATCAATGCAAGAAGTACACGACTTCTTGCTAGGGAATGGCGCAACTGTATCGTGGATATAGTCATCTTGGATAACGATACCTCAGCTGAAAATCCCGCGGAGATGAGTATATCACAGATGGAGATGACTGGAGGTCCAGGGGAGATTGCACGATGTCACCCTGCCAATACCTGCAGCCATTGTAGCCCGGGTCGCGAGGCTGGGGCACCCAGCGACCGGATTTTAGACCCATTCATGATGTCTGGCCGGAACTTCAAGTATAGTAGGCCCCGAGAATGTGATTCAAAGCAGCGAGAAGACACAGTATGTCTGAGATTGCATAGCAGTAGTCTTATCGTCCTCAAATTGTGCACTTGATTCCTCTGGCCGGAGACGAAGTAGAAGCATGAAGCTTCGCGATGTTCGGATGACGAGGCTTTGCGGATGTTGAGGATGCAACCCAAGAGCAGAGACGAGTCGAGCCATGCGAATAGGCAGATCCATCCTCTGTTGCGAGCAATTGCACCCTCGGGTATGTTCCGTGGTATAGATCAGCTCTGGAGGGTGGAGCAAGCCCTCTATCATGTCGTCTGCAAAGCGCCCCTTTGCGTCTTATGTGCATACACGAGAAAATGGGCTCAAGAGAGTGTGGGTAGCGGTACTGATTCCACCCTGTGTTTGTATAGCTTCAATCAAGTGGATTCGTGATTATGATGCCTGACAAATAATGTCTGATTGTGGAGCTGTGGATCGTGGTACACATCGCAGTATGTCACTGTCGTTCTTGCCGCGTCGATGAGGCTCCATGGCGCGCCAGAGTCACTTGGTGGCTGTGGCAAATCAAGCTAAAGATTCAGCCTGATTCTCCTTAATTGATGAGGTAGTGCTTGTGGTGACATGTTGGAGCTATGAAGCCTTGCACGAGTCAGTATTGGTGAGCATCGCCCGTTGCTGATGTAACTCACTTTCCGTGCTTACATTTGCCAAGTTTATCTCTATGCAGGGAAGGAATGAGCTTAGGCGATAAAAAGTTGTTGATTCTTCAGCAATGTCAGTATGGCGGAATCATTAGACCTGTCTCTCCATGCCTTTTGGATCAAGTCAAGGGGATGAGGGTTCCGTGTAGGTTCCAAAGGTTAATCAGCCTTTCGGGTAGTTCTAGGTATAACAGCGACAAATCCCTTCTTCCAATGGCTCTCTAAGGGCCCCACAACTCGTAGCATGCGGGGTAGAGAGCCTCCTTAAGTTCCAAGTTGACCGCCTTCATAGCCTCATCTACTCACTCAACCCAGTAACTCTGCGGGCATCACGTTCTGCTTCCCAGGAGTCTACCTAGTACACCAACATCAGCCACTTCGACGTCCGGTGCAGTAGCGTATGGAGATATCTCCAAATGAGGAAGATGGTAAATTCTGTTCTATGTCATTTTGTACACAGTGATAACATTGAAATAGGTTAAATGCATCTTTACTGCAACCGTCTGCAGTCAGCCTCGTCCACAATGGCGGCTACTCGGAAATGACGCCGTCCTGAATACGAGACTCATGGCAAAGTTTTGTTGATGAACCCATTATTGTTGCGAGTCAACACTACCACATTCACCCGGGGCCTGCTCAGGTCAGGTTAGTGTGAACCCACCGCGCAACTGGTCTGGTCTATAACTCTCACCTGCTAGGCAGACTTGCCCTCTCTTACTATATAAAGAGGCTTGTTTCCTCTCATAAGAAACATCAATCTACAGAGCTCATCTAGCATTGGACATCCATCTCTTTCTCAACTTCGCTTTTCACACTTTCCTGCTATACTTCTTCTTTTCTGTTTACATCACACACAACAAGATGAAGCAATTCATGACCCTGAGCTTGGCCGCTTGCCTGGTGACTGGTGTTCTGACCCTCCCAACACCCGATGTTGCTTCGGTCTCTACAACCCACGGCGCCAGCGACTAGAAGCGCGGTGACAACACCGTCAATGGAGCGAGTGACTGGAAGCGCGGTGACAACACCGTTGAAGGCGCCAGCGATTGGAAGCGTGACAACACTGTCGACGGAGCCAGCGACTGGAAGCGCGGTGACAACACCGTCAATGGAGCGAGTGACTGGAAGCGCGGTGACAACACCGTTGAAGGTGCCAGTGACTGGAAGCGCAGTGACAACACCGTTGATGGAGCCAGCGACTGGAAGCGTGACAACACTGTCGACGGAGCCAGCGACTGGAAGCGTGACAACACCGTTGAAGGCGCTAGCGATTGGAAGCGTGACAACACCGTTGATGGAGCCAGCGATTGGAAGCGTGACAACACCGTCGAAGGCGCCAGCGACTGGTAGTCCCGAGCGCCGCAACGCAACTACACCTTGAACGCTGCCCGTCCACAATCCACAACCTCGAACCATATCACCAGAAAATTTCCATGGATCATTCCTTATACATCCTGTCATCTTAGTGCATCCCCGACAATCAAGTCCATCACTCTCGCTCAAAGACATCCCATGCAACCGCAATGTTCAAGACAAACTTCCCCAGAATATGGCAAGCACACCTGACATACATGTCAAATTGCCCTATCCATCAGCGAGAAGCCGAAGGAAGATTCCAAGGCCGAATTTGAGTCTAGTCAGCAACAAGGTAGTCTAGTCAGAAAATGCACAATTGACTCCCAACGATCCTTCAAACCCAGAATTTGGCTAAAGCTACAATGAACATCGATAACTAAAGCAAAGCACCTCATTAGATCCCATCATGAAGATCCATCTACACCTGCCCCCTAAATAAAATCTCAGTATTCACCAGTAACCATTCACCACAAACCCTTGAACCCTCCCTCTACCGCATACACCCACCTCTCCCCAAAAGTAAACAACCCCTAAAACCCAACCACTCAGATAACCTACAAATAATAATTCTAACACCTCCAAACCAGGGGGAATAAATCAAAAAGATACGCAAAACCTGCAGAATTACACAAACTGCGTCATAAGTATCCCCAAGGCAGCCCAGCCCAGCCGGCCAGCCAGCGGGCCGGCCGGCCGGGGGCCCGGCAGGGTGTGTCGAACTGACCGGTAAGTTAAGTGTGTTTACCTACCTAGTATGTTTGCATGCGCGATTTTTCGACCACCACCACCACCACCAAGAGCACGCTTTTATTTCCCTCAAAACCTCGCCCTCGCGCCCTCGCGCCCTCTCCCCCTTTCTTGATTCTGGTTTTTCCTTGTTTTTTCTTCCTCTTTTATTTACCTTTGATTCTCTGAATGACTCTACTTCCTGTCAAAAATGAGGGCTCTCCTCCGGGTCGACTATATCGCAGACTGATTCCTGGATAAGTCACCCCTACCTTACCGATATATCAATCGACAGGGGCATTGGGGCAGTCGAGGAGAAAGCTCAACTGGAAGTCAAGCAATAGCCTACTCAATTCTCACCGAGAGAGGTGCATACACCCTCAGCAATTAACTGCCTTGATCGTCATTGAAAAAGGCTTGACTCCTAAAATCACCAGATTTTCCTATACAGATTCCGCTTCGCGGGTGGTTTTCCCAATCTCCTCTCCCTTCTGTCTCTCTCCACTTTTACCCCCACTCAAATCTCGTCACCCCGCATTTTACTTGGGTTACTCCGCATCAACTGTTCAACTCCCTTGCCAATCACCGGAAGGTCATGATTGCACTAATTGGATGGAAGCATTTCTCAACGAGAGAATCATTCAATAAGTAGCTATCAAGGTCGTCTTGATTCGACACAAAAGAGCACATCATTCTGGTCTATGGCGGACTCAAAAAGGGACAAATGCACTCCGGAATCCCCTGACGCATTGAGAAAATCCAGCCACCGTTCCCCACGCTCATAAGACCAGCAACATTCGTTAAACTTGAGCAACACATCATAACACCAAATGTCAGACAGGCTGATGAACGCCGTTAAAAACCACAAACAACCGGACCGAACACCGAACCCTTGACGCGAGCTGTAATACCGCAAACTCACAACGCTTTATCGAGCAAAATAGGTATGAAACACCGAGAATAACTATGGAAACGTGAAAGCTCGTTATCTTCGAAGACAAGATGCCTATGACACCAAAGGCTTGAGGGCCTCGACACCTACTTGGAGGATAGCGGGATTCTTGGTCTTCTTCAGCAGATTTGTCAAGATGTCGATGCCCCCATTCTGCTTGATGGCATCTTTGGCCCGACGAGCAACATCACCGGTGGCAAGACAGGTCATATTCCTGATACAGGCAACACCGCGATGTACAAGCCCGTCGTTTTCTTCCTGGCACAGACCAAGCAGCAACTGAACACCACGAGGCCGTTCGAGAACTCCTGCCATCGCTGCATCAAACTCAGTGAGCATGGCGAGAGCTCCACCCGCAGCACTTTGTGTGGCGAGGTCGTCAGTATCGGTAAGGGCCAAGAGGATATGCAGACGCTGGGCAGCACGTTTCGAACCATCGGCAAACTTGACTACGCCTGATTCGCAAGTCATCAAGTTACAGACAAGCTCACATGCAGCACGCTGTACCAAGGGACTATTGGAAAGAAGGAGTTCCTCGATAACAGGCCAGGCTTGGCGAACAATGGCTTCAGGAGCGGACTCATCAGGGTGTGAGGCCAAATTTGTCAGAGCCAACAAGCTCTCAAAGACAGGAAGCAAGTCCCGCGGCTGCTCTGTGGAAAGGCTGGTTGTCTCTGGAACGGAAAGCAGTGCAGTCAAAGGTCGAATCGCAGATGTGATCTGGGGGAAGCCAGAGCTCGGGAAAACAAGCGCAGGATTGACAGAGATCAAGATTCGCGCCAGCGCATGTGAAGCATTGCTGACTATCTCAGTTGGCGACGAGCCCTGCTTCACGGTCGACATACCAATCAATAGCTTGACGGCTCCCTGCTGTGCTAGAGCACCGCGAGACTTGCGATCACGCGAGAGAGAGAGAAGAATCTTGCTCATGAGAACTTGTACAGAAGGCAGGCTGGTCTTGACACAGTCGACCAGAAGGGGAACAATTCCTGCTTCGACAAGTGCGGTGCAACGAGCAATGACGTGTTGCTCTTCGTCCAAGGGATCGGGGCCGTTGCGGGCCTTGGGCGATGCTTCAGCGTATGACTTGAGCTGTGAGACTTTCTTTTGTTCCTCCGTCAGGTTGGGAAGAAACTGAGTGAGGTTCATGATGATCATGAAGCCACCATAGAGGACTGACGGAACAGTAGAATTTTCGTGTAACACTCTAATGAGGTTCTGCACAAAGACTGGATCCTTGGCAAGCTGTTCCTTCACGGCGGGTTTGACAGAGGCATAGGCCAGACCCTCAATCACATTAGCCATGCTCTCACCCTTTCGCTTCGACATCGAGTCTTTGAACCGATCAACCAGCTCGATAACCCGGGTGTCCTCGTCCTGGAGTTTACCAATGGTTTCGGAGGGCGCGACCTGCGCGGCAGTCCGAACCTTGGCCAGGATAACCGCTGCCAACTCAGAGCTTTGGTCACTGCCATTGGTAAGAAGATGAGAGAGCCAGGTAGACAGATGTTTGAAGATCGCCTCACGACAGTCTTTGTTGACGCAGGCTGCATTTAGAAGTTCCAAGAACGATGTTTCGACTTTCCGGCTCTTCGCATCTCTGGAAGTCAGAGGAGCCAATGCAGCCAGAAAACTCTCCGAAAGAAAAAGAGCTGCGGCAGCCTCCGGAATCACAGGAAAGACGGCAGCAGTTGCAGAGAAGGCCTCAATCAGCCCATCACTGCGGCCCTTGATCACCTTGGAAGAGACCAGGTTGGAGAATCGATTCTGGCCAACTTCTTTCGAGACCTCGAGGTACTTGACTGTTGCCAAAGTAGCCTGGCTTCTCCATTCAAGGGGTAGGCGAGAATCCAGGGACGACAAAATCACATCCAGACTCTCATCATCCACCAGATCCTGCAACCTGGCCGCGTCAACGGCGAGCAGCCGCGCAATACCTTTGAGCGAGCGGCCGTCCTCATCATGACCAGACTCCATCAGCTTGGCAATGAATAGCTGGAAGAGCTCACGTTCACAATGCAGACGAGCATCCTGCGATAGCCAAACGGAGGGGTCTAGAACAACGGTGTCGAGGCAAACAGCAGCTGCGTCGCCCCTTTCGTAGATCTCGTCAAAGAAGGTGGTGACGGAGATTTGAAGCTGGTTGGAGAAGTGCTGACGCACGCTTGTACTCTGGCGAACCAGACCGGAGATAATGTCGTCCTGCAGCGAGGACAAGGCATGTGGGCGTTGCGCCAAGATAAATTTGACACAATCCAGTGCGACCTCCTCGGGCGGTTTGAGGCCGTCGGTGCGCAGATAGAGGGCGGCATCTTTACCCGCGGGTTCGTCCTTCCCTGAAGTATACCGGCGGCAGAGATCTAGGAGGTGATGGCCATTTTCCTCCTCCTCTTGGATCTTCAGGAAAGCTTCCTTGACAGCTGGATGTTCGGGCGCTAAGGTGAGGGCTTCTCGAAGGTTCCGCGAAGCGGCCTGCGATAGATGACATTAGCCACCTGAAGCGGTCGCAAACTAACGCGACGACACGGTAGACTCTCAGGTAGACGAAGTACGAAAGAGAATCGTGTAAGTCAGACATACCTCACGGTGACCAGCATCTATCAATTCAACAGCCTCTCGAGTCAAATGTACGGCACGTTCTTCGCTCGTTGAGTGAACCATGTCAGGCCTGGAAAGTGGATAAGGCGGGAGCGGAAGGATTAATTCGCAAGTGAGGAGAACCCGGTCGGTAGAAGGATGAAAGAATAAAACGGGACAAAGCCACGGTCGGGCGGGAGAGGAGGAGGAGGAGGAGGAGGAGGTGGGAGGAGAATAAGAAGGAGAGAAGAAGAAGAGGAGGAGAGCGCGAGTCAAGCCAGGGGAAGTACAGTACAGGAGTTGTGGTAAAAAGTGGAGGGGTGGAGATTGTTTTGCAGTACTAGTAGCAAGAAAGTAGTGAGGGTTAACCAAAGAGCAGCTGTGTCAACCCGCAGTAGTGGTGGTGATGATGGTAGAGCGACGCGACAGCCGGACAATCATCGGCGGAGGAGAAACCTTGGAAGATAAGGGAACTGACTGGGTTCTGTTCTATTGATGTGATGTCAATAAGAACAAGAGAACAAGAGAATATGAAGAAGATGGTGTGGTGGTGTGGTGGTAGAGGTGGTCTTCGTGGTAGTTGTACTGTAAAAGAAAACCGAGCTGGGCTTATCTTTTTACTTTTTTTTTTGTTTGACTTTTTTTTTGCCTCCAAGGCGTGGAGGAAAAGGATGGAAAGAGTGGATTCCATTGAATGGAGACTGGAGAGGATAAGAAAAGGTGGTCCGTGTGACTGGCTTGCCTTTTCTGGCACTCACTCACTCTTTCCAGTTCTCCAAGTTCCATCCAATTTCTCTCTCCATCCAAGCTCAGTGCTCAGTGCTCAGTGCTCACACTTGCTCACACTTGCTCTCAGCCTCTCTCTTTCTCTCTCGTTCCCTGCCTGCTTCGGACCTCCGACGCTCGTTTCCTGCAACCATGAGACACACATCTTCATTTCCACCGCCCGCCCCCCCCAACTGCATTCTCATTCCAGTCCTCTTTCTTCGGTGATCATTTTCCAGACTTCTATGCATTATTCATAGCTGCATTATCATGGAATACCCTTACTCCGTACTTGGCCTTAGCATAACCAGGTATTCCTCCAGTACTTCCGCCAATCCGCCTATCCGTCCCGACAGTCGGAGCTCCCCCTCGTTTCGGCAGCCGCTCTTCGGAACTTGGAAGGCGGCTTAACTCCGACCACACTTGCCTATCGATACGCTATCGTTATCATCAATCATCGTTATTAGAATACAACAATGCCGACTGCCAATTGCGAGATTCCGGCCCCTAAAGTGTCTCTCCCCCGCCCGTCAGACTGTCACAGAAACTGGACATCGACTCAGCGTGCAGCAAGAAATCCTCACTGACTGGCTACTCTCCCGGAGCAATTTGGTTGCCGCGGGGAATCTGTTCCGTACCCCCTCTTCTGTCGTGGACGATAAGATGAGCCGGGAGGAGGGGACATGGGACAGATCGCGACAGCGTCTAGGAATAAGCAAACCAACTCGTCGGCCTGGAACCGATTGCCAACTCCAGTCAAACTCACAGCCGTGGTCCAGACCCCCTTCATCCCAGCATGAAACCAGGTAGAAAACCACCGTAGCCAACTGGACTAAGTATGCAACTCGGTTCCCCTCCAGGGCCTGCAGTAACTGCAGTGCAGCAAAGATGACGACGATAAGGCAATGCAGCAGCAGCAACTAACTATTGCCAAAGAGGGAGCACCAAGGAGTGCCAACCTTGAGTATGTGATGCATATCCAACAATTAGCTGCACCATCAATTCGATATCTATCTAATCGGAACCTCGCGCTCCGTCAAGACATGAAACCAACCACGGCAGTCCACGGCAACACGTTTCTCACTCTGACTCTCGTTGTGGTAAACGTGAATCCAATAACTCCTGGAGCTAACTCGTCATAATCAAGGAGGTGCTTTTTAGGCTGTTCCCAGCTTTTGATCCCCTTCTCTACCTTCCCATCTTTCGCCAATAGTCCTTCATACCGCGACACTAGTTCCTGTCTTGGCTACAGACTACAGTTCCTCCGATCTGCAGCTTTACAGTTTGTTCCACGGAGGTGCGCCCAGTGTGACGACCCGCCGACCGAATTCGGTGTTTGCTTTGCTAGGCTGCGTTGCTTATGCTGACCTTACGCCTACGGGTGGGTACAGTCCCAGTACCCCGTACGTTGTTTTGTATCAAACTACGAAGTACTCCGTACTCAGTAGATGATTATCACAGCATAACATAGCCCCCTCTCAATCCCCGGGAAGGGGGATGGGGAAAGGGGGACATCGCTAAACACGGCGAGGCCACCACCATCGCCGAGGACCCTCCCCTTCCGGCCGCGGGCGCGGACGCTTGGACGCCGAGAGACCAACCAACCCAGCCAAACAAACCACCGTGAATCAACCCAAGGATAATCTGTCGGGCCAAGAGCCCTGAGCCATTACTGAGTCCTTTAACCCCCCTTCCAAATTCGGGCCGCCTCGATCCAAATCACAGGAAGCAGCTGGGCACGTCCACCCTTCCCCCATCGATCATCCATTGCCAATCGCTCTCGCAGGCGGCGAGACGATCGCTTCTGTGTGGTCCGTGCCAATAACATTTAACTTCCCATTGGAAACCATCGCCTATATCCCCAATCCAGCGAGCTGTCCGTCGGGAGGGAAATTCCCATTGACAATTGTCCGTCCGTCTGGAACCCGTCCAGTCGGTCGTCATCGTTTATAGAGCGGACATTAATCCGCGGTCATATTTTTTTTTTGTTTTCTGGGTCACTGTACTTTCTTGGCTGGTCTCAACACTCGTAAGCGGAGCACAAGTCCGAGAATGGATAATCTCAACATCTCAAACCAACTGTGTGAATGTATATGTGGTTCAACCAGCGAAGAGTGAGTGAGAGGCAACCAACTCCCCTCCCCTCAACTCGATTCATCTCAATGTTCTAAGTTCTAGTAGGTGGCATGTGTACTAGGCAACTTATACTATACTATGCCTCCCGCTATTTTCTCTGTCTCTCCCCACTCCAGAAATTTGACTACGTATGTTCATTTCATCACACATCACACATCACACGCAGCACGCCTCACACAATGACCAACACCAACCCGTGATGATTCATCCACTGCAGTTATCCTCCAACCCTCCCCTTCCACTAATACTACGTCATGATAGCCCATGATCTCCCCCGAGGATCAACCACTACACTAAAGAAAGAGGTAGATGGTCATGTCAAAATCACATGAGACACCCTTCCTTGATACTGGAGTGTAGATCGCTGTTACCAACACGCACGCGCCGGACGCCACGTGATCTGGCCGCCGCCGCCTTGGAGCGCTCCCGATCGGGGCTGTTCACGGCAGCGGAGGCGCCCGCCGTCCGAGCACCGCTCATGACCGGAGCTGCCATCAGCTCCACGGCCGTGGAAGGCTCCGGGTTGCCTCCTCCTGATGCTGCTGCGCCTTCCAGCGCGAACACCTCCACCATCCACTCATACCAGACCTTGCGGTTATCTGTTTGTCGGTACATGGTGACGACCACTTCGCCGTTATCGGGGACGTTGAGAGGGGTCTGTCATTTTGTTTTGCGGATGTTAATTTCAAACACAACAATTCCCAAGGATGTCTCGTAGATGTGAGGTTATACGCAGGGTGATTTCGAGGCAAAAACTGACCTTGAGAGGGAAGTAGATGGGAAACCAGCTAATCATATCCTGACTCTTGGCGTCCATGGTCACGGGATTCGTCGACAGTTCGATGTCGCGGTAGAGCACGGTCTCGAAGTAGCCTGCCAGGCCGTGGCAGACGCCGCGGTTCTGGACGGGGAACGTCAGGCGGGTGCGGCGCACGTTGTGGGCGTTGGAGATCGTCGAGGAGGACGGGGACTGCGGCGGGATGTTGAGGTTCGGATGTTCGAAGGACCAGGTCGTCTGGACGAAGGGGATGGGCGACTCGCTGGATCCCCCGCCGCCGGGCAGCGTGGATATCGAGTTGCGCACGCTGTGGTGGTGGTGGCTCCCGGTGCCGGAGTTCATCAGCGCGGTGGCCGAGGGCTGGTTCGTGGACAGGAAGTCGATGGCGTGCAGCATTACCACGTACGGCGTCTCGGGGGCGGCGGGATTGGAGATGGACTGGTTCATCACGTCGGCGTGCAGCTTGGGCGCCGCGATCGGGGTGAGATGGGCGGTGTATGAGGCCGGGATGGAGATGCCGTGGACTGGGGTGAGGAGGTGGGTGACGCCGTCGAGGCATTCGGGAGAAAGCTCGTTGTCGCCGAAGGAGCCTAGCAGCTCGGAGACGAGGATGTCAATCGTGGTAGGGACGAGGTCGGGTCCCGCGGTGCCGGAGGTGGGTGATTGCGTGGAGTTCTGAATTTAAGTATAAGCGTTATGGCGGGAGCTCTTGTCATTTGCATATGGAGGGGAAAAGTCTGGCTGTTCTTACCAATGCTGACTGCGATGCTGGAGCGGCTCCCTTCGCGATTTGAGGGCCCTTCCAGCTTCGCATGTCGGAGTGGACCAACGTGACTTTCCCACCCCAGTGATTCTTGTTGTGACGCTGGAGAAGAACAAATGCATTGGGATTCTTCTCCACCGCCCAAAGGTCAATTTCCACGCCTGTTTCGGCGCTGGCTCGAATGGCACGGCCGACGAGCGGTCCTCGACCGGCTCCAACAACAGCGACCGATACTTTGCCATCTGGCCCGGATTTCGGCTTCTTCGACCAGTCCGTCAGGGCCTTCGCGATGGCTCTTTCATACCAGTCGTACTTGATGGGATCTTTCTCGAAGACCTCGTAGGTGATACTCTCCAGATTGACGGTCAATGGCTGCAGGGGGGCTTGGAGATAATCCTGATAGCCTGTCCCGAACCGTTCCATAGCGCTGCGGGGAGGTTGGCGGGACTGGAGGTTTCTGACATAAGATAGATGAGGGGTGGGATCGTGGTGCTTCTTGTTCGAGACTGCAGCCTGCGCGAGGCTAGGATACTCCGAGCCTGGTGCATGTGCATCAGGGTTCTCAAACGACTCGTCCACCTCCACTCCTGGGATAGGGCCAACTTCACAAAGGAGGATCCAGGGGGCGGTTCGGAGGCGCATGAATCGAGCAATCAGGGCTTGGTGTGCCTTTGACAGCACGGGGTAGCCTTTTTGGTTCTTGAGGAAGGTATTACCATGAATCGTGAGCATGTGAGTCGGCTCCGAGTACCAGCGGGACTGCACGGACATCGGAGGAAGTTGCTTGGGCAGTGCGAGTGCTAGTACAATGATCAGCAAGGCTATACAAGAGTAGAATCGAGCCTACTAA